TAACAAGTTTCCAAATCGTAACAAGTTTTTGCAAGAAGAAAATAAAACAAAATTGCTGTATTTGACGTCATTGATAACGGAAAATAATTCTATAAGTTGTCATTTATAGTAATAAAGGAACTTGATAGACATGTGGTCAACGCCTGGTGCAATCTTTTTAAAGTTCATGGCAGCAATTTTAAAAATAGCGGTAGAACTTTACATTTTCCTTTTGTTACGAAGAAAGAAAAAAAAAGAAGAAAAAAGACTTAGCCAGTCGTACTAGCATTCTTTCATTTAAATGCGTGATTAAAATAGTAAAAAGAGCAATGTTTTTTTTGTATTAATGACAGTTATGAAAATAAAAATGTTTTCATTTATAATTTAAAATAATGTCATTCAAGTTTATGTCAGTTCCTCACGACCTCTCCATAGCGAGTGGAAATGCATTTTACCCTGATTTGCTCCTCTCAGCCGCTGTGGTTTTTCCTGTTCCGATTTTCATCCTTTTTCTTTCTCAACTACTGTGATTTTTATAGTTTTGCTTCTCACCTTCATTTTTCCATTTTCAACTTAACGTTTTATATTTCAAATCACTTTTGTTTTTCTCTGACAAGTCTTGAAAATGGACGTCTGTTTTTGAGTGCTTGTAACATGTCGACCTGAGCGCTTGTAACACGTTTCAATTTGTATATTTTTTTAACGAGTTTGGATTTTAATAAAGTAATATCTTATCACTTCAGTTTCTAAAGATTATTTATTTAATCTATTTTGATATTTTTAATTTATAATTATACTAAATTATTATTTTGACAATTATTATTTATATTAGCTATAATTAAATGTTTAATTTATTTCAAATGCTATATTGTTTCAGTCATTAATTTATATGACTGAAACAAAAGTAATTTTTTTTGAGATATCCAATATTTTAAATTTCACAATTATTATTTATCAGCATTGCTCTATCGGGAAATTATGTTTTTAGAACGAATTAAATCTTTAATTATAAAAATGCAGATCTAAAACCCCCAATATATTCATCCTCCTTAAAATTCTCCTAAAACTTTTATTTATTGATATCTATATTATAAAAATCATGATTTGGCTAAATGTAGAAAATATCTCTCGAGATGAAAGCTGTTATAGTGCTCTAAACGGAATTGTTATTGTACGTGCAATACAATTGATTGTTCATACAATTGATTGTGTGTGCATTACAATTGATTATTGAATTATTGTACGTACAATACAATTGATTGCATTTCATACTCAATGAAATGCAATCAAATGGAGTTAGGAACTAAGTCTGGTGTTTAAGAGAGAAATTAAAAAAATAAAAAGAAAAAAAATAGCTAATGTTACTCGGGGTAAGATGACACGTATCTATCTAAAAAAAAAGGTAAACTCTTCGACGAATAAAAATACTGCTATAGATGACAATTTTTTTAAATATATATTTAAAAAAATCTCAGTTTGAAATAACATCATAAAAATGTTCTTTTTACTATATTTTATGTTCAATGTTTATTTTTCTCCTAATGTTATAATGCAGTTCTCGACATTTGTTTTCATTCCTCACACAACTATAATTTAATAACTATAACTAACAAAATTTAAAAATATTTTTGTATATATATTTTCATTAAAAGTGATATCTATTAAACAAGTTTTTTTATTAACTTTTTCGATTATCATTTATTATAATTCATATATTTTTAAAATCAATATATCTTATCCTATTGCAAAATTATCAAATGAATTAAGAGAGCTGGGAGATAAGTAGAACAATCGTTTTTATCTCAAATTCTATTCGTCTTTCAGTTTCTTTGCACATACGTAGCAATATCAATGATATTTTATTCTCCCTTAAAAAAGTCCACGTGTCATCAACTATAATTTAATAAGTATAGCTAGCAAAATTAAAAAATATTTTTTACATAAATTTTCATTAAAAGTGATATCTATTAAACAAGTTCTTTTATTCACTTTTTCGATTATCATTTATTATAATTCATATATTTTTAAAATCAATATATCTTACCCTATTGCAAAATTATCAAATAAATTAAGAGAGCTGGGAGATAAATAGAACAATCGTTTTTATCTCAAATTCTATTCGTCTTTCAGTTTCTTTGCACATAAGTAGCAATATCAATGATAATTTATTCTCCCTTAAAAAAGTCCACGTGTCATCAACTATAATTTGATAACTATAACTAGCAAAATTAAAAAATATTTTGTATATAAATTTTCATTAAAAGTGATGTCTATTAAACAAGTTTTTTTATTCACTTTTTCGATTATCATTTATTATAATTCATATATTTTTAAAATCAATATATCTTATCCTATTGCAAAATTATCAAATGAATTAAGAGAGCTGAGAGATAAATAGAACAATCGTTTTTATCTCAAATTCTATTCGTCTTTCAGTTTTTTTGCACATACGTAGCAATATCAATGATATTTTATTCTCCCTTAAAAAAGTCCACATGTCATCAACTATAATTTAATAACTATAGCTAGCAAAATTAAAAAATATTTTTTATATAAATTTTCATTAAAAGTGATATCTATTAAACAAGTTCTTTTATTCACTTTTTCGATTATCATTTATTATTATTCATATATTTTTAAAATCAATATACCTTACATCTTTATATAGAATTACCCTATTGCAAAATTAGCAAATAAATTAAGAGAGTAGGGAGATACATAGAACAATCGTTTTTATCTCAAATTCTATTCGTCTTTCAGTTTCTTTGCACATAAGTAACAATATCAATGATATTTTATTCTCCCTTAAAAAAAATCCACATGTCATCTAGCCTAAAATTTTGTTTGAACAGTCTTATAAAATAGAAAGTATTTATTAAAATTAAGGAAATGGTAAATAGTTCAGGGACTTAAGAACAAACATTTCCAGGATTCAACAGAAATTGCAAAGTGAATTTAGTATTGTCAGTAAAGTATAGATTCCAATAGTATCCGCTGTGAGAGAGGCGATTTTTTGTTTAAAAAAATGTCTTTGAATTAGCTGAAATTGGGACTAATAGTTTAGAAATTATTAGGGCTTTAAGCACCAAAAGAACAAAGATGAACTGGTACCTATTTACGCGTCTGAAATTGCTATCTAAGCAAGCGAGACATTGCTCCCTGTGTATTTTTTTACTCTAAATCGAATGAGACTAGACACGAGTCAATCGAACTAATAGTTTTAAAGCTGAAGGCTGTTTTATGCATAAAAAGTGCTATTATTGATATGGTTTAGCACACTTTTTACTTCGCTATCTGACCAAATGAGAGACATTTTCTGAGGAAATTTGATAAAATTTGAGTTGATAGAATAAATAGTTTATAAGTTACAAGGGCTTCTCTCATAATAAATACATTTCAAAAATAGTGCTTTGCACACATATTATCATTATATATAATCATTATATATAATCATTATACACCGAAGAGCCATTACATTATGACCACCTACCATCTATAACAATGGTTTCTCGCCCAGGAACAATGTTTTCATGGGGCGCCGGACCCATAATTCTCATAGAACAATCCCTGACGTCTGTAAGCTACTTGAACATAGTTGCAGACCAGGTTCACCCATTCATGGTAACAATTTTTCCTGCGGGGATGGTGTTTACCAACAGGATAATGCACCATGTCATAAGGGTCGAATCGTCGAGGAACATTCCAGTGACTTTCAAGTCATGTCTTGGCCCCCAAATTCACGTGATCTTAATCCAATAGAGCATTTGTGGTCCTACTTGGAAAACCAAATTTGTGCTGCCACGCTACCCCCTCGCAATGCGAGGGAATTGCAGGACCAGTTGGTGANTAAGAGTATGCATAGGAAACGATGTCTTACTTATATAAATAGCAATATCACAGATATCAGATTCGTAAATAGATACCAGTACAAACTTGTACTTTTTGTACATAAAACCCTTAAAAATTCTAAATTTTGAGTCCGATCTTCTCGAGATTAGTCTCATTCATTCAGTGGAAAAACATACATCGGAAAATATGCCTCACTTTCCTGTCCAGAAAAAATTCAATTTTACTCTTAAAATCACTTACTAAACAAAGGCGAAGCGTACAGAAGAAAGTACCGGAGATTTTAGGTATAATTTATTCACATAACAAAGCTTTTCCGACGAAAAAGTCAAACTTCACTAGACTAGGAAAAGATATGGTATAAGAAAATCGCATTTTAAAAATTTTCTTCCAAATTCAATAAATTTTCTGCACAGGTTGAAAACCAGGTTTAATTTTAAATTTATTAATGCATTAATAAATTTTAAATATTTAAACGCAACCAAAGTCTATTTAAAATATCCAGAAAGCATCAGTATTATATCCCTATTTTAAATTTAACTTCAATTCATTTTGTATAAAATATTAGATCCCTATTTTAAATTTAACTTCAATTCATTTTGTATAAAATATTAGATCCCTATTTTAAATTTAACTGCAATTCAATTTGTCAAGTTCGAATTTTTGAACAACAACCTCGTATGGAAAAGTTATGGTACCTATATGATTGCCTACATTTCAGTGTTTCTTCTCCGTTGTTCAACCGCATGGACCTTACTTGTCTGGCTGAACTAAACAACATCATAGTTATTCTATAAATAAAATAAAATTATTAAGAGCAAATTTGAAGCATCTTCTTATAATGTTTTTTCTCGCTAATTTTATTTATTTATTTCAACCTTTGTAATGCCTTTAAAATAACTGAATCCAAGCCAAATTTATTTAAATAAATAGGTAAATAAATAACTTTTCTGATACATTTAATTCACAAAAATTATTTCTTTTTAACATCTGCTACGGAATTCGAAATTTAAACGGACTAAGCCCAATCAAAAGCGAAAACTTCTTGGTTGAAAACGAAACCTACATTACAGGTTTCTTTTCCTTTTATCCTTCAGGACAACTTTTATCCTTTTTTAGTAAAAAGGGTGGACACGTACCGCCCTCTGTCGATACGAATTTGAGACGTAAAAGTAGTTCACCCTTAGTTCACCAATTGCTTCAAGGTGAGGGCCCAATGACGTAAACAAAGACCTAGTTGCGTAACCTAAACAAGTTTTTTTGACTTTATCTCATATCGTTTATGAAGAAGGAGTATCAGCCAATAAGGATATTGCTCTATTTTAATATTTCACTTTCTTCTAATATTTAAACCCTTTAATTCTAAAGAATGTCTACTGCCACTGTGCTGAATGCGGGTAAAACATATGTTTCAAACTTGATTATCTGATTGAATTTTATTATTATTGAGACAACTGTTGATTTCAATTAATAATGAGTCAGTATTATCATTTTCATAATCATTTCTATGCTGTATGTAAATTTTAAATTCATATTTTCATTTATAATTATGATTATAGATTTAATAATATATCTTAAATACATCAATGAGCTAAACGGGAATAAATGGAATAGAAGGATGGAGGAATGGTAGGAAAGCCGTAAGCAGGAAAATTGATTTGAAACTTCCTTTTCCTATCTTAATATTTGATTGAAATTCATTTCCTTGTTAGTGATTGAACAAAAAATCATTTTCAAGATTTTAGAGTTAAATTTTTTTTATTTTCATATCAAAATCTCCCTTTTTTATCATATTTTTTATATAGCAGTAGTCAATTTTATAATCTACCTTGCAAAATTGTTTAGAAACGTGGAAACTAAACTTGTGACGTGGAAAATAAACTTGTTTTCTACTTTTCTTTTATTAATCTGTTTTTGAAGATATGGCACATAGTAAGAATTAACTATCAAAATGTTGTTAAAATTTGAAACTATTTACCTTTTTCAAAGTACAGTCTTAACTTATTGCATGACTAAAAGTTTAATTATGAATTGAATGATACTGTTGTTCCTTTTTAATCATGAATACACTGTTAACTTATTGCACAACTTAAAGTTTAATTATGAATTGAATAATATTGTTGATTAGTTTCTCAGATAGTTACTGATTGCTTGCCATCATTAATGTTTTAAAAGATGTGTATTATTACTTTGTATTTTTATCTAAATCTTTTCGAAACTTTACTAACTGAGTTACCAATAAAGATATTGTTTTGTATTTAATTTTTTAAATGCGAAGAAAAATGCTTAATAACTCTAAAAATATGATTAAATGGAACAGAAGAGTGAAGGAATGGCATTAAACCCTTTAGCGTGATAATTGATGTAAGACTGCCTTTTAAAACCAATTCAATTTTTGATTTCATTAATGTAATAATTGGACATATCAATCTGATTTGAAATATTTTAATATTTCTGTAATTTTTGCAAAGAAATCTTATTTTTCTTTTTTATTATTTATCCGCAATTAACACTCATCTTTACGATATGGTTTAATGAATTTTGTCTGTTGCTTGGAAAATAAGCTTGTTTTCAACTTTTTTTTATTAGTTTGCTACTGAACAGATGCCTTTAGCTGTAAATAAATTTAAATTTTGAAACTTTTTTTTCCTTCAAAATGTGGTGTTAATTTATTGAACATCTTCTCATCTTGCACACTTAGCTTTAATAGAAAAGTATTATAGGTTTATACTCTTAGATAATTACTACATTTTACAAGTCTAAAAAGAATTCTTTATTTATTTGCATTGTCTGTTAAGATTGTTTAAAAAAAGCTGTAAATTTTTTCTATACCTAAATTTATTAAAAACCTTCCTCTTTTAGTTGTTATACAATATATACATGTTGTGTTTAAAAAGTTTAAAATTATAAAGATTATTTTTCTTGATAAGTGTGAAGATAATTTTACTTAGATAAAAAAAATACAATTAAAATAAATAATTTTTTTCTTACTATTTTTGCTTATTTTCCTATAAGAAAAAGTCTTTATATTTGTAATTTTATTTTATTTATTTTTGTAGATCATCTTTTCTTTTATAAGAAACTATTACTCTAATTAAAATCATAGATAGGTTTATTTTCTTTTTTATGCTTAAATATATATGAAAGATTTTTCCTTTTTAATAATCTACTATGAATTTTAATTTCACATTTTGGTACTTTTCCAAATCTGCAGCATAGGCTATAGAGATGCCAATCCAAAGTCATCAGGCACAAGTAAATTCAATTTATTTTTTAGGAAGGCTATTTTTTTAAGAAATAGAAATTTATAAATGAAATAGTTACATTTACATGTGCCACCGAAATGGAAAAATACCCACATTCTTTGTGTGTTAAACTTTAAACTTATAAGTATATAGTTTTTCCTTGCTGTTATTCTTGATTAAAACTTCAATTTATTAAATTAATCTTTTGAAATCAATTTTAAATTTTAGGGAGTGTTCGCCATCTTGCTAATGTGTCTGTACGGAACTGCCCATTTCTTTCTGGGTTGAGCCCCTTATATTTGAAAAACTATGGAGCTTCGATAATGAAAATGTATGGGGATAAATGTCCTTTTATGCGACATTATGCATCTGCTTCCAACTCTGATGGTACAGGCTTTGAAGGTATTAAGTAATTCATTGCTATGCTACGTAATTTTGCATATTTTTAAAGTGAAAACTAATTTGAATATTGATTAATATTAATTAATTTAATTTTTGTCAATACAATGAAAGTATGTATTATATTTTTATAATTTATTACTGTTTATTTAAATTTATTGAATAAAAAAAAAGAAATGTGTGTTATAACATTTCTCTATCTAATTATATTTAAAGCCTACTTTTTTCTTTAAATAAAGATTTAAAAAATTTTAATGTGTTATTGGAAAAAATCTGTTAAATCTGAGGTATTGCTTTTAATGACAACTGTGTGATCCTTATTATCCAACCAAATATTAATTTTAAGAAAAACATAGGAAATTTTATAATTTTTTTCATGTTCATTAGAAAAAAACACTAAAGTTAAAACAGCAAAATTATAAAATGTAGAGCTGCAAATCAAGGGATCAGAAGGTTTAAATTTTTTCAGCAATGTTATTTTATAAGGAGAATTTTCGTTAACATGTTCACAACAAATATAGTTCAAGGGTTTTTAAAAATTAAAAATGCATGCATAATCCCTCTTCCCCCCNATTTTACTCAAGTCTCTAAAATTGTGTCAAACTGTACAGCACAGTTTTATGAAGAAAAGTAATAATTTATTTTGATGATTTATAAATTACATTATTATTATTCTGTTTTAAATATGTTTTAGTTTAATTATATCTATATAATTTTCTTTATATATACAGTTGAAGAGTTCAGTGTGAAATTGATACATTATCCATTCTTTAATTTTTATAACTGTAAACCACCTTACTTAAGACTCAATAAATGAAGTTTTTTCAGGGAATTTACATTTCGGTACTTTTTGGTTGGCCAAGCGTAAGTAAATTCAACTATTTTATTAAATTTTTTTTATTATATATATATTTTTTAATGTCTTAAAATAAATAAAAAAATTAAATGAAAAAAATAGCTGAAATTATTTGTGCCGACTAACAAAAAAAAAAACACATTTCTTTTTTAAAGATTTAGTTAGATTTTCATTAATGAATTTTTAATTAATTATCAAAAATTTCTGTTTATCATTTACTTTTCACATTAATGAGGAAATTTAGTATCCTTTTTTGTATTTTAGAAATATATATCGTAAATTTAAACATTATATTGTTTTTTCCACAATTATTCATGTAGGAACTTCGCTATTAGATGAACTACAGTCAAAAATTGTGCCGCCTCCTCAAGTAGCAGAAGAGATCAAAAGTGAGTATTTTTAAATGAATTAGTAAGTAGTAGTAGTAATCATTTGAAATCATTTAAGTTGAGTTGTGGTGGCTCAGAAGATAGAGCTCTCGTCTCCTAACAAGGTGGCCCGGTTCGAATTCCAGTGGTGGCTGAAATTCGAATTCTGCCCCCAACTTGCACCGAACTTAGTGCTGACGTAAACTATTCTCTGTGGTCGACGGATCATGGGTTTAAATCCCCTTGCCGTCAGACTAACTGTGGGAGGTTTTTGCAGTCTTCCTCTCCTCATAACGGAAATGCAAATTAGTTCCAACAAAAAGTCCTCCACTAAGGAAAATTTCTCCCAATACTTAATCCAGGAGTTCCCTTGTCTTCTGGATTGGATTAAAAATTACAAGGCTGCAGAGTTGAACAGTGTTTGGCTGTTCCACGACGGTTATAAAACCGTTTAAGTTTTCTACTGAAGTGTTTAACACTTATTTGTTTTCATTCTTTTTAGAAAAATTTCCCGTGAGCAAATGTCCTTTTATGGAGAATGAAAAGCCTACTGTGAAAGCTGTAAGCATTGATGATGCTATCAGTTCGGGAAAGAAAGAGAAACTTTCTGGTAAACTTTCTGGTTTTCTACTTCATTGTTCCTTAGTTTTGTATTCCTTTGCAGTTTGAAAAAAACTACTGTTCTCTGATTTTGTAGTTATTATATACTATAATTTATTTCACAAGTCATCACAATGTCGGAGAATTTAACACTGCTTTCAAACTTGTATAATTTCAAGTTAAATTGTCAAGGAAAAGATTCAAAATATCTAATAATTTGCATTTTATATATTACCTCAAATAGAAGAGATAATTATGAAGATTAAATATGCAATTAAAAATTTAACACATAAATAAATCTCACCTAAGAATAGTACTAAATTTTATGTATCTAAGAATACTGCTGAATTTTTATTTTATTTAATCAGACATTATTTACTAGCGTAATTATTCATCACTTTTGGAATTAATTATTCATCAGTTTTGAAAAATGGGAGATAATTTTAATTGTTTCTGACTATAGCTTCAGGCACACCAAGTCAGTGCTTCTCTTGTATTTTCTACTTCTCTTTTATTGCCAAATAGTCTGTCCTGTTTTATTGTTAACTGTCTGTTCAGCAATAAAAACATAACCATCCACTTCTAGGCTAGCGGATGCCTTCATTCTTTACTAATTTTTCTTGCACCCTTTTGTGTTTCAAAGTTTTATTTTTGTTTGTCTAGCATGTTAAAATCAAGTTAGCTGAAATTTCAAATTTTATGGAGGTTTCTGATTTTTTTTTTTTTTTTTTTTTTTTTTTTTTTTTTTTTTTTTTTTTNTTTTTTTTTTGTAAAATTTTTTACTTTACCTATCCTTGATGTATCTTTTACACATTTCTCTATCTAATTCTTTCCTTAACAACAGACCTAGACTGTTCCCATCAAGAAATCCCTAAGTTCTTTTACTCATTTAATATTGCATGATGTAAAGTAAGCTTTCCTCCTCCTCTAGTTCTTTTTTCCCCCTAGGGCCCACGTGAGAGCAACAGATGTTATTTCTTTTTTAAATTTGTTATAATTTTTCAACTAATATTAGACTTAAAGATAAGCTTCAGATGACCAATCAATAGTGAATGCAATACAAAGAAGATCTCATTTTTGTTTTCTTTAGAAACACTGCCTTAGGATCAAATTTTACATAATATTTTAAGTTCAGTTGTATGAAAAATTAGAATCATCCAAAAAAAAAGGGGGGGGGGGNAATAGAATTCATTTAAAAAGTTTATTTTTATATTTTCTACTTCCTCCTGAAAACTATAGAGACTTAAAATTAATTGCAAAGTTCAGTTTAAAATAAATTATTAATATTGATTATTAAATTTTATTGTTTTGCGACGTGTTCATAATATTAGCTTTTTAGAACATTTTCTCTGCATATAGATGTATATTCATCAATTAAAAATGGACATGCAAAGTGTAAACAAATAAATTATACGACTTCAATATCTTTGAATCCGTCCTATAAGGATGTTCATCATATTTCATCTCCAATTTAATGATTATTCCCTTAATTAAGTTTAATATTTATTCAAGATTACTTAATTGTCTATTATTTTTATACAAGAGTAACTTTATCATATTTCATAGAGCTACTTTAATTTTAAAGGCACTTGATCTATATCAACAAATCAAATTTTGTTTGCTAAATAAAAAATTAAGGAATTTAAAATAATTTTTATGAAAAGTCATGCCTTTTCTTTTATGACCATTATTTTTCACATTTTCCCACTGTTTCTGTTTCTTTCTTCTAATACTGCTGTTATGAAAAATCTTAAATTTTTGTTCATCTCACTTTTAGCATATAGTTTGAATTTTTTTCTTTTTAGATCACTTTCAATATGAAGACTTCTTTCTTGAAAAAATTGCAAAGAAAAAAGAAAACCATTCTTATCGGATTTTTAAAAAGGTTAATCGCTTAGCCAACAATTTTCCATGTGCTAATGAATACACAGATTCTAAAAAAGAGATAATCGTTTGGTGCAGCAATGACTATCTCGGGATGAGTAGTCATCCAACTGTTAGGAAAGCTGTTATGTAAGTTTGATTTTTTTTTATTGTTAAATGTTGATCCTGATAGTTAAATTTTTCTAGAAATTCTTAAATATATATATTTGTAACCAGAGCTATAAAAGATTACTTAATAATAAAAATATTTTAATTCTTAAATAAAATTTTGGTTTTATAATGTTTTTTTAAAATTATCACATTGTAATTTACTATCACAGGGAACACAAATGAATTTACCATTTGTGGTAAATTCAGCATTATAATTTGTTATACTAAAGTTTTTTTTTATATGCATAGAAACATGAACTGAGCTATTTTTATTCTTACACATTTGCTGCAATGATATTTCAGACACGTACAAATCTTTATTTTTTAAAAAAAAATTAAAACATGAATTAATTTTTATGTGTTATATGCTGAGCTTAATTGGCAATGGAATTACCTCACAATATTTTAAACTAAATAAATTAAATTAAAAAATATAACTTGAAAAATTTAATTATTTATTTTTAGTTCATTCGAAAGTATGACGATAAATTTATAATAATAAAGTATCAATTTAATTGAAAAATGCCCTAAAATGTATGAAATAAAACACAAAATGGTTTAATCACTGATAGAACTTCTCACAATTATGAAAGCAATCAATATTTGTAACCTAATTATCAGTTACTTTCACAAGATTGGAATCCCTTTAAGCAGTTGCCCCAGTTTCTGTTGTTATTCGGTTTCATTGCTTCTCTTTTTTTTTTCTGGATGTAGAAACTGGTTTTTTCTTCAGATATTACGCAATGAAATTTTGAATAGACTTTCCCCATTGATGGCATTTTTCTATTAAATTAAAAATAGATTGTGTTAAAAAAAATTCTGTTTAAATTTGATTTTAAAAAATTCTGTTAGAAATCTATTAAAATTGATTTATAAATTTTGTTATTTTTGCTGTATAATTACATATATTGCAGATTATTGGTGTGAGCTAACTTTACCCCTAATATGTGTGTCCTTACGTACCTAATTTTTTAAAAAGGGTGAAGGAACTCCTATGTAAAATTCATATTTCAAGTTCATTAAATTATTCCTAACTTTCTGAAGGCTTATGAAGATTTCCTCATCCGATAACAAACAAATACTATTCACATCACTTTTTCATATGTGGTTACAATAAGAAAGATTTTTCTTTTTATTCTTTGAGACTTTAATCAATAATTATTTCCTATAAAAAAAACTTTAACTCAATATTTTAAAATAGTTTTAAACTTTAATAATAATTTTTAAACTAAATAATGCAACACATTGTTTATGTTAACTGTGAAGATTTTTTATTTATATTCTTTATTATTATAGCCTTCTTTAGTTTATTTTCCTTTTGAGCTGGAGTTTTATTGTATGCTTAGAATATAAAACATTAAAAAGAGATCAAAGTAAAAATTTTTACTGTTAAAAAGAAATAAAAAATATTTTTCTCTTAAATATGCTTTTTTAATTACAATAATCTTGTAAGAAAAGTGATGCAAATAACTTAAGGTTCTTATATATATANATATATATACAGTTGGACCTCTTTTTAATGTAGTCGCTAAATCCCGAAAAAAAGTTCATTATATGGAAAATTCGTTAAATAGAAAATCACCTTTTGAAATACTTACACAACTCAAAACAGGTTTTAAATACATAAGCACTAGAAAAAATTAAAATTGCAATTGATACACCTTCATCTTGTAAATTATTATCTATTATTTATTTTATAAATCTTAATTATAAAAAAAATCTGCAAAGAAGGTAAGAATAGAACAAAACACTATCCAGTGTTACACTATCATGCTACATGTATTTTTCACTGAATAAAAAAGCTAAATTTTTATATATTAAAATTATTGCTGCATTTATTATAAAAGGAATTTTAAACATAAATTATCACATGCGTTCTTAATTTTAATTGCTGGTGATAAAGTCCGTTAATTTTATCCAAGTTTTTCGTTTGAAAAAGTGTTTTTTCTCATAATAGAGAGGTTTCACATTTTTTTAATGCACCAAAAACTAGTGAATTTTTATAATATAATAGTATAATATAATATATAATAAATATAAGGGGAATATATAATATAATAGTGAATTTTTATCACTGAATTTTTATTTAATTAAAAAACATTTCGATTAGAACTTTTCTGTTCTTCTTTTAGTGATGCAGTTATTGACCATGGAGCTGGTAGTGGGGGTACAAGAAATATTTCTGGTAATTCTACATCCCATGAAGAGTTGGAGAAAGAGTTGGCATCTTTACACCAAAAGGAAGCAGCTCTAATTTTTACTTCATGCTATGTTGCCAACCATTCAACGCTTTATACTTTAGCTAAACATTTGCCAAACTGCCAATTAATTAGTGATGAAGGCAATCATGCATCTATGATTCAGGGTATTAGAGACAGTGGTGTTCCTAAACACATATTCAAGCATAATGATCCTGAAGATTTGGAGAGAACGCTAAAGACTATTGATCCTAATATTCCCAAGATTGTTGCATTTGAAACAGTTCATTCCATGACAGGTATGTTCGCGAATAATTTATTCGAATAATTCTGATAAATCACCTTATTAATACTTAACCATTCTGCCTTGATCCATATCCATATTACCTTCAAGGTTTTCATTTTGTTTAAAAGAAACCTATTTCCTCGAGGACACATAAAAAAAGTTGAGGAAACTAGCTGAAATAAATTAAACTAAATTTGATCGATGAAATTGTTTAATGGTTAATTATAAATAAATGGTACAAATTTTAAACAAATAAAAGTTAATATTTTATGAAAAATTTAAAAAAAAGTACATTTACTTTTTTTTTTATAAAGTACAACTATTTTCATATTATCTGTTGTAATTTTCTGAAGAATTTGCAGATCAGTTTTGCATCAATTACTTTTGCAGATTTTTATATAATTTTTTTGAAATTCTGATATTTGAAATAAAATATTAAGTGAATTTTGAACTGCGTATTTGAATGATAACTTTTTAACTCACATGTTTGAACACAAAATCAATAATGCATTTAATCTGGAAAAGTAAAATAGAATGTTTATTTTCATACTCCAAAAACAAATTTCAACAAAATATCATCATGCCTTTGTGTGGAAATTTGCTTAAAATACTTTATCTTCCTTATTGACCTACTGCTATAGTTCGTCTTATTAAACAGTTATTTCATTTTATAGCATTCAATCAATCATTATATCAAATTATCTTCCTGTAAATAATACAAAATTGTACATATTCTCTGTTATTCTAAACAGAGAATAATTTAAATAATTCTTCTAAACTTACTAGCTTTCATCTAAACTTATTAATAATGTAGTCATTTACTTTTGCACTGCTATATTTTTATTTATGTACATATTTTTTTTATTTTATGTTCAGGTGCTGTTTGTCCTTTAGAAAAGTTATGTGATATTGCTCACAAATATGGAGCTTTAACATATGTTGATGAAGTGCATGCTGTTGGATTATATGGTCAAAATGGTGCTGGCATTGGGGAAAAAGAGGGTGTACTTCATAAAATGGATATAATTAGTGGAACTCTAGGTTAGTATGTCACTTTTTTTCCTTGAACTTAAAATAGTTCATTGAAAGTAAAGAGTTCATTTTTTTTCAAAGTGGAAATAAGAACAAATAAAACAAATTGATAAAAAAATTAAATAAAATTAGTAACACTTGTGGAAAACTTGTTTTTGATCTTCTAGATTACAATTATATACAAATTAATAAAATTTTTATTATTTCTTGGGCTTAAATTTGACAGTTAAAAGGTATATCTTATAAGTTAAGTTTTATGTTCAGGAGCTTAGACTAAGAAATAATTTTATAAAGTGTGTGATAGAAGAAATATATTTTAGGGGGGATCTATAGATTTTTATTTTTTGACAAACTGTATCACTAGATTATTTAATATTTCTTTATTTATTATTATATTACCATCCATAATTGATTTAGTTTTTACATTTAGGAAAATTATAAAGTTAATTAAAATTGAGATGGTTGTAGTTTACACTGAATAAAATTTTATCAATTCTGTTGGGAAAAAAATAATGCATTTCATATTTTGTAGTTGTACTGGTTATTTTTAGGAATGTACTACTTCATTTAAAAAGCAATCTTTTTTTAGATAAGTTTTTAATTAGTATGCAAAATATATGTATATTATTTTTTTTTATTAATAATATTAAAAAGGTAAACAGATTTGGTAAAATGTTTATTGAGTTTAAAGAACAAATAGTTTTAAAATTATACTATAGCTCTGCATAGTTTTGAAAACAACTGACAAGAGATAGTTCTGAATTATTTTCCATTTGTGTGAAAATAACATTTTCAGAACATCAATTTATCATAATCAGACAGTTAATTTATTGAATTTTTCTATAGACATTTTGTATATTTACGAATAACATCAGTTCCCAAAATTTTTTCCATGAAATTGAACAGTATTTTTATTAATTTATACATCTGAAATGGGGGAACAGACAAAATCACAGGAGAACCCACCTTGATTATCTGAAATACTAGTTAGGACCAGACTTACTTGGAAAATCTAAATATTTTGATTACAGTGGTAACATTTCAAAAGTTTTGAATCTAATTTCATCAATTTAGTCGGAAACTAGAAGGTTTTCTTAAATAACCGTGCTTTAAATTTAATGAAAGTTTTTTTTTATCAAATGAATATAATGATATTTTAACATTAACTACTAATTTTGCACCATATAATACTGCTGCTCTTTTTTTAAAAAAAAAAATTATTTACTTGTAAAAAGCAGTATTTAACAACCAGCAGTTCGTGTATTCATTCATATTCCTTTGCAAGCTTTGTAAGACTTTATTTCAATTCCATTTGCACTACTACATTATATTTTCTTACACAGATAGCATAGCATGTATCAAGTAATGATGGTCATGAATAAACGGATTAACAACAAAACTTATGGATTTCCTTAGCAAAACTAAAGCAACCCACTTCACCAACTAACAAAGCATTAACTATTAACTCACGTAAAGTGATTAATTTCATGTAGTTGTACATTACAAAAAGTTTTTTTAAGGTCTTATGTACGTAATTACTATTATTTCTACTATATTTATTTATTGAACTGAGAGACATGTTTTATGTAACTCTCATGAGAGTAATATGAGATGTCTTTCTTTATTGCACAATAATATATCTATTTTCTGTGTTTTAAACTGCTTTCTTAATCTAAGAAAACCATAATATTTTTGCTTATATTTATAGGAAAAGCATTTGGAAACATTGGTGGTTATATTGCAGGCTCTGCAAATATTGTTGATATGATTCGAAGTTATGCTGCAGGTTTTATTTTTACAACTTCTTTGCCTATTACAGTTTTACGGGGATCCTTAGCAGCTATAAAGGTAAGTTATACAAAGCAAACATTTTAAAACGCAATATAACAGATCTGAAACTCTTACAATTTTTTGTCATGCAAACTAGTGGTGCATAACCTTTTTGAGAAAAAGACCAATAATTTAAATAATTAGGCTTTTGTGGCTGTGACAATATAAAAGTCTTTTATATAATCCTAGTCCTCTGTATATCAATTAAACAAAATTTAATTACCTTATATCCTGATGTATGGGTCCAACCCCTATTTCTGATTATGCAATTTAACTAAATTTGTTAATAAAGTTTAAATTTCTTTGTTATAATTTTAGATTTTGTCAGATGTTATTAAAAAAATATTTAAAAATTTTTACTAAAATTGTTGAGTAATTCTTAAACTATTTTTTTGCCAAAAATCAGGAAATTCCATATAAATCCTTCAAGAGCCACATTTGGCTGCTAGGCAATAGGTTGTGCACCTTTTATGTGAACTTTGAACTCCTAAAAAATTTTTGCATTGGAATTGCTTAATATTCATATACAATTTCAAAGATTTAACAAAATTTTATTCGGTATCAAAATTGTTATTAAAGATTAAGGGTATCAAGGTTGTAATATAATTTTTGTCTAATGCTCTTTTGCTTTTTTAATAGTTTTTAATAGTAATTTTTGTTAAATGAAATGTCTGTAAAACGATGGGAAATAATTTTTAGCTGATTTAACAAGGAAAATTAAGTATTATGTATTATTTTCTGTTTGTATTAATTTTATATTGTTTTAGAGTTTGTATTTTAAATCTATTATTAATTTTTATTTCAGATACTGAGAAGTGATGAAGGTAGATTGTTGCGGGTAAAACATCAAGAAAATGTTAAATATCTTCGGACATCTTTGCAGAAAGCCGGAATTCCTGTTGTGCACTGCCCTAGCCATATAATTCCAGTTCATGTAATTAATTTTTTGTTTTTAGACTTTTTTTTAATTTTCAGCACTTGCTTTTGTTTTACTTCACTGAAAATAAGGGTATATTTTATTAGACAATGTTAAAAATTATATAGTTTGTTTTAATGTCAAAACACTTGAATCACTTAATGTCAATATTATAAAATGTAATACAATGTTGAATATTTTTAGCTGTTTTTAAGAATTTTTACATATGCCCTGCTCCTTTTTCACAAGATTTTCTAGGTTATATATTATTAAATGGGATATATCCTATACTATGTACTAGAAAAATATAATACAGTAGGGAACCGATTATCCGGAACGATCGGGACCATCCTATTGCGGATAACTGAATTTTCCGGTTTTCTGAATCGCTACAGAAAGCCGTTTTTTTTTATTGTTATACCCAACTAAAAAAAATATTTTTGCAAATAATCTTACAAAGAAGAAAAAACAATGAAGTAATACACTAAAGATTATTTCCAAAATGATGGTAAGGTAAACATCTTTCAAAAAAGAAAGAAGAATCCTAAAATCTTATGAGGAAAAAAAAATAAATTTTTTTTTTTAAATGGCGGGAAAATTTGTCGAATTTTGATCCGGTTTTTTGGTTTTCCGATTTCCGGATAACGGGTTCTGTACTGTATTATACTTTATTCAGATACAAGGATGCTAAGAATTGCTGATTTTACTGAATTTAATTTTGGTTACTGAAAATTTTTGTAGATTACAGAAAAATATAATTTGCCTTTTTAAATGGTTCCTTATATTTTTTCTGAATATTTTTTTCAGTTTGTTAATAACATCTTATTTCTAGTAATTGTTTAGCAATTTTGTCAAAATCCCTGTTTTAAAAATAATCTTTGTGAGACTTTCATAAATTATATTTGTTAATATTTACATGTATATATAATTTGTTTGTAGTAGTAACTAGTTGTATTACTGAATATTTTCTTTCTCTTTGCAATTATGATTAATAAAAACTGTGTTTAGTAATTATTTTTTTCATATAAAAATGCATCGTATAAAAAAATTATCAGTTACTCTGACATGTTCATTACATGTTGTGTTACTGAATGTTCTAAATTAAATAGTTATTATGTGTAGAATAAAATTAACTGATTCAATACGATTATAAAAAGTAATATTTTAAAAAGCATTGTTAATATTTGTTGAAGTGTTGCGTTTAACATTGTTTAAACAAACATTTATAAACAAATATTTTTTCTTCAGATTTATTACAAATGAATAATGAATGAGTAATATAATTAAAAGTGAAAAATATACTTATTATAATAATAATTATCAACAAAATTCTTTTTTATTCTTTAAAATTATGAAACATAAAAGTGTAAATAAAAACTGTATTATGCAAAATAATCTTTATTTACCTTTGAATGACAAAATTGTTAAGCTTTTTCATATTTCATATTTTTATTACATTATATATGTATACTACCTAAAATGTCATAAAAATAGTAAATTTTTAATAACAAAAGCATTACTTATAATTCATTGTTGGCATACATGTAAAAAAAAATAATTGAGATGGTTATTCATTCTGAGCAAAAATTTTATTTATTTTGTCATTATCGTTTGTTGCATTCCTTACTATTTTTTCCTAACATAGTTTTACATCATTGTTACTTTTTACATATATCACATCTTTTACACCTTTTCTATGTCTATAAAATTGAAATTTAAAAAAATTTTATTAAAAAAGTTTTAAATAAAAATTATTATTGAAATATAAAATATGTTAATTTTGTATTTTTATAGATTAGAAACGATCTTCTACATTTTCCCATTTTTGGAACTGCTGCATAGTTAAGAATGCAACATATTTTATTAAAGGAATTAAAAAGTGGAAAAATATGCAATGCTGATAATGGCATGACAGTGTTTTATCAAGTTTCAAATAAGGCATTAATTTTTGCAATTATTAACTGTATATCAAATTATTGTTTTGTTTTTTTTTCAGGTAGGAAATCCTTATTTTTCAACTAAAGTTAGTAATGACTTAATTGAAAGATATGGTCATTATGTTCAGGCTATAAACCATCCCACTGTTCCTGTGGGTGAGGAGAAACTTAGAATCGCCCCAACTCCTTTCCATACTGTTGATTTAATGGACAGGTTTGTGGCCGATTTAGTTGACACTTGGAAATACGTAGGATTGGAATTACGTCATGATTTCTGTAGCCAGGTAAGAATAAAATTGTTTTATATTATATGGTTATTTATAAGTAAGAGGAAATAACAGAAAAACTGCTTCCAATAAATTATAAAAATATAAGATAAAACTTTACTCATTTTTCAAATTGTAAACAAAATGGACATTTTAAAATTATAATAGTGATCTTGAATATTTTTAAAATTACTTTTCATGTATTCCCTTATTTATTAGTTTGAACAACTCTTTCGAAAAAGTAATATTTTTTTAATAGTTTTAAGGCATGGTTGAATGGTTCAACTACTTTTTATATGGCTACTTCTTATATTTAATTCAGTCTTATAATAACTAGAGTTTGCCCATACATTGCACATAGATAACTGCTAAACAACAATATCTGTTCAAAAAATAAAGCTAGCATAAATAAAAAACAAAGAGTAAGGTTGAATATTCCGGTTTAAGTTTTTTCCTGACTTTTTAAGTTTTGGCCATCAGCATTAAAAAATTTTAAAAAATTCTACTAGGGAAGTCCAAAAAATAAAATGTAGGAATTTTTTTTTAAATATTTCGTCCCGCAGTGGACTGATCGATAAGACACCTTTCCCAGCAGATCACCGAAGTCAAGCATCACTGGCTGCGGTCAGCGTGCGGGTGGGTGACCACTTGTATCAGTCTGCGTAGGGACCAAGGATGTGCGGTATGGGTCCTTTTTAAACTGTTCTACCGTAAAGTGCTCGACTTCATGTGCAGGTGTCGAATTACCGAAGCGGGGTGCCATCCCCTCTGCAGAGGATCAAAATTGTGATGGTATGTCTTCGGATCATCCTCAGGGATGCTTCCCAGACCGTCGCCAATAGCCCATTGTGCAGCTCTAGTGTGACGTAAATTAACTACAACAACAACTTTCAATATTTCATGCTAATAATTTCACATGGAGGGATTGAAAATATAGCAAAATAATCCATAAAATATTAGCGCCATCTGTAACAAAAAAACGACTTGTCAATTGGTAAAGTAATTCAAAAGATAGTAAGGAAAATTTAATCTGTAATGGTGGTTTTTAACAATGGAATTTCGTATTTTTGATATTGCTCTTGCGATCGAACTTAATGACACCGGAAAGTGGTAATTGTTTACAAATTACCCCATTAGAATTTGCTAAATTTGAAAAAAAAAAACACAATTCAAATCAGTGCTCCCCAATCTCGAGTTATTAACGAACATACATACAGACTGATTTTCACTTTCATATATAGAGAGAGGTGTAATTATTTTCTACTTACTCTTTCTTTATTTTCTGTTATTTTAACAGAAAATATAATTATTTATCGTTGCTCATTTTTTTTTTCTTTTAAATTCTCTAAAAATATTTTAAATTTTGTTTTTTGTTTTTTAGGAGTGTGACTATTGCAAGAAGCCTCTTTACTTTGAAGCCATGGAATCAAGAGTCTATCCTTGCGGAGGATTGGGTGAATGTCCTCAAATTGCAGTCCATTAAAATATACATTTTATATATTGTTGAAAAATGAGATATATATAAATAAATAGATTTTATGACTTAGTTGCGTCTACTTTGTCTTTTTAAATTTTATCATCCCCTACAATCACAAGTAAGAAATGCACTAAGTCTTTATTTTTGGGTTTTCTATTGATCGTTTTTGGGACTCGTTTATTTACGTATTAAGGTAGGGTAAACCAACCAGTGAAGGAACACTTCATATATATTGATTAAAAATAAGAATTTGAAAGTTTTTCTTTAGATTGATTGGTAACAATAGCNAACAATGGAATTTCGTATTTTCGATATTGCTCTTGCAATCGAACTTAATGACCTTGGAAAGTGGTGATTGTTTACAAATTACCCCATTTTGAAAAAAAACACAATCCAAATCAGTGCTCCCGATCTCGAAGTATTAACGATCATACATACAGACTGACTTTCGCTTTTATGTATAGAGAGAGATGTAATTATTTTCTACTTACTCTTTCTTTATTTTCTGTTATTTTAACAGAAAATGTAATTCTGTATTGTTGCTCATTTTTTTTCTTTTAAATTCTCTAAAAATATTTAAAATTTTTTTTTGTTTTTTAGGAGTGTGACTATTGCAAGAAGCCTCTTTATTTTGAAGCCATGGAATCAAGAGTCTATCCTTGCGGAGGATTGGGCGAATGTCCTCAAATTGCAGTCCATTAAAATATACATTTTATATATTGTTGAAAAATGAGATATATATAAATAAATAGATTTTATGACTTAGTTGTGTCTACTTTGTCTTTTTAAATTTTATCATCCCCTACAATCACAAGTAAGAAATGCACTAAGTCTTTATTTTTGGGTTTTCTATTGATCGTTTTTGGGACTCGTTTATTTACGTATTAAGGTAGGGTAAACCAACCAGTGAAGGAACACTTCATATATATTGATTAAAAATAAGAATTTGAAAGTTTTTCTTTAGATTGATTGGTAACAATAGCTTACTGCCAAACAATAGGAAGTCATCTAGCAATGTTCTGGATTACCTGGTCAAATAGACTTCTCTGGAAAATTTTTTGAATTTTTTATTATCCCTGCAACACCTTGTTTCTTTGAAAAAATTATATAAGGTGAGTGTTTGTATTTATATGTTTGAAGTGTAATTAATTGCATGTAATAGTTTTATTTTTCTCACTGTGAAAAAGAGAATTCAAAATATAGTTATTGAAGTTACATTTTTTTTTAACCATCATAGCATAATAAAGTACTGAGATAAGGGGGTGTTTATTCACTGGATCGCCAAACGATGAAAAACCAGTTTAGGAACAAGTGTTCCTTTACTGGGTTTTTTTCTAAGTTAATGAAAATAAGAGATAAACTTTAATTATCATGTACCTTTAGTGATGTTCTGCATCAAAAGTATGTTAAAGATACGAAAAACAACTTCTAACCAGTGAGGGAACAGGCATGTTCCTTTACTGGGCATAGATTTCCCAGTGAATGAACAGTATGTGTTAATATGTTGACACTTTAATTTTCAATTCATGATTACAAAAAAAAAGTTAACATTTTCCAAGTATTTATATGTTATAATTTCAAGAATAGGCTTGTTTTTAAACATTTGTATGGCTTATAAATTCATAAAGAGCATTAAAAAATAACCAAAATTATGTGTTCATTCACTGGTAAGAGTTGTTCCTTCACTTGGTCTTCTTACTACTTGTTATTTGAACCTTTAAAACAATATTATGTAAGTTCTTTACCATTTTTTTGCATAATTTGCAATTAGTAACAAATATGTTGACCCTGTCATTTAACTAAAATTACGAATTTTGAAATTAATATGATATTTTAAAAGGCAAGCTTAAGTGTTCCTTCACTGGTTAGTTTACCCTATACAGAAAGACATCGTCCATATAATCGTTTTTCACCGACATATTTTATCAACTTTATAAATCTGACTTCAAGAATTAGAGACTCTCTCAAACTCTTAGAATAACAAAAGACACAGTTTAAAAAATGATTAGACTGTCGATCAGATATTTTTCAAATTCACGCAACACTGTTCAGCTTTGAGCCATAAGATGTCGTTTAAATTGAGTATGGGCGAACTACGGTTCACAGGACAGCTTTGCCTACTTTAAAGTTTTAACTGACCCACAAATTATTTCAAGCAGTTGTCTTTAAAAATTTATAAATATAAGAATTTCTCTCACCTGCAACATATCACGTACAAGAAAAATAGGAATATTTTCATCATAATTAGACAAGTATTTTCAACTGTGAATTATTAGAAACGATAGTATCACTTCTCAGAGTTAGCACATTGCAGTTCGAACTTGATTGCAAGGAACTTTTAAAAGTGCAGTTTCATTTACATCTGCTTTGCTTTACATTTAAAGGGTTCGTTATAAAACAATGATAAGCTGCTTTTTCAATAATGGTATGCGTTGTGAAAAATATAAGAAGGTAGACAAAATTTCCTTGTTTCTAAGCACTATTCGTTGGTTCTAGGCTAGTCTGACGAAGTTAAGACATAAAATAACTTTAGTAAAGAATAAATAACATATGTTTATTCTTCTGAGTTACACTCATGTCCATAAATTAAGAATAATGCCAGCTCCAGCTAATAAAGATTAAGAAACAAAACAAGTGTGACTTATTTATAAGCCCATTTAATAAACAAAACAAAGTTGGTGTATGTATGATACCATTCATAAAAACTAAAATTTTTGAACCTTATTTCATATGCATCGAGTTAGTCTGGTTGGTAGAACGCTGTACTCGTGTTCGTGAGAACGGGAGTTCGAATCCTGCCAGTCGAAGAATCCCCATGTATGAAATGGTGCACGTAGAAATCTGTCGCGGTCACTAAGTCCAAGTTCCTATAACAAATCAATATCTCTGAGGGTACTGAATTATTGATCGTTCTCTCGTTCAGGTCAAATCTGCGGGTGGAAGAAAGATGAGTGAATGACTCCTCTCTGTGAAACGGGTTGTGACGTACGTGTGTGGCAAAATCGTATTCTTGGCCATAGATGGCGACACTGAAGCGTATCCTCTGCTTTTAAAATTTGCTTGATTTCAAGCAGGCTGGCTGTATTGGCAAGTGGCATATGTAACAACATCCTCCTTCATAAAAACTTCATATTATATGGTTAGTATGATGATTAATATATTATATCTTCGATAAAATGCAGTCTGCACAACACCACAGCACAGGGCTCGAAAAACAGCCCGTCCTCGGCGGTCAAAGATTCCCCGCGGACAACAAGCTTCTCGAATCCAACGTCCGCGCGGACGGCCCTTTTTCCCCATTAATGTTCGTGATCCATTTTCAATTTTTGTTATCTTACATGACCCTCTAATCTCGAAATACGGCAACATACTGTTCATGGTGGAATTGTTGTTTNTGCAAGAGTTGTGATGAGCTGCAACTCGTTAACTAAGCATGTCTCAGGCAAGTTCTGTCGGATTTAAGTCAAGTGAGAATGTTGGCCATTCTATACAGGTGATATTCTCAGTTTGAAGGCATTTATTTACGATGTTTGCTTTGTGAAGGCTGGCTGTCATCCATAAACACAAATTCTGCTTCCATGGTACTCCTAAACAAACGAAGATGTTTTCCCAGAATGACGTCCCGATAAATTTGGCCTGTCATTGTTCTACTTTTAACATGCAAATCTGTCTGAACACATTTTTATCTATCCGAGGGAGACCTGTACTGTAACGTTTACTGATATTTCCATCTTCTTAAAATCGTTGCCAAAGCCTAGAGAGGGGCAAATCCAAGTTCTTCGAATATTTCCACCTGAGTAAGCCTCTAAGCGGCTGATAATTCTACCACTTAAAAAATCTTCCACATGCGTCCTTTGTGGCATTCGCTTATGGTACTGAGGAACTTACAAAACGCTTGTGAAAAATTTTGCTTCTTTCCCATCATTTATTATATACCCCTTTCTTATACTTTCATCACTATAACTTACTATCAGCGTCATCTGGTGGATTTGCACAATGTTCTAGAAGGTGTGTGTGATAATTCTACAGGTGAAATTTATACTTTAAGAGTTCAAATTCCGTATGATTCTGAATTATCCTTACTTTATGGTCAAAAGTGTATTTTAAAATTAAAAGGTTAGCAAAAATGAGAAACTATCCACTACACATTGAATAAAATTTTTATTCGACATTGAAATTGTTTTAGAGTTATCTCAGTCTTAAAATAAGACCTGCATTTTTTTCCAACTTCATTACACTCTTTTTTAAAGTCTTAGAATAAATTAATTTGGCCATTTTCCCCCCTGGCCGATTCCCAAAAATATCTTTATTCCCAACTCTGATTTAAATCTTTCATTGAAGAGAAGCAATAAATTTAGCACACGAAAATGCCAGGAATTTTGCTTTATTTTATATTTTTTTCAATCATATTAAGTTTTCATCTAAATTGGAATGAATCATTAGAAAACAGTCATCGAACCATGAGTTGAGAGAGAGATAAAAGGAAAGATTTTTTTCATTATCTTTTACCCTCCAAACGTTGATCCCCTGGATGAAATAGTACGAAAGTTTTCCTACTACGCCCTACTCTTTGAATAACGTGGCAGTAACAGATTCTTTTGATGTAGGTAAGCTTGCGGCTAAAAGTTCGGAAATGGGGTTAAAATAAATGTTGAAGTCAGATAATGGGATGTGACAAATTAGAATTAAATAATGTACAAGTCAGAAAGAAATAATGAACACTTTTTTTTGAATCTTCATACATTTTAATTACAACTGCTTTTAAATAATCTCTCAATTGCATACAACAAAACATTAAGGTAGTCATAAAATTGACCACACAAAAGCAAGCAATTCTGTACATCACACTAATAGGATTTCTTTAAAATTCAAATTAAAACTAACTTGTAAAAAAATAAAATAATTACTATGATCAAGTATGAAGCTGAACATTTTTTTTCCCTAAAGGATTAAAAATAAATAGTACATTAAAAATAACATTTTTGTTTAATTGATGCATTCATAAATTATATATATGAAATTTGTCCACCAATAAAGTTTTATTATATTTCATAAAGTTACTTTTCATAAAAATGGGGTGGAGATGGACCAAGAAAAAAATCTCGCAAAATTGAAAAATATTTTAATCCAAATAGAAACTATCAAAATTCTTCAGTAAATTAAATTCTTGATTTAATTAATATATTGAAAATCCCAATTCTCTGTAGTATAATAGTCAAAATTTAGGAAATTACAGTTTTTTTTTTTTAAATTTAGATTTGTAGTGGAAAAGGGTATTGAGTTGTATCTAAATGGACTTGCCAAACATCAGCTACATAAAATATAGCCATAGCAGAAAGTTATCAACAAAATAAATTTTCCACATAACAAACTACATCATTTATTAACCAGGCAGAGAAAATTTAAGTTCAATATATACAGCTGACCATAAGTTTTTAAACCCAAAATTTTGCTCTTTTTTTTAGAATGTTTCTTGGAACCGCCTTCCACCAAGCCCGTCAATTGTCATTGAAGACACATCAGTTCTTTTTTTCCTCTAAGTTCCAATCCAAAATATAATATCTACAGGGTGTCCCAGAGAAAAGCAGAAGGAAATAGAAACCTACAGTTTGCTGCATAGTGTTTAGGGAGCAAGAAATTTATTCTTGCCAAGTTTCAAAATTAGTTAAAAAGTTTGTCAACAGATGGCACCGCTGACTTAGACTATGGACAATGTTTAATGATGTATGTCCAAATGAAATATTTGCACTAGCATCTGTTAATTTTGGCCAGGCAGTCTTAGATTGTTTTTACAAATGATTGTTACATTGAAAACATTTTATAATTGTTCTGTTGATGAACTTAGTAACTGATTTTTAAACTTCATGAGATTATATTTCTGATTTCCAAAGGCTTACAGAAAATTATACATTTTTATTTCCTTCTCATTTATTGATTTCTTAAATAGCTTATTTTGAGAACAAACAATATGAGGAAAAGAATAAATAGATTGCGAACATAAATCCAAAATTTTGATGCGAAAATAGAAATAGTGTATATGATAGAGATAATTAGAAGAAAAATTAAAAAGTACAGTATTTCTACTTTGATGCCATGCTCAGCATGGTAACTGTACCTAAAATGACCTTTTTTTTAAAAAACAATTTTTGGAGGCTATACATGACTTTCGAAGATTATATCTCACTTATAGTAATATTTTTGAGGCTTTTTTCCACCACATAACAATTTTTTTCCTTAAAAAGAAAAGTCTATTTTTGAAGCTAAATAATTGTATTATATCACATCATTTGCAATGTACAGTATCACTACATTTAGATTCTCTTAACAGGTTTACTGTGGCATCGAATATAAGTCCATGTAACATTCCACAGGCAGAGTTATGAAATATTGTAAAGAATTTTTTTAAATGATTAGCGCAATTAACTTTATGAAGGATTAATGAAATAGCAATATCTCATTTAAATTTTATTTTAAATAACATAGATCAAATGAATCCTTCATTTTCATGATTATAACAAAAATTATTAAAAACATAACTTCTATTTTTTAGCAGTTCAGATATGTTTACAAATATGGAAAGAACATTCTATATTGAAACATTTATAACTTTAAGAAAAGCAGTCAAAATTAACTTTGATACTTATAAATTACAATTCAAGATCACTTTATCGACACAAAGGCACTTTATAAAATACAACTATAAATAACTGTGCGCTACAGAAACCATCCACACTTAAATTAGAAAAAAAAAGCTCTTTGTGAGAGCTAATTCCATAACTTAATATATTTACAATATAATATAGAGACCGGAAAAAAAGAAACTAACAAACAGCATAGAGGTCACAGCTCTTTTATATCATGCAGCATTAATTGAGTCTGAGAAAATATTTATAAACAAATCAAATATTTCACAATACAAACAAATTATATTAAATATTTGATGTAAAGCAAAATCCTTATAAAGAATCTCCCTTTATTAACAGAAATAAATAATATTTTCAACATAGATCAAAGAATACGATAAATATCTATTGCTAACTTCAGTAATTAAGTTTTGTTCTTAATGAAAACAAAAATAAACATACTTCTAGAATTAACACTAAACATAATTAGAAAAAGTCATATTAAGACCTGGCATCTCATATTAATAAAATATAAAAAATTTCAATACTTATGTAGAATTTCAGTCAGAAATATAAAATATATTATATACAATCAATAAATCGTGAGACAGAAGTCATTAAACCTTAATTATGCAATTTAGAGATGGGACTGAAATCAAGTTGCTGGTGTGACAAAAATAATTCTCACGATTTTAACTTGCTAGGTACTTACCATGCAAGAGATGATAAAAGATGACAGATAAGAAATTGTCAGTTTATTAATTTTGTTTCCCGAAGTGATGGGGGAAAATGCCTTGATAATTGTAGACAATACCTTTGAGTTTTATTAGATAAATTGCATGAAATAGCTGCTGACTCAAGATTTATTGATTGTTGAATCAAAATATGTAAAACTAAGGTTATTTTCATTAGATTATATCATGATTTTAAGTCTTCTGATTCAATTAAATACTAGAATCGGGTAAAATGGATCACCTAAGTGACTACAATAAAATAAATCGTGAAAGCAAGCAATTTGAATACATTGATCAACATATTTCTTTCAAATCAATGGATCCAAATATACAGCAATTCAAATTACTGTCAGAATGAATAGAAAGAAAGTAATTAAATTCATTGCTCCAAATAAACATACTATGATTCAAATCAATACCTGTTCATTCAGTTTGAAATTGATCTTAGTCAATTTATTTCATTTATTAGAACCCTCTGATTCAAATCAAGAGATAATCACTGACTTGAATCAATGTCCTAATGATGATTCAGACCAACAAAGCACTTAAGTGATTCAAAACCCGACTTTTCTAAATACATGCTATAATATGATAAAGGTGAAAATTCTGTATCAGCCAAATCTCTCTGTAAGAAATCAACAGTTTTTAGTTAAATGTTTTAGCTTTTTAATATTTATTTTATAATAATAAAATGAAAAAGGGAGTTTAATTAATAAAGACAAAGCATTATCAAATATTTACAACTCTTAGGTCACTGGCATGCATTTTAAAAATTGTAATTATACATTATTTCCCAGCATTGTATAAAAATAATTCATTTTATAAAACAATTCTAAACAATAATCTTATATTATCAGTATCCATTAGACAAAAAATAATTCTACTTCCTCCATGTTAACCAATGGAGAATAATTGTAATGCAATTTCTTTATTTTTAAGTAACTAATACTTATCAATATTTTTAATTTGATTTTATTCATTGAAACATTACTGTGTCCATTTAATATATTTTAAAGTTATTTAACTTTCAAAGTAAATTTTTCATAATTTAAATTTCACAGTTGCAGGTATTTTTGAAATTTTTTCTTTATAATAGTTTCAAAAAAGGTTTTAAACCAGTCTCAACTTTAAAATGTAATAATTAGGTTCGACAGAACACATTTCGACGAATAAATTAAAACTAAAAATACGTCAAAATATTTATTTGTAACTTCATAAATCTAGAAATAGGATTCATATAATTCTTTATGTGTAGACAGTAGCATTTCTTTTTTATCCGAAAAAGAGCATTTAAGAAAAATTCATCTCACATCGAAAACATATGATTTTACTAAAATGTTACATAATTGAATTTCAGATAAAGAATTAAAAGTAATTTAATCTAACTGGAGAATGAAACGAAAACAAAAATAATATCCAACATTTTGCTGTAAAATAATTATTAGATTATTTTTGCAAAATTTCAAACACATTTGATTTTTAATAAAAATTTAGGATGAAAAAAAAATATTTCCTTACCAATTGAAAAATATTCGCAGCCATATACATTAACTTTCATCACAAATTCAAGTGTAAACTACTTAAAAAAAGCTACAAATACTCTGAAAAAAGATTATTTCAGATTGTATTCCATAACTAAAAAGAAAGAAAAAAGAAAAGAAAGAAAGAAAGAAAATAAATTACTTTACCAATACTTGATCCAGGTATATTTTTTTCTAGGGGAAAAAATTATTCTAAGGAAGTTGAAATATATTATCCTGCTTCTTTTAAGATCCCCTTCAAACAGATTAGGATCTCCATTTAAACATATGGAAAAGAACACTATTTCCTTATTTGTTAAATAACATTATAATACTTTTGAAACAATTTTTGATTCAATTTATCCATTGAAATGTGTTTGATTGATTTTATTTATCAAAATTTAAATTTTAAGGTTGTAAGACGTTTTTTAAAATTTGAACTTTTAGAATTTTTAAACATAGTTACAACAATAAAAATTAGTAATTAGTTTCCTTAAATCACATTTCCATGAATAAGATGAAATAAAAATATTAATATGTTATTTAAAAAATAAGAAAATTACATTCATAAAATTTTCCAGGGGTTAACATTGAAGAAATAAAAAATTTTCGAAGTGACCCTTCAGCATACTACGATCCAGATTAAATTAAATATATATCTTTCAAGGGGAACAAAAAGACTATGAAGGAGATAAACAGATTATATTAAAAATATAAATTGTATCTAATTCATACATTTCTAAAGGGAAAAAAGACTTAGAGGAAATTTAAAAAAAAAAAATTATTCTGCTGTATTAAGCAGCCATGAAAAATGTTTGAAATTGCGAATAATAAGATTTACAATACTTTTAACAATTTTTAAAAAAAAATTAATTTAAACTATATACTAATCAATTTAGCAAAATTTTATAATATCATATACAAAAATATGCTTTTAATTTACTTTTTTTTACATTGTGTTATATAGTGGATTAGGATGCCTCGGTTTTATTAATTTAGTTAAAGGATGTGTGCTCCCTTGTTGTTTTCGCATTTTTCTAGGCAAGCATATTGGCGGCGGAGGAGGAATTTCTGCTGCAATATAACCTGTACTTGATTTGGCAGCTAACCTTATAGAAGGTACAGATTGATCATCAACCAATTGTTCACATAATGTTTTAGAGTCTGATCTAAATGTAGTTCTAGAATTTGGCTTTATCATAGGCAAGGTTGACTGAGAATTAAGTTTTACATTGAGCGGGAATCTTTTTTGTACAAAACTGAGGTCCAAGCTTGTTTTTCTGTGAGGAGTGGGAGGAGCTTTTTGATCCTCGAATGTTGCTTTGTTACCGACAGAGGAAGACAATCGTGGACGCAGTCTAGGTGGCTGATTTTCAAAGGAAGAGTCCATGTTGGGAGCAGAGGTTTGTCGCTCAATAGGTTGTAAACTACCCATTGCAAGCCTACTCTCATATTGCTCAAGACCCTCTACCTCGGAAAGAGAATTTCTTTCCCTTTTGCTGTGTTCAGAAACGGATTTGGCTTCAAGTTCTTGTTTAAGTCGCTTAACTATGCCGCTTTCCTTGATGTCATCTGGTTTTGATGATTCGGAAATGACTAGAGAGCATCCCTGTTCTAAGGATACTTTTGACACATCTTTCTTAACTCTCATTTGCTCACTACCACACTTATCTTTGACAGTTTTCATGTTTTTATTTTCAAGAAGTTCGCACTGCAGACGCACTAATCCAGGTATTGGACTTTCACGTTGCACCGGGGGACTCCCAAAAGTGGAATCGTTAGCTTCCACTTCTGGAAGAGATGTAGCACTTCCAAATTCAAAGTCTGAATCTGAACTTGAATGCATGGAAGACACTTTCCTTTCTGAAGGCATGAAATGAATGGCACTGGACAAGACTTCTTGAGTTCCACAGATAACTCTGTTTACAGCCTCTACAACTGAAGGGGTACTGACACTAAGATTGATTGCACTATTCTGTGGACTTATAGCATTGTTTTTCTTAATTGTAAAAGGGGCATTTGAAGCTAAAGCAGGAAGGGGATACCATTTGCCAGAAAAAGGCATAGCAGGTCTGCAGTCACTTCTCAGACTGTGCGACCTTCGAATCAATTTACCGACACCCACATCAGATTCAGGTGGCGTGGACGGATTAGAGCGTGCTCGATATGGAAAACCACTGTCGAAAGACGTCGTCCGAGTTAAATTCTTTTCCTCGATCTGCCGCTTCGTTCTCAAGACCTTACCAGGAGTAAAAGGAATATCTTCTTTATCATAAAAATAATTTCTCGTATTCCGAAAGCTTAAACTATCACAATAATTCACAGTTTCACTAATTGAATGACAAATAGGTGATTTTTCAGGAGACAAACCATCAAAATTTTTTTGAGGACTTTTACCTGTTGCTACTAGTTCAGTAATTGAGTTTTTCATTCTAGGAGCACTGATTGATTTAGTATTTCTATCACTAATATTAGCAGGAGATAATTCTTCACCAGTAATTGACTTTGGAATAATTTGGCTAGTTGAAGAGTTATGCAAATTTGTGTTGAAAATTTCTTTACACTGACTATTTATACTGGGTGGTGATGGGACAGTTGCATTACAAGAATGACTAGTTTTGAAAGAGTGTTGAGATCTCCCGCTTGATTGCACATCTTGCGCAAAATTATCTCCAAGGCCAATTAATAAACTACTATTTATACTGCTAGGAATTTGAGGAAGATTTATTTCAGAATATTTTTCAGTTCGAGATAAATTAGGAGACAAAGCAGGACATTCCGGCACTGATTTTCCATCATCTGACCACATTGAAGGCTTTACAAGTACAGCATGATGCTTACAAATAGGAGGTTTAGTTTGTGACAAAACAGGCTGAACTATTTCCTCACCAGAGAGCGGCTTCATAAATAATCCTTCATCGACTGGAGATGAAGGTTTAGATCCTGACTCAAATTGATTGGCAAGATTGAAAACAAGACCAGATCTACTCTGAGATGTGGGTGATTTCACTTCCTGCTTAGTTAACTTATCAGATGTAACTTGTAATTCTAGTTCATTTATTCTATCTTTAATCGATGAAACTCTAGGTAAAGATGGATCAGAACTTAGAACTTCTGTACTTTTGCTCCCTTCATTTACTTTTTTAATTTTAGAATCTGTAAAAAGAAATAATGAAATTAAAAGAAAATATCATACTAATATAATAATTATGAGTTATAAGATACAAAAAGATATCATAGAATTCGTTTTTGCTTCAAAAACTAGTTTTTATCTAAAACTTAGCAAAAAATTGCATCTGAAAACAGTAACTTATAATAAATTTTGATAAAAGTTGAAAGAAACATTTTTGAAGCTAAACAAGATAGAAAAAAAGGCATTAATTTGAAACCAACTAACTTATTTGCTATATAATTTTAAAGGATTAAGATAAATTAAATAAAATTAATTATTAATTTATGGGTCCATAAATGTATACTTAGAAAACTTAAATGCGGTGATGGGTGCAAAAAAATTTTTGATTTACACAAATAGTTTTGACAATACAGGGAAAATTGCAAACTGCAAAAATAACATGAATAGGCACAAACCACCAATCAGACTTCTGATTAAATTAGTACAACCTTTTCCTCAAAATATCAGCAACTTACCATACTTTAAAAGTCAGCAAGCAAAATAATTAAATCAAAGAAGTTGTGATTAGTTTTTTTTTAATGTGATTAGTTTTTTTTAAAAAAATTTTATGTCTAATTTTGAATCTTTATACGTTGCCTTTACTAATTAATGAGCATATTTAAAGTCTGCCTTTAAAATATTATATCAAAAGTTATCAAGCTTTTTTTCTTCTTTTCTTTGCTTGTTATACTAGAATACTTAAACGTCTAAATGAACCATCTATTCAAAAGAACACAACGGTGTAAACAAATGCTAGACTGTTCATTGATCCCCAAAAAATCAACTGATCCTATTAGCAGGATTAACTACTAACATAAAATGCACTTAATCGTAAATCAATACTAATAACTTAACAGCGTCACATAAAGCTTAACTTACCATTTATAATAGAAATATCCTGAAATATAAATTAAAATTAGACTGAAACAGTATAACAATTTTTTAATCAATCAGTAGATATAATTAATTAATTTTTTTAATTGAGAACAGCTAATTACTATTATTTTCATTACCATGAGCATGGCAATAGTAATACATATCTAATACATGAGTAAGACATATCTAATGAGTAAGACATATCTAATACGAACATATGTTTTTTTGTTTAGGTAACAAAAGGGCAACTGCACCTTTTAACTGTAAATAATTAGTCAATACAAAGACATATTTTTTAATTGAATAAGTTTATTCAATTCAATAAGAATTTTAAACAATTAAGCTCTAAATATGTTATTTGAATGTGATTTTTAATTAATCACATACTGCATCATGGCTTATATCTTTATTATCTTGATTTATTTTACTACAAATATATAATTAATTAAATTCCAAAAAAAAAAAATGAATTGGATAAACTGTTAATTTAATTTTCATAGATAGAAATATAGATTAGTTAAGTTTTTTTCCTAATCACAGTTATATTTAATTGTTGCATTTGAGATGCTTCATAAATGGTTAGGTGATTCATGTGTAACTTGCATTACAATGGATTACCCCTGCTTAGTTTAAATAAGGTTTTAATTTCAATGATATTGCTTTAACTATGAGTGTTCTAGCATACTTTCACTCTCACATGAAATCAAACTAAAAATATCTTTATGAAGTATAAATGAATTTACAAGTAGAGTTTTTATGAGAAGACGACTTAAATAATACTAAAGAAAACTTTAAGAATAGTAAAAAGATACAAGAATAAATAGCTTTTATCAAATTATATGGGGTCCTAGACCCTGAAAAGATTAGCTCTGTTGAGAGCGCTTTGTCAAAATATCAAGTAAAAGATTAAAGTTTTCAGCTCAAAATAAACAGAACTTTTAAATTATGTTAATCTATATCTAAGCTAAAATTTGAAATAAGTAGGATTTTAATTAATAATGTTATGGAAATTAAAAGATTAAATTTAAAAAAGTGCTTGTTTTAAATAATAAGTTAGTGACTTGATTGGTCTTACAAGCAACTTTTTCAAGATTACAAATTATTTGCTTAATTAGAGCTCTTAGAAGAATTTCCAATTAAAATTTGAGAATGTCAAAGAAATCAAATTTTTTTAGGCATCTTAAATGTGATTCTTCCAACTGGACTCATTTGGCAAAATTTTTGTGATTCTTTAAAAATGAGTTAACTCAACTTTCAACTTCAACAATTTATATCTTAACAACAGAAGTATAAAAAAAAATTATGTATAGATTATTTCTAAATAAAAAATACTACTTATTGAAAAGAAGTTCAGCCTGATTTATAAGTGACTTTTTGAGGTTCAGTGAGTAGAAATTCAAAATTACAGAACAAATTTTTGATAATTTATTTCTTATCAGCACATTAAGTACAAAACTATTAAATAACCATTAAATAACCTAATCATTGATACAAGTTAAAAAATAATTATAAACACAAATATGTTTTTCTATTACCTACATAAAATTACTATCCAATACATTGATATTATCAGACGTTTAGAAAACAAAGGAATGTGCTGATTAATTCTACCATACAATTCAGATTTTTTAAAGTATATATTGCTTTTGAATAGCTAAAATACCTACAAATATCTGTCAGTCCTTTGTTTTGAGGAGGAAATAGCATGTCCGCCACAGCTTCACTTGGAGACCAAGATTTAGGCCTAGATGATAAACTATTACTGATAGTTAGATGATGGAGTGATTCACTTTTCTCTGGGAGCTTCTGTTTCCTATCGTCAGTTTTCTTCTTTGGTTTTCCGGAGATTTTGAGATTTGTTTCCGACTTGGAACGCCATAAACTGTTGTGGCGTTGTTTACTATGAAACAATTTAAAAATATCAAATATGCAGCAAGTTTAAACAAAATCTTTCATTTAAAAAAAAGTTTTTATGGCATAAAAATTTATTAAAAAAGAATGAAAATTTAAATTTTTCATAGTAATGAAATAGCACTAATTTAATCAAAACAATTCTTCGACCAGATCTTTTCTTATCATTGAATTCGATAAACAGATGCAAAAAGTGTGACAAAAATCTAAGAAAGAAGTTCCGCATCTTAATTATTTCATATACAATCTCCAAAAAGAAAAGTTATTGAATCTTGCATTGAGCTATTAATATTTAAAAAAAATTATATTTATTACATATTACTGTAAAATTATTACTGTTTACATTTGCTAAAAAGAGTTGCTCTGAGAACAGTAATTTAAGATAAATATACACACAATACATCGAACAAGTAAGATATAGCATTAAATACTTAAACCATGAGAATTTTCAAATAATAAGGAGATATTAAAATAGTACTTATCCACTGCCTGAATATCAGGCTAAAATCTGTATTAAACTCTGCTATGAACTGGGGACAAGTTTTGACAAAAACACGGGAGTGCAAGAAAGCACAACAACCTCCCAACAAGCCACTGTATACATAATCTTAATTTAATGCAAGTATTACAATTGCAGTTGGAACAATCAGGGAATCCAATTACTGAATATTTTTACACATATGAATTGTAAAAATTTTAATTTCCAACACTCTTTATTGTAAGCATTAAGTATATTTTAATTTTTTATGAGTTTTCAGTGTGCAACTAATTTTAAACATATATGAAGTTAAATCAAAATTTACTTATGCATAGATTAAACTTACATGCCACAGTGGATTTTTTACACTTTCGGGTAGCCTATTATACTCAAACAAGTTAAATTTAGTTTCAAACTCACTAGCCAATTAATGAATTTAAATACAAATCAGTTAACCTAGTTGTTAACTCAGAAAAATTAAAATTTCTCTGTCAGTTTTAAACTTTTAAAAAGAAAAACTGATTTTTTTTATACATATACACAGACATAGTCAAACTTCTATTACTCAACAATCGAAATTGTGGTGAAATTTATTACTGAACTTCTTTTCCCTTATTCAAAGTTTGATAAATCATATTTATATAAATTGATTCCATTAATCCATTAACTGGGTACTAGTCTTTTTAGTTAACTGTGTATCAGAATATTTATCCCTGTTAGTTCCTTATTTATTTAGTAGTAGAATTTCAGTCAGTATAGATATTCACTACAAATGAAATTTTAACAACAAATCCAAATTACGAAGACTATAATATTTGTAATAAAACCAAAGTAATCTTGTATTTGAATTGCCAAATGAAAACTACTTAGCATCATGAGCGACTTAAGTATTGAATCATATTTTAGAGAGAGAGTGACGGATATAAAAAGCTTATACACAGTTCTCTTAATTTTTACTAATGCAGAAATCTTTTCTTTCCCTTCCGTCTGTTAACATCTGAAAAAAGACATCTGTTTTGATTTTCGTAAAAAAAAATAAATAAATAAATAAAATCCCTATTTGAATTTAAAAAAAGCAAGATTCAAGAAATTCTTTTAATTTTTCTAAAATATGAGGGGATTTTGAAGACTTCTTCATATTAAAAGGATGATGCACCCACTACTGTTACTTCCTTTAATAATGAAAATTGGATGTGTTATGTCCATTGTTTTTTTTTTTTTTTTTTTTTTTTTTTTTGTATATTCTCACTGTTATAATACAAAGTACATTCTTTTTCTAAGCCTAAACAAAAATAATTAATATCAATAAGGTAGGATGATTTACCTTGCATCTAATATTCCTTGATAAATTTCAAGTTGTTTTAAAAAGCCAGAGTTTGGTTTTATGCATCCTCTTTTTGTTTTCACAAAGTCAAGGGCTCTCTGCAAATCCCAATCATAGGCCTTCATTACATAGGCTATCACAACGGATGCAGAACGACTAATCCCCATTTTGCAGTGTACTAAGACTTTGGAACCTTCATTCCTGTAATAAATAGATTAAAAGCAAATTAATTCGATATTATAAATTGAAATATTTTGTCTCATTCAATACAAATATTTTCAAAATCAATAAATTATACATTTAAGATTAATAATTTAACTTAAATGATTCCTATATAATTTTCTATTTATGAGGAACTTAAGTAAAATCTTTGCATGTTTATTTTCTCCAGTCCTTAAAAATAATGCAGAATTTTTTTTTTTAAAAATTCCACATTCATTGTTGTTATGTTCAATAAAATGATGCTAAAATGAAAAAATCAAACTGATTTTACTTCCTACTATTATGAGTAAAACTTGAAATAAATGTACAATTATTCAACTAATAAAATATATAATCAAACTCAGTCATTATGAGCCCCGATTTAACAAGAGCTCAGGTTTAACAGGAAAATTTTTCACGCATAGTTGGATTAATGTTAAAAAGCCTAGATAAAAATATATTATTCCGACCATATCTGGGATTTTTTTTAAAAAAAAAAGCATTTCATTGTTAATGAAAATTCAACTTGACTCAAAAGTGTTTAAAAACCTTATTTAATTTAATACACAGATAGTTAAAATAACTCCCCAATATTCAAGTAACATAATATTCAGCATGATAATAATTCATTAAGAAAAAGGTAATATAATAAAAAAAGATAGGTATAAAAAAAGAAGAGATTTTAGTTTCAATTTCTAAAAAATGGTGTTGTTTTTTTTTTAATGTAATTTTTTTAAAAAGCTTTTGTACAGAAAAATATCTTACTTAGCTCTTTGAATATAACGATATGTTTTATCCCAATAGTGCAATATTTCAGTGGATTCATCATCGTAAACTCTGATATTTTGATAATCAAACATGCCAGGAAAGAAATTATCAATTTCTCGTGTCACATTTAAAATATGCCCAATTCTGAAATTAAAAAAAAGAATAACAATTAAAGATATACAGATGCAATTAAATAAATATAATAGTTTTTGATCAGCATTTGTTAAAAAAATACTAATCTTTCAAAACTAAAGAATTATTCTTCATACATAACAATAATAATAAAACAATTTTCATTACAAACCTTACTTGACATAGTATATTTAAATAAATTAATGCTTATAATTTAAAGCTAGATAATATATAAAAAAAAATACAGAAGAATTAACAAACAAGTTTGAGGGAAATTTTATTTTTGAATATACACATCTTCTTTGTGCAATAATAATTATGATGGTTTGTAAGAAGCATTTGTTATATTACTCTTTTTTAACTAAAAATACAGTTATTTACGACATTCAAAATTAAATAAAAAAGATTCCTGTTATTCTATTTTTCATAACAGTTTGAAATAAATTAATTTTAATAAGCCGAATAGCAAAATAGTTCAGAATTTTTAACACTAGTAAACAAATTTTAATGAAATTATTTTGCTAAAAATATTTATGCCTCTTCATGGTGCAATGCAGCTCAGTGAAATAAAGTAGTATACTGTAATTTGAACAAATTAGATTTAATGTTTGTAAGTTATCAATCATAATTTAAAAAGTCGTGGTGGCTCATGGGATAGAACATTCACGTTCATTCATATAAGCTGACCCAGGTTTGAATCCAAACATCGGCCAGTTAAAACGAATTCTGCCCATAGCTCACAACAACCACCATGCTGTCATAAAATATCCTCAGTGGTAGACAGATCATGGTTTAGAATTCCCTAGCATTTAGGCAAACAGTGGGAGGTTCTTTTGATTTTCCTCTCCGTGTAACATAAATGCAGGTTAGTTTTATCACAAAGTTCTCCACGAAAGCTAGTTTTTTCCAATGCTTCATTGTCTTCTGGTTGAGTTGGGTTCAAAAAAACAAGGCTATGGGGTTGAACATTGATAGTCATAAACTCAGAATTAGGTCAGCTGTTCAATGCCAGTTAAAAAAATAAAACAAAATCATAAACTAAGTTTATGCCATACTTTTACTTTTTATTTGCAAATCTATGAATACCTAATACTCATTTAAAATGTTTGCTTCATAAAATTCACATTCTTGGCATTTTAATTTGCTACCAAAAGAAAGGCATACTAAGGTTACTTTTTTGACTTCTATTAAATTTAAAGAGTTGTCAAAAGTTAGTAAATAAAACTAAAATAATATCTTTCCTTGAAAAATCTCAATTTCTTTCAAAAAGGCGACTTAGAAACTTTTTATCCTAAGCTTTTCAATTATCATATTAATGTGTGTTACCATGAGTATCACTTATTCCAGTAGAGGTTAAGGTTGTGGTAGGACTTCTATTGTCTGCGCAAACACTAAAATAACCCAGAAATTAAATGCTTAAAAATTGGTAATTTTCCATTCTAAAAGACATTTTCTCACATTTAGGAAATTAAAAACACAAACATTTCTACAAGTTAGTGTAAACTGTTTCATTCAACCTTTTTAAGTTTCATTTAACCTAATTTTTCTCAAAAATGTCGTCACTTTTTTGGGAGAAATTTGGCTTACTATGGAAAAAGTGGCAAAGTATTCAATTGATATTTTGAAAAGCGTTTGTTATAAGTTACATCAACATGCTCTAATTTTAAACCCCCTTAGTGATATTACCATTTATAGGGAACTTCTAGCACATGCACTGCATATGCACAAGTGTGTGTATGCATTTGAGTTAAGGTAAACTGTAACGCTTTGTCAAATCTTTATTTTTTCAGTTTAACACATAAAAATCTAATTCTCAAATTATAAGATTATAAATTATTACTTTTTCTCTATTGTGCATTGTAATTTTAAAAAAAAAGCGCAACTTATTGTATCACAGATCAATACTTAACACTCACCCATTTACAACTAATTCTTCTAAATTAGATGCATTCCATTCAGATCCGAGATATAAATATTTAAATATTTCTGTTGGAGCATCCATTTGTCCAAGAATAGTAAGCATTTCTTGATCAATGAATGATTTATATTCTTTAAGATCCATGTCCAATATTTCTTCGAGACGTGTTCGTATCTGGAACATAATTTTAAATTCAATTTCAAAATAAATTTTTCACACAAAAAAGAAAGTATACTATTGTTGGTGGAAAAGAATTTTTAAAAAAAACTCACATATTTGCTGGTAACTTCATCTAAATCCACTGACATCATTAACTCCTTCAGTTTAGTTCGTATATGTCTTTCGGTTTCTTCTCGTTCCGTAGGTCTGAATATAAGTGATACAATAATTAATAAAAGCAACAAAAAGTTTAAGCACAGAAAAACTAAAATATGCTATTTAATCACATTGAGATTCATAAACGCTGGTTTAAAATACTTACTGTAAACGTAAAGTATCAGGTGAAGGAGGCCTTCTATACACAATATCATCCATTGCATGCCTAGAAAAACAAAGGTTTATGTATGAAACATATTTGGGAAAAAATTTAGACATAAAAATAGAAGTAAAAATTAAATAAAAATTTATAATTTATTTAGTCATGTTTTACAATAAATTTAAAATATTAGAATGAAAATGTATCTAAGCACCCTAAAATTTAGATACAAAAATTAAAGTTAAAGTGAAATATAAATTTACCATTCATTCAGACATGATCTGTCAGAGCTAATTTTCTTCTCATAATATTCAATCCATTGATGAGTTCCTCCAATTTTAAAATAATTGCACTCTCTTGCTTGAGAACTTGCCTTATGGAGAGTTTGGAGAGCAGACCTGTGAAGATTAATGTTATGCTAAATTATATGATGAAGAAAACATTTTAAAAGATAAATTCAGTTCAAGGGAGAAAACAAATAAAAAATAAAATAAATAGGATTCATACTAAAAAAGAAAAAAAAATTTCCCCTAAACTTTTCAGATAAGTTTAAGGAAAAATTCAGGCTTAAAAAGAATTCCAACAATGTTTATATTTAATAAAAATATAAATCAGATTCGATATAAAAAAAGCATAAAAGTGTAAGTTGGAATACTTTTAATAATTATAGACAGTATGTTAGAAAAATAAAATGTAAACTCGGCATTTTTCGGGGTGTCAATTCAAATGATTTGACTTTTAAAAAAATTAATCACTTTGCAAAAAACATTGAAAAAGAAAATTTGTCATGCTTTAGAATTTGAATAGAGAGAACAAAATAGGAACCTTAATGAAGTACTAATAATAACAAACTTCGTAAACAAATTTATATAACATATAAAACATTTTTATACGTTACTATAATAATATCTCGACAATATAGAATGGTCAGAAATCAGCAAACACCACATAACCAAAAATCTGAGTTTTCTATATTACCTTATTTTAGTAAAAAAGTACACTGGCTTAATTAATCAAAAGTTTATAAGAATATATAACTATAAAAAAAAATTTATAGTTGTTTACAAAAGTTAAGATTAATAAAAAGACTGATATTGTCATTGGTGAAGAAAGAAAAAAACATGTATAAGAGAAACAGAATTTTTTTTTTTAATTATTAACACTTATACCTAATTGTTTTAATAGTTTAACATCAAAAATCTAAAGTCCATATCACTCTGTATACCAACAACATACATACATTTATCAAAATTGTTAAGATAAAAGTGGGGGAACAAAAATAGTTCATACAAAAAAAATAGCAGCATTAAAAATTTTTTGAAAAAAAAAATTTAAAAAAAATCTAAACTGGTTAGAGGGAAAAAAAAAGGCAAGAAACAAAATCAATTTTTTTTACTCACTTAATTATTATCTATTTCAACTAAACTTAAATTTTTTTATCCAAAGATAATTAAAGGATTTTTAATAATTATTTATCATTTTTCATTAATATACTTAATAAAAGTCAAAACAAATTGGAATTGAAAGGTTGAGAAATTTTTAAATCATTTTAAAAAATGTAATTTCTAATTGTAAAATAAAAGATTTAAACACCGTAAGTTTGATGGTCTCTCAGTTAACAAACTTTACAAAAAGTTGCACACAAAAAATTTCCTTTCTCAAGAAATTTTTTGATTTATTTCATAAAATAAGATAAGATAGCGTATATAATATAAATAAATAAATAAATGTGATCAAAATAAAAATATAATAGGAGAAAAAAGACAGTTTAGATGATTTTGATAAAATGCTAAAAATTATTAATTGGTAATAAAATATTAATTACAATTCAATAAAAATTTTTAAAAATGTAAAATAGGTTTCAATTAAAACATAGAAAGTAAAAAGTAATAATGAAATATTAAACTTTCCAAAATACCAGAGAATAATTTGAAGAAAAAAAATTTAGAAACTTACCACATAGCTTGAACAGAAACAGGTTTAAATATATGATGCCTACCACTGGAAGTGACACTAAAACCTCTAAAGGAAAAATTACATAAACACATCAGTTATTAACATAATATATTGAAAACCAGAGTAAGTCACTAAAAAAAAAAATTTTTTTTTATAGGACAAGCATAACACTTACAAATTTGTTTTAAAAAGATATGCATCAAGTTTAATAGATTCAATGTGCACATCATTTTGGACTAGTAAAGCCATCTCTTTGCATTAATAGTACTTACAGCTTTAATAAAGGTAACAAAAATAAAATGCAACTTGCATAATATAAAAAAATATATAAATAATAACGTACAACATAATATAAAAAACGTAAACAGTTAAATACTTATGCTACAATAATTATGGTGTATTGCTAACTTTTCAATAAATAATAAGTCTATTATTTTTATAATTAAACTGAAGATATAAAAATTTGCTCTGATGGATAAGTTTTGACTATCTGTAACTAATATTTCTCACAAATAGAAAAGAAAATATGTAAAAACATATTTATGACAGCATAACTGCAACCAAGACACAATAGTACTGTACACAGTAGAATACTTAAATCAATTTCAATAGTATTTATAAAGAAGTATTTTTTAAAGGATCGCTTAAGTCCATAAAAACTGAAGGAAAACAAAATCGCTTGCGTAAATACAAACTAAATTTCAATGATTCAGGGGTGATTGTGAGCCCAACTCAAAAATCCTGAAAATGTCTTGAATAAAATCATTAATGACTCATCTCAAAAAATTAATGTCCTTATAAATTGAAATCATTGATATTTTCAAAACATGAAATTCTTAATAAATTATATGCAGTATAATTTAAATGAATAATTATGTATAAGTTTACTTTTATCTCTAATTACATTTATTATTCTACCAGAAAAAAAAAATTTCCAAATAAAAGAGATGCCAAACATAAATTCTAGTTCTAATATTTTTAAATAAAATATACAAGAATTTTAATACATAAATGTGATGGATGATCTCTTAAAACTTCTGGACCTTGGATTTCCGGATCGCGGTTAGCGAAAAATTCGGAAATCCAGATTTTTTCTGGAGCACTATCATCTCTGATGATTACATTTATAAGTTTACAAACAATGGAACCAAATTGATTTTCAGAAATCAAAAAATATCAGTATCAAAATTTATGATGAACTTTGTTTAAACAATAACAAGCTTGAATGTATATAGGGACAGATTTGAAAATCCACCATTTTAAATATCATTTTTGTTGTACATATGTAGAATAACTATTTGTCAATAAAAGTATTTTCAAAAAAGAAATTTGTGTTCAAAAATTAAAAATACATGAGGGAATAAAAATACCCGATTATGTACTTAAACATGATGCATAAAGATTAGTTATTTACTATTTAAAACATTTATTAACTATGATAGTAAAATATAATGTCAGTGATTACAAAAATTTAAATCACTACATAAAAAATGAAAATCAAAACTAACCCATCCCCATCCAAAGTTATACGAGTATCAGCCCAAAAAGGAAGTACTAAACCAATAGTTGTATCTTTGTTGCAGTCGATACCCAACAAACAACTTTCTTCCATTTGATATTTCCCAGTGTGATATACTACAACTAAATATCGAGTTCGACCACAGTGCATACTTTCCAATTTGACAGCCTGAAAGAAAGAAAAGGAATGTAAAAAAAAAACATACTAATTATAACTTCATAAAATAATACAAATTTGTCTATGTTTTTAAAATAAAGAAAACAAATGAACTGAAGGTTTTGATTGATAGATTCATTGCTGAAATTCAATTCATTGTAGTTAACTACTACTATTTTATTGCAAATGTAGTTAACAGCAACAACAGCTTTTTAACATGTAGTGATTACAAGCTACTTTTGTAATATATTCACCACTTAATTCTTTTTTTAGGAAATGTATTTTACTAGACGATTCAGTGCACTCTCATCAAAATTTGAAAAATATTCCCTCCCAAAAAAATCGTTTAGAGAAATAATAGGCTTTTTTTAATCACAGAAAATTTAGAAATACCTAATTTTTGTGTATAAAAGCCAATTTTTTATTCAACACCATTTTTTTTAATGATTTTTTTTTCTTTTAGCAAACAAAATTGGCCTTATTGACAGGAAATATTAATTCAAGAGATGCTAGAAAACTATTAAATATTTATGATTTTTTTATAATTGTCTAAAGCTCTTTAACATCATCTAAGAACCAACGTACACAAAGAGTTAGTTATACAAGAAAATATGTTCTGCTGTTATCTCAAGCAAGAATTGCACCAATCAGATTTAAAAAATTAGTTGCATTTGAACTTTGTTTTTTTACTAAACGTTAGAAATAATTGGAAATTATCATTACAAAATACTTGTTTTTTGCATCTCAAAATTAATTACACAATTTTTTTTAAGTAATATATGTTGTTTATAGTGTTGTTTTATTAGTTTTATCACTTGTTCTGACCACTGGGCTTAATTTAAAACCGGAAAATATGCCAAACAAATGACTAAAAGAACTGAATTAGTAGTATTTACTCTCTAAAGAAATCAATCCATGAAACATCTTTACTATTTAGTAATTCCAATTCAGTTTATCTCATTCTACTAATTCATGATCTGATACCAAAACCTAAAGAGTGGAGAAAATACTTACCATTTTTAAAATATCATCAGGGTGAAGTAAGTACAGCATTGACTGCAAATGTTGCTGGATATCACAGGCTAAATATAAAAAGAGAAAGATTTAAACACTTAACAAATATTACTAAACTCAGTGGTGCAACAGCCCATAAAGAGCCCAGGCCTTCTGCGCCCATTTCAGTTTTCTTGACCTTGGGCTCTGGGGTGCAGGAGCAGATGTTCCAGCAGGTGGTTAGCCGAATGCTGAACCCCCAGTGTTTAGTTCCCAACCCAAGCATGCTTGGTACTCATTTATCGTCCCACTGAAGAGATGAAAGGCTGCTTAACAAATATTACACAAATAAAAAATCACTAACTAGACTGTTTTGATAGATATAAATAGTTATAAATTTGTTTCCAAAATAATTTTTTAAATTATTAAAAAAGTTTTCTCCTTTAAAATGAACCTTGTAATGGAAAAAAAAGCAATAGTACAAAGCATAGATAAAAAACTTATACAAAGTTATTGCATCATAAAATAGAAAACTAATTGTTTTCAATTTGTGTGATCGTTTTCTCTTGTCTATCAATTTATAAGTAAGATATTTTATAATCTCTTAGTTGACAAATTTTTGTTTTATTTATCTTATTTATTTTATTTGTCCATTTATTTGCTTTTTTACAATGCCAAACAAAATATCTACTATTTTGGAGCTGTTAAAGCAAGGAAAACAACAGAGTGAATTGGCTCGTTGGCTCTGTACACAAAAGTTTGGACTCTCTAAAGCGGTCTATATAGACCTCCAGGGGGTCTATTTAACAAAAACGGGGGTCGATCTGAGACAGGGGGGCGAATGGGGGATCGATCCGAATCGGAAGGGTTGATTGTGGGTCGGGAAAAAAAAACAGTTCTCAATACGCAAATCACACATACCTAATTAAGTATGTAAAATTTGTGAATTTTTCTTTATAATTGACTCAATGTCAGTTTCTTTACAAAACATAAAATTATTATTATATTATTAATTATTATATTATACAAAACATAAACTCAATGTAAACGTATATTTATAGGAGTGAAAGAAGTATTTACGTACCAACGCGCAGTGGCACGAACTCAGCGCGGTTTATAAGTCATATGCATATGTGTGCTTGTCCAAATGTCACGTGTGACGAGCAATGACGTTACAAATGCAAATAACATACGCAGTTTCAGCTATCTTTGCAAACTGTGTTGAATATTTGCTGTGTCATTATTAAAACTTTTATAATTTTGGATAATTAGTTATTGTTTCGATAAAACCATTCGTTTGGTTTAGATATCAATTTTAATTATCAATGCACAAAAAAGAAGGTAAGCATTAATAATATGGATTAGTACAGCCCGCGACAAAACTATAGCACACTTTGTATTTTTTTACGAAANGAATTTCAATAATAACAAATTTAAAAAAAAGATACGGTAAAAGTGTGTATTTATTTCAGAATTCATTTTTTTAATTGAATAGTATAAAAAATAAATTATAAAAAGCATGTAATTATGTAACGAAATTTATTAAACATATAAATTTAAATGAAATTTCAAAATATATAAAATGAAGTGTCAGATAAACTCATTAAAATAAAACAAAAATCGTATAAAATTTAATACTATCGATTTCCTTAATAAATTATACCATACAGTATACTTTGTAGAATTTTTAAATTAATCGGACATTTTAATTTAAAATAATCTCCTTATTTTAAAATCATTGTCTAAACAAATCTTAAAACATCATTTCCTCTTTTTAAATTTTTCAATCAAATAGAATTTCGGATTTTAACTAATGAAAAATCCTTAAATATGAACTTTAAAACAATAATAAGAGTAAGAAGGAAGGAAAAATTCTACAATAAAAAAAGCTGATTAAAAATTTTAATTGCTCTATAATTTTCAATTGTAAAATAATACTGTATTGTCAATTCTTAATCGCACCCCTTACATAAAAAGAAATATAACCATTTATAAAAAGTTCAATTGGCGAAATAAAATCTAATAACAATAATACTCGATTACTCATTTTGATTATTTTCATGTTTAATATCTTAATATTTAATTATAAACATCATAAACAAGTGCCAACGAAATTATCACATTGAGTTTAAATTTAATATTTTGCTTCAAGTTTCTTTTGGTTTTACAAAAAAAAAAAATAATAATAATAATAAATTATTGAAATTTAGTATATTTAAATAGAGATTTATCACCATTACATTTTTAATAAGAATAACTCTGATTAATTTATTCGTATTTTATACATTTACAACAGAGTTTTACAATTATATTTCATTTCTTTCAGTAGGTACATATTTTCAGAAAATAATTTAGAGACTTAAATAGCTTTTATAAAAAAAATTTCTCAAAATTCAAGCACAAAAAGAAAACTCTTGATTATATTAACCCTTAAAATATTATAGCCAAACTTAAAGTTCAGAGGGAGATGAAGTTAATCTACTACATAGCATACTGGTTTGCTTTAGGCTAAAGTTGTACATAACTGACAACACAACAAATAAAAAGTCTGGTTTCATTTACCTACGACTAAATGGCAAAAACCATAAAAAAAATTAATTTTATTCCTAACTCAAATTGAGCTGCAAACTACTTTTTTATTTCAATTTTACCAACGTTAACCATATTTAAAAAATTCAACAAGTTAATTGATGCAAAAATTGTAATGAAAAAATTTATAAGTTACCCTCATTTAAAAGATATAAGTAGCAAACACTGAAAAAAAAATATAGATACACTGGATATGACTATTAATTTAATAAAAATTTTTAATTCATGGAAAACTCGAAACAGTGTATAGAATTTAAAATTTATAATAATCTCAATGAACAGACCGAGACAAACAGATATTATAAAGCATGCATAAAAAGTTAGGCTGTAACACAATTTCTATAGGTCACATTTATTACAGTATATTTAAATACAAAAAATTTCATATAATAGTTAGAAAAATATTCCCAATATAATGCAAGCACATTACAGAAGGTTATTTTAACAATCTTTTTAACAAAAAATTTATACAAAACATCTTTTCAACTTAAAGAGTTTAAGTGCATTCGGGGAAAAAAATAAATAAATAAATAACATTATGAAAAAATTTTTACACAATTTAGAATGTAAATAAAGAACTAATCTCATTTCTTTATCAAATAAAATCAACTTTAAAGAAATAAAATTCATATATATATTTAATAATAAGTAATTAATTAAAAGGGATATTAGAATAGTATACCAAATTTATCACAGTGAAGAAATGGTTTCATTGTTAACGTTACAGTAGAGCTACACTAATAAGGTATTGATTAAAGCCTGGGTCTTATCCTTAATGGCAATGTAAAAACAACACTGTAAAGTGTGTGCACATCACTACCACAGCTTAGGTAATTGGTGCTAACCAGCCAGCCTCTACAGTATAAAACCATGCCTGTACTTTTTTGTCTCTGAAACTTCTGGAGATTCCATTAGAGTAAATTATGAGCCCCACTCAGACACAATCGAAGGAATCCAACTGATCAGAAAAAGCACATCTGCAAACCTGTAGATGTGTTTTTTCATAGTTGCAGAATCAAACTTTGGCCCAAGCCAGGATAGTGGAAGACTTAATCCACCATTCTACCTGGGTGGCTGGGGAGATATGAGGATAAGTATTTAATTGCATTTTTAAAAAAGATTTAATTACCCTTTCTTATCCTTTGTCTCCTTTTCTTCTTCACTAATATTACATCCATCAATGCAATCCTGTAAAATTAGAAAAAAACTTGAGGGAACTTATTTACTATATAAAAATGTAAAATGCATTTAAAAATTTATTTAATTGTGCTTTAAAATTATCAGCATGCACACCAAGAAGTTTAAACATGTTACTATTAATACAAGGTTGAAAAAATGTTAGCTGTAATAGAGATGCTTTGGTATCAGTACCTATTCGGCAAATTGAAATGGCCAAATAAAACTGTTCACACAAATTTAAATAGAAAAAAGTATATTGCGGCTTTCTTAGGAAGGCTATGAATTTTACCTTTCAAATTTATTGAGTTAGCTTAGATGCTTTTACTTTATTAAGTTCCTTATGTGCCACAGCCTGATTGTCATAAAAACTGATCAATTATTTTGATATGGGTTATTCACAACACGTAAATTTTTCTAGGTCAAAAAACGAACAGATTCAGGTTGAAGGTATATACTCAATGTGTTTTAAATTGCCCTATTAATCAGAAAAAATTGCAATTAGATCAATGATTTCATACTATCAGAACTATGTGGAACATTTGAAACTGTATTTAAAAAACTCATTTTTGGTTTAATGCAGCATTAACTTATCAATTAATTTAGCCTATTTTTAATGCAAATAAAATACCCACTAAAAAGCAAGTTACTAAAAAATTACACAAAGTTTACAGAAAAAATGCACTGTTTGAATAAACTAGGTTGATTTGAACATAGAGTTTAGAGACATATAATGAATATTATATTATTTTTGGTACTGTTCATGCATACAGAAATTTCCAAAGAATATATAGTGTTTTACAAAGAGATAACAGGTTAAAGCATAATTGTCTAAGCCAAAATTTGTCCATTTATCAACCAAATTTTGACAACTTTCGAGCAATACCACATAAGTTAATTAAAAAAAATTATAAAATTGAGCAAACTATAAAAGTAAAATTGTTACTCTCTGGAAGGGAACTAGTACTCGGTAAAAGAATGACATAACGAGTCTGACATTCTATGAGAAATCAAATATTAAATTTTTAAATCCCCCTCAATATTACAATTTTTAAATACTAATATTAAATATTTAAAACTTTTATGTTTAAAATGAGCTGAAAATTGCCACCAGCTTTCCATTATTAAGACAATTTTTTTAAAGACTTTAATTTTTCTACTATTTAAGTGAACAATATAATTTCAAAAAAGATAAAATGGGAGACATTTTTATCCATTTCTAGTTAAAAAGAAGTCAAACAGAAAAAGAGTCAAACCTCATTTTATTTTATGCCTTAAGTATTGTCACCTTGTTTATGAAGTTATATGTGGTAGGCTCAGTTATTTTCCTTTGTATAAAAGAAAAATTCTATGAAATAAAATCTATTAGAAATTCTGTAAAAATTTTGCAAGCATATAAATCATTTAATGCCTTTACCATTGTAGTTGGCTTAACCATGTACCCATATGGAAATATCTGTTGTAGTTACAAAGCCACTCGACTTCCCATCTTGAGTGGTTATTCAGTGTCATTGATCACATCAATAGCTATTACAGTTGGGCTTTTTTTTTCTTCCTTGCATCTTCAAAAAATTTCATAACTAAACTCAGTGGCGTGACAGTCCTAGAGGGCCAAGGCCTACTGTGCCCATCTCAGTTTTCTTGACCTTGGGCTCTAGGGTGCAGGAGCAGATGTTCCGGTCAGGTGGTCAGCCGAAGGCGGAACCGCCAGTGTTTAGTTCCCAAGCATGCTTGGTACTCATTTATTGACCCACTGAAGGGATGAAAGGCTGAGTCAACCTTGCCTGGCCCGAGGATCGAACCAGGGACCTGTGGTACGACAGTACGAAGCGCTACCGCTCAGCCATCGGACTTCTCAAAAAATTTCTAGTCTATAATCAGTAGGTAATAGTCTGCGTTCTAAACACACATTCTAAAACAAAATAGTCACTCGAAAAAAGGAGGTGGATCTATTACATCTTTTAATTATTTTTACAGCTGCTTAAACATTAGATTGTGTATTTGTTTACTAGGATATGTTGACTAAAATTACAATTCCATCTGCGATTGCGATAAACTATTAAGCAAACCAACTTATTTCTTTAATAGCTGCAGTATTTGGGAAGATTTCCGTAGAATGTTCTTGGCAGAATAATCGATAGCAGGGTGCATAGCCAAATTATTCAACAAAAAATAAGCACCATTTAAGCACTTTTCAAGCACTCAAAAAAAAATATTTTTAAGCACTTTAAAATAATATAACCAGGCAAGGTTGGAAACTTTTTGACAATTGACGGTTTTATCTTGTTTTAACCGTTATGTCAGAAAAAAAACTTTTGTTTCTGAGAACTGTCAAAAATCATGAAATTTTGAATCATGTGAAATGAATGGCGTTTTCATACGCTACGGACTGACATTACGATGAAGTAGATTTTGAATTAATTGTGAAAACGTTGAATGGAACTGCGTCTTTTTGCATAATTCGTAGCGAAAATCAACATGGTATAGGAAAAATCTCCGGAAAAAAAAATTAAGCACTTGTTAAAAACGCCACACACCCTGGCCAGGCCTTGGCAATTTCCAGGCAGCAGCCCGCAAGAAACTTAAGAAAAAAAAGGGGGGAGAGAGCACTTAAAGTGTTCAACTCCTAGTCACCCCCAAGCAAAGCAAACATCATCAAGTTTTTTGAAGAAGTCTGCAAGCTTAAAATCCACTGGGCGCCTTAGCGATTGTAGATTGCGTTACGAATCACAATATGGAAAGATTGCTAAATGTTTATTTACTGTTTATACTTCTTTAATTTCTTCAAGGCCAAGCAACTGGGCAAGTTTAGTTAGTGTAAACATGCAATGGTATGAATTATCATTTATTTGTCATCTTATGTGATGTCTTAACTCAGTTTCTCATGTTACACTGCCAGGTTGTTAGCTAAACTTGCCGATTATTTTAGATCAAGTTCCAATATTCCTCAAAAAATACAACAAAAAAAAGGATGAGTAAAGATAACTTGCGTATTTAGGGTCCATACTTACCTGTAGAAGATAGATCCTCCAAAGAGAGAATGAATTGGAGCAGAGCAAATTTGATTTACGAAAAAATTGCCTGTTTTGGGGAACATTTCCCTCAAATGGAGTAATTAAGCTTGCTTAAAAAAAATTAAAAAATAATAAAGAACTAGAAGTATTTAAACATGCATACTTTTTCAGCAAAAGCTCGTGTAAATATGTTAATAAAGTTAAGATGCACAGTTGTGATAAATAAAGTTAAGCATTATCAATAAATAATGTACTTTTGTTACAAGAAATTCAGTCTAAATCCTATAAATAAATCTATGATATTTAAATTATCTTAAAGTACCTTCATACGATCGCAGTATTAAAACAACGAAAGAAAATGCGTGAAGAATTTAACAATAGAAACTACGTCTAACAAACTGATAAATATATAATAAATGCAACTAAATATAAACTACAAAAAACTCACAGCAATAACTGATTCAATTCTATAATATCAAAAGTAATATGCAATTATTAAAAATGCTAGTTTTAAAAAAATTTAAAGACTGATAAATATACAAAGTAAATTTAGATCCATAACTTACAGCTGATAGACTTTCATGTTTAGAGTTTGAGTTGCTTCCACACGGTGACCTTTGAACAGTTACTAAAGCCATAATCAAAAAAATTTTAAGTATTTTTATAGATCATGTATACTTCAGTAACCCATAGCAAAATCGCAAACTAGTAAGGCCCATATCACAATGCCAAATACTACTTTGTTTATGTTGTTATATTTGTCATCCACCCAGCACATCCATTATAGCAGCTATTCCAAAACAGAAGTAACGCATGCGCATATGTAGCTCTTATGGTTACTTCCGTTTTCCCTGTTTCCATTTCAGGAATCAGGAGTAGAAAATTTTAATTGTTCTGAAATCATCTCCTTATAAAAGCTTTTTACAAAAAAATTCAAAAAACTATCAGTTATGGATCAAAAGAGAGATATTAATTAATAATATGATAATTCTTAATCCAAAGAAACATCAATCGATTGACAGAAGTCTGTTTCGGTTTTGGTTTTGCGTGTTTAATGGTGATTACACGTTGATTTTTGCAGGATCTAAAATAACCACAACTCATTAAACAATTTAAAATATGTCAAATATGGGAATTTTTCAGCATAATTATAATTTTTAAGAGTACTGTTTCTAATTTTTTAAACATATTTTCAACTTAAAAAAAGTCCAAGTTTTTAACTGCAACTCCGCATGAAAATTCGTCTGTCAAATAACGAGGTGCTCTTCATAAATGTAAAATGTGATGCACTGAAATCGTACGTTCGTAAATGGAAAATCAGTTTAACTTACTTCTCAAACCCAACTAATCGGAAAAGTTGGAAAGTTTCAGTCAGATTACGATAGCTCTACTTTTTAAAGCACTCCCATTCTCTCAGCTCCCTCTACTCTACATGCCTTTTCATATTGTATGTTTATGTGAAGATGGCTTCTCAAGATGTTAGCAGAACCTTAAAAGATGCACTTTTTGAAACATTATCTTCTATTTTATCTCCAGTGCATGATGTTAGAATTAATGCTGAACAGCAAATCAACGTTTTAGAAGTTACAGATGGTAAATTGAAGGATGCATTTTAATTTGAATCATGTTGTTTAATATTAGTGTGCCTATTTGATTATAAAAAGAGCGGGAAATGTGTTTGTTTACAAATTTAGAAATGTGTATTAAATGTTTATGTTCTGTAATTTTTTATGCTTTCGAAAATTGAATAATCAATTAACATGCGGTAAATTTTCAAAAATAAAAATTGTTTAGTTTCACACAGTATCAAATTATTATATGCTCACACTAGTGAGGAAATTTTCATTTTATAGATGAGTTGTTAGTTATTTTGTTTATAAATGTATTTTGCCTTATTTTAAGGTTTATTTATGAATATCTGATTAAAATATATTATATCATACCCTTTCATGAATCGGATTAAATTCATAAATTTTTCAATTTTATTATGTCTCTAGATACATTCTTGTCTCCAATAATTAGAGACTCAATTACAAGACTAACAATTGAATTTTACTGCGCAATTTTTTCTTTCATATTATAAGCTAACAGAATTTTCTGCATATTTAATTTCATAAAACCATAATTTTATGTGCATCTAATTTTATAAGCTTATTATTTTTTTCACATTTTATTCTGCTAATATTCTAATTATGTGTGTATGTTATCATATTTCGTGTACTTATTTCATTTTAAGAACAATTGAATTATTATGAAAATTATGTTTTTTTCTTCTTCCTAGAGTTTCCTGTGCATCTGACTGAGCTGATGCTTGATGCTCAAGGTCCTCTTGCAATTAGACAACTTGCCTCTGTTCTTCTTAAACAATATGTGGAATGTCATTGGAGCCCACATACTGATAAATTTAGAGCACCTGAAACTACTCCTGAAGTAAGTACAAATATTTAATATACATACATTCAAAATAATCATTTAAATTTATATTTTCATAAATTAAAAACTTTTAAATCAGAGCACCAATTTGTTTAATGGTAAGAACATTATCAATAGATTGATGATGTTATGATAACAAAAGATTGATAATAGAGTCAAAAATTTCACCTTACCAGTAACAAATTTAATTTTTTTTTGTTTTTTTTTTTTGCCTAGTTAAACAGGGTGCGTAGCGTTTGTAAAAAGTGCTTAAAGGTGCTTTTTTGGGGATTTCGTTTTTAAAAGCTTTTAAAGGTGCTTTTTTCAGCTGGTGTTTTTAAAAAGTGCTTTTTTTCCACAAAATTTTTTTTCTTCTTCAGTGATATCTGGTGGATCCCATGCATTTCACGAAAAATGGGGTGTTTGCTACGTAATCATTCACGCGGACATCATGTCGTACCCACATTATGACTTGCGCATGCGCGCACACTTAAAACCGATACCCGAGTGCTGCAATTCGGATCGAGAATATCAGATCCTTATGAAATGTTTTTCTTTTTAATTTAATTTTATTCTTGTTTATTTTATTTTACTTCTAACACTTTTTTGACGTAGGGGGTAAGGGTACTTTTGTTCTGAGTTCAGGGTGAAGTTGAATTCACTCGGTGATGTGAGAAAGTCTGATTGTTTTGATTTACGTCCGTTTCTTTTTGGGTTTTTTTTAACGCTAAAACTCTTTATAAAAAGTTTTTGTTTTTCAATAATATCATTGATTGAATATGAATTTTTTGAGTGCTTAAAAATTTTTGTAAAGTGCTTGAAAAGTTTTTAAAAAGTGCTTATTTTTGATTCAAAGATTTGGCTACGCACCCTGTTAAATTTTTTATGATTAATAAAGTAAAACAAAATTTTTTCACTCTATTTTATAATAAAGTAAAAGTTCATAATTTCCTAATAACTTCAAGCTTTTTTCTAAGACAAGTATTAATGTTAATATGATCAAGAAATCAATAGTTTGAACTTTTCTTATTAATAGCAGAATTTCAAAATTTTAATACATTAAAAATTAATGAATAGCAATTTAATATTCAGTTTGTATTTCAGTATCCAATCCAAACAAAATGTTTTAAATCTTTATTAGTATTGCATTTCATTTAATACACTTTTCTTATATGATAAATTATTTTTAAGATGTAACACTTATAATTAAATTTTTAAAGATAAATTTTTCTAAACATTTCCCCCTAATATAAAGCTAATCTTTTACAATTAAATTACTTTTCATAATGATTTTTCTCAAACTATGTTTTAAAATTAAATTCTTTATTTCTACTAGGCTAAAGCAGCCATCCGTGCTATGCTTCCCATGGGCTTACAAGAATCAATCAGTAAATTACGATCTAGTGTTGCATATGCTATATCAGCTGTAGCTCAATGGGATTGGCCTGAAGATTGGCCCGAATTGTTTAATATACTTGTTCAGAGTTTAATCAGTGAAAATAGCTGTGCTGTGCATGGTGCTATGAGAGTTTTGAAAGGTAAACAATTTATAATATTTTAAAATAGTTTCTGATTGCATATTGTCCTTTTTACTCATTTTGTTAGTCTCTTGTTCTACTTCGTTTGCTTATTATTTTAATGTGTGGTTTTAAATTTCTTATTACATCAGCATTCATCATCGTTGCATTATATCATTTTATATTTAAAATAGTTTGTAATTGTATGTCATTTGTATTGATTTTATTTTCCATTTACTCTATTTTAAAGTTTTAGGTTGATACCAAATTAATTTATTTTTATTTTTCAGTGCATGGTTTCAAATTTCAAATCACATCATACCGCAGAATTTTCCAAACCTGAAAAAATATTGTTTAATAGTATACTTTAAAAAATTTAATGTCAAAAATAATTTAGATTATTTTCTTTTAATAATTTTGGTTCAACTGTCAGTATCAGGATGAAATATCACAAAATATTAATCTCTTAGAAATTAACTATATAATCAATATAGTAAAAACAGCATATAAAATGCAAAAATGTCACTCAAACAGATGTACGATTGTTTTGGTATGTTCTAAAATAGCAAAAAAATATAGTAGGGATTAGAAATGAGTTACAACTAGGATAAAGAGGATTAACTAATCGAATTAGGAAATAAGATTCAGCAAAAAATATGGGAATAAAAGTGAGGGAGGGGATAAGGAAAACCCAAGAAAAAAGGAAGTTCATGTCTTATACGAAAGAATTTGTGAAGCTTCTTTGTATGTATGTGCATATTGATGTTTTTGTGATAAACCACACATACAGTTATGCCAGGAGATGTGGAAAAGTGAAATTTAACACATAGTAGATAGCAATTGTCTTGATACAAACTTACCGACAGTCATAGTTCACAATGGCACAGCACAGATAAATGTTCCGTGCACAGTATAGTGATCCAACTGTTAGCAGGCAACTGTAACACCCATTGGAACTAAAAATACATCAGCCTGCACAGCATCATGGTTACCAGAGTTCATTGATCAGATCACTGCCAATGCTCTCTGTCGCTGCACAAAGCATTGCATCATATCAGAATGACAGAGTAGAGCAAAGTGGGAGCGTATAAGTAACGATGTAATAGCTAAGAACTAAAGGCCCTCTTTCATCAAACGGATCTGCCAAGAAAGAGGTACCCAGCTGTATCTTGTAATTTTTATCCTTTAATCTAATTTACATAACATTCATGCAAACAGCTAAATGTTTAATACTAACTATTAAGAATTACTAGGAAAAGTAAAAGTAAGTTAATTTCTTACCCATTACATAGATTGCAACCATTCTGCTCCTGACGAATCATTGTGCAACTACCGGAACGTGTATAAACAAAAACCTCTTAAGTAAACAACACCTGAGTTTTGATAAGTAATGTCAGTTGATCATTGTTCAAGTAAAAATTAAATAAAAATTGCTGCCCATACATTTTTAATGAGTGTTTTTTTTTCAATTTCACAAGCAAAATATTATATCATTTATTTGAATACCTGTATACATTTATTTGAATACCTGTAAACCTGTATACTGAGTATATTTTTACCCAAAGTTTCCAAAAAGATTTGTAATTTAAAAATAATATATGTTTATTTTTAACTTTGTAAGTAAAAGTGTTCTTCTATTAATGCTTTGTTAATCTACTTATAATTTTTGTCTTTGTAATGATTTTTTATTCTTATGCTAAAGTATAAATAGTGTGAACAGCAAACCTTTAATAATATTCCAAAAGTTTTGTGATTGTTTATTCGTCTTTTTTGTAAAATAAAGACATTATTATTGTCCAATTTTTTTTGTGACAAAAAAAGTTATAGTTTTTAAAAGAAGTCCATTATGCGTATGTCACTTCTGAATATTTATTATGAAAAACTGTTTCTAATTAATTTTATTTAATCATTCATTCAAATAAAAATTGCTGCTCATACATTTTTAATGAGTGTTTTTTTTTTCAATTTCACAAGCAAAATATTATATCATTTAATATATTAAACTTCTCATTTCAGAAATTTCTAATGAGGTTTCTGATTCACAAATGCCACAGTTTGCTCCAATCATATTACCTGAAATGCTTAAAATCTTTTTGCAAGACCAAGTATGTACTTAATCATACTAATGAAACCAAATATTATACATTTTTACAGTTAATAGCAAAATTAGTATCGCATGTTGGTTGAATGAAATATTTTTATGCCTGTTTTTTATTTTTCTTAACTGCTTATTTTGTTTTATAATAAAAATGTTTTATCTTAATTAAATTAGATAAATAAAAGTGTTGTTGCATAACTTATTTTTAAAGGTTAGCAACCGTTAGTGAGACAAGGGCAGAGTTCTCCAGTTTACTACAGATACATTGCCCTCCAAAAGTAAAGATACAACAAGGTTTTCGAATCTCACTAAAAAATGGCACTCATGAGAAAATTCATAGTTTATATGAATAATAGTATTGTTATTTTAAGACAATTTTTTGCAAATAAGATAGCCTTTTATTTTTTTAAATAGGCACTTTTATAAGAATGAGGGGAAAAATCTTAATTTTGTCAGTAAATTTTACGAATGATTGTTTATTCAATTATTGATAGTTTTGTGGAAAATATCTAAAAAGGTTTAACAATGTCTGGGTGAAATTGTTTAGATGGATGGAAATGGAGTTGATGCAAGCTGATGTGACTAGACCTTTCCCTGTATCACGCAGTATGGTCCAATGTTAGCGGGTTTCGATTTGATGATACAGTTTCTAAAAGACATGTTTCTTGCTAAACATGAGTTGCAGCACCTGTTTGATACCATTTTGCAGATCTTTGGGTGCAAAAAAGAAAATTACTGTGCATCAGCTTGCTGTAGATCATTTTGTCACATCAGAAACAATGAATATCTCAATTTCATGTTTTCTGGAACAGACAACAGTGGGTTTCTATACTCTTCACCAAGTTCACTTTGTAAAGTGTTTCAGGATGCTTAACTGATTTTAATAAAACAAGAAATCTGATGTAACCAATCCAACATTGTTGAAAAAAATCAGTTACCAAGACTTGGGTTGGGCAGAGATCTCTCTAGGTCAGAGGTCGCCAAAGTGGTCTATATAGACCCCCAAGGGTCTATTTAACAAAAGCAGGGGTCGATCTGAGACAGGGGGGCGAATGGGGGTCGATCCGAATCGGAAGGGTCAATTGTGGGTCGAAAAAAGAAACAGTTCTCAATACGCAAATCACACATGCCTAATTAAGTATGTAAAATTTGTGATTTTTTTTTATAAATGACTCAATATCAGTTTCTTAATAAAACATAAATTAATAAACGTATATATATTGGGGTGAAACGAGTATGTACGTACCACCCCCGTAGTGGCACGAACTCAGCGCAGTTTATAAGTCATATGATATGTGCGCCTGTCCAAATGTCACGTGTGACGAGCATTGGCGTTACAAATGCAAATATCATACTCAGTTTCAACTATCTTTGCAAACTGTGTTGAATATTTGCAGTGTCATCATTAAAACTTTTATAGTTTTGGATAATTAGTTATTGTTTCGATAAAACCATTCGTTTGGTTTAGATATCAATTTTAATTATCAATGCACAAAAAAGAAGGTAAGCATTAATGATATGGATTAGTACAGCCCGCGACAAAACTATAGCACACTTTGTATTTTTTTACGAAAATTACAAAATTGACCAATTTTGACGAAAATTAAAATTGACCAATTTTGAACCCAATATAGCGAACCTTGCAAAAAAACACCAGGCACACCCATCTCATTGATCAAGAAGCAGTAAATCTTTAGTTACTTTACTTATTATATCTACTTATGCATAATTACTTATTATTTAATAATAAGGTATTTAAATTTCAATATTAATATATTTTTCATAAAACTATTGTTACACAATGTACTATTACTTTAATAAATGTTTAAAATCATAAAATAAATGTACAAACACAGTATCTAATAGAGTTTTATTTTAATTAACAGAAAATTACTTTTGCGGGGGTCGATGGAGATTTCGAAAAATTATATGGGGGTCGATAATCAAAAAAGTTTGGCGACCCCTGCTCTAGGTAGTCATATTAACTTGCATATGTTGCCATGGAGGAATTCTTGACTTGTTTGAGATATCAGAATGAGATCTTTATTTCAAATGTTAATATAATATGTTGCTGTTATTGGTATTAACTTCCTTCTGAGTGATAATGTGCAACCTCATATTGTTGTGTTAGTTAAAGACTATTGTTCTCAAAATAAATTGAATTCAATTCTGATGTTTGATAATTTTTTAATTAGGCTGAGGAAACTGGTTATACCTTAACTTATGAAGCTCAGTGTATGAGTAAAACTTTTAATTTGAGTACGCCTCTTTTAACGAAAAACTTGTACTAAACTATTTTATTATGTATTCGTTTGTGAACAAAGGTATAAATTTTTAACCTATCTTATTTTAAAAATCTAATTCTGTTCATCATTTTCCAATTTGTTAAAATGATATCAATGAAAGTAATATTGTGTTAAGTTAGGCAATGTTATAATGTTAAACCAAATGCCCTAATTATTTGTGTATAGACTCTGTTCTGTACAAGGTACAGAAATTATTTAACATTCACAATTATTTAAAAAATATTTAAGTTGTTTATTTAATTTTTCGGTTATTTTTCTAGTGATTTATGAGATGTTTAAAATTAGATTTTATAATTGATTATAAATATTGAATTATTAACTTTGGGAAATTTTATTCTAGTTTGAATTTGTAATGCTAGGTTTACTAGTCAACTGAAAAAAATCACCTTAATTTTGTTAATGAACAAAAGTACTAATTTTTTTGCAATGCAAATGTGTTGTTAAGTTTTTTGGTATTTTTTAATATAATTTTAATGTAAATAATTTGTACATTTTTATCTCAAAGTTGAAAAAAAGAAAAAAATTAAAATATTTATTTATTTTTCTTTTAAGAAATATGGTATTAGGACAAGAGGACGAGCTGTTGAAATATTTTCAACTTGTACAGAATTGATAGCTGCAATGGCACCTTATAACAAAGTAAGCAAAAAAAATTTCTTTTTAACAAAGAACATAAACTGAGTTCTAAATGATTTTTTCTCATTCACGAAGAGTTTGATTTGTCAAAACATTTTTTTTCTATTAAATTTTTTCCCTCCTAACATTTTTTTCTTACATAATAATTCAGATAAAAACATTTCAAAGTAAAACAGCTATTTTGCAACTAACAATCTTTAAATTTTAGGAATAACATTCTAAATGAAAATAAATTTTTAAATCTTGTTTTTGATGTATTGTGATTTTGTGGGAGCTCTTAGTTTCTAACTTAAGCAGTCTGTGTGAGTTAAAAGATGGACTTAAAAATATTCTGACTTTACTATAACTCAATTTCAAAAGAAAGTTATTAATTACAAAGCTATAAATTTATTAGTTATCAAATATATTGCAAGTACAAATTAAATACTACAGTCACTGCTTTTAAAAGATGACTGTTTTATTTATTTATTTTATTCATAAGTAGTATTTTTATTCCTAAGTCACCCTTTGAAAACTTGTTTTAGATGTTTTGTAATTGTTTTTAAAGAAGATGTATAAATAGTGTCCAAAAAAAAATTTTTTTCTCTAAAATATGGTGCAAGATCTTACATCTTTAAAGGTATTAAGATCTAAGCAGTCACAATTCTCAATATTTAAACTTTTATACTGTCATTTTTGCATTATTTCTATCACACAAAATTAATTTCTTCTGGAATGTTATCATCTTGACTTCTTACTTTCGGTAATCTATACAAATTGGACTAAACTCACTCAAATAGCTTTGTATATTTCTTTTAACACATTTGCTGCTGATTTCTGACCAATGTAAGATGCTATTCTAGTAATTTATCCCGTGCTGGATGTGATCGTATTGAACATCTTTCTTTTGTATTCTGTATTTTGAAACAATTATGCCTGCCAATTAAAATCACAAAAATAGAGGTATCAGAAAAAAATTTTGTATGGCATTTTGCCTTGCCTGAATAAAAATAATTTTGTGTTTCTGGGAGGGAAAGCAATTGTTGTAAAAAAAATATATTTCAATATGATGATTAGATTAACATTATCAGAAAATATGTTCGAGCATTTGCGGTATTTCTGTATTTATAAGGAAGCCTCTGATAGAGTTATACTGCAAATATGGCATTGGCAAAACTTTGATACTGTATATATACTAATGTTCTATTTAGAATTTATTTATACTTAAGTTAGTTAATTTCAGTTTTCTTGATTAAATGTTTTTGTGAAAATGAATTTTATCTATGTTTATGTAACATTAAGAAATGTTAAAAGAATATGTTAAGCAATTAAGATACAGTAAATTTCCACTTTATATTTTCATTCTATAACTTCTGTCTAAGCCTCTTAAATAGTCTAAATATATCCTTATTAAAAACTTACAACTTAGTTAACTGTGTCACATTTATTGATATTTATAAATTTGAAGCAAACTACCATGCCTGCAATTATTTTAACTTTTATTTTCAGTCGGCACCCAAAGACTTGCTATATCCTATTTTACCGAAGTTTTCTGAAGCCTTAGTAAGTGCCTTAAAGATACCGGATGGTCAAACGTCAGATAGTGGCTTAAAGAAAGATATTTTGAATGTAGGTTGGAAAAGGAATAAAATATAAATGTTGGAAATTGTATTTTTTAACTTTATTAATTTATCAGCTTTGAGACTTTTTAACTGTGTAATATCTGCTTCACTCAGTGTGTTCATTGTGACTTAACTTTCAGCTGATATTGCATGCAAGTGAATGACTAATTAAACCTTTCTTGTGTTTTGTCAAGTGCTAATATCAAACAAACTTCAAATCTTAATGAATGTACCTTAAAGTTAGGAATTTGTAATGAATACCAAATCAAACTTTGTGTACAAGATTCAAGTTGAAACAGTCATCTAGTATCTGGGCAATGAAATTTTAAAGAGTGTTTTCTGTAGTAGGAATGATTTCTTCGATCCTGTTCAACATGTGATTTCTATTAATTGCAATGAAAAAGCATTTCAATTCAGAAATGTTGTGTTAGATCATAATTTTAAAAAGAAATAATAAGCAACTATTACATTTATGACATTGCATTTAAATAAAGGAATTTTAAAATTATGTGCAAAAAAACTTTTGATTTGCATAAATAACTGTGGGAATGTAGAAAATATATCTTTAAAAAATTTATCTTTATTGAGAAAAAAAAAATGTTTTTATGTAATTTAAATTATTGTGCGTACTGATTAATCATTATATTTATGAATTTTAAAACTATTAGGATTTTTATTAAAACATTAATATTTAATCATGAAATCAAAATGAGTGTACCTGTTTTTTTCCCATTTTTCTTCGTGTTACTTATTGGACTTAGCGTGCATATAAAAGAAGCTCTGAAATTCTGAATTATTTTCTACCAACTAATTTACTATCTAATAGTGCCGGCCGAGCAGTTAGCGTGCCTGACTGCGAAACCAATGGCTTCGGGTTTGAATCCCGCTCTGGTCATGGATGTTTCTCTATATGTGTTGTCCTCCGTTGTGTGTGATGTGTGAAAGTGGCCCACACTATGAACGGATTTTTGTGGCAGTGTGGCGTGAATAATGTTGCCCGCCTCTGTAACTTAGGTTCACAGGTGCCCACTGGGTAACGTTAAATGAGCAACACTTCCAACATCTTCCGAGGTGAAGAACGAAAAGCTCAGTACCTGCCGCTAGAGAAAAAAAAAATATCTAATAGCATTGCATACATTTTTATACAAAGTTTCATGGTCATACCTTGAGATTGCTAAGTCTCTATCACTTCTAAGCTTCAAACAGATGTTAACCTGTATTATTATTTATGATCTATTTATTTACAGTTGATAAGCATATGAACTTATTTGCAATAGCTGCTTGAGAATTCACAAGATTATGGTACAAGAAAAAAAATTGTACTCATTTTTATGTGATAAATTCTTATTGAAATTAACTTAACTTCCATTAACTTCCTTCTTAAAAGTGTTTCTGAATAATTTATTGAATTATAGTATTATTCTTTACTTTAAAATTTTCATAATAAAAATAAAAAAATTCTATTGCTATTTATTGTTTTTATTTTGTGCAATGTACGTCTAATAATCAGGGTTGCCACAGGCTACTAAAATGCAACTATTTGCTAATATTTTCGGCCTTAGGCGACTATGCCGACTTTTTTTACCTGTAAAGGCTAAAAAGGCAACTATTTTCAGGAACAGGCGACTATTAGGAGACTTTTTTTACTCTTGGTGAAGTTTTTTCACAAAAATGAACGTTACTTTTCTGAACGTTAATAAAAGAAATCAAACTTTAAAGGCAAAAAAAAAAAAACAACTATTTTCAGGAATAGGCGACTATTAGGAGATTTTTTTCACTCTTGGCGAAGTTTTTTCTCAAAAATGAAAGTTACTTTTCGGAACGTTAATAAAAGATAGCAAACTTTTATACAATCATTTATGTCCAAAGAGCCAAAAAAATTAAATTTCCATTGAATTTAATAAAGTACTTGTTATATGTTCTCTCTGAGGGGCAGTTTTGCTATTTTTAATTGTTTTTTCCTTCTATTAACATTCATAATTGGAATTCTACTTTTATTTAGGTACCTAGTTTCTAATATGTATACCTTTTATATTTGTACAAAACTTTTTTTTAATTGGAGCGTAATTAGGACTGGGCGATAAATCGATGTATTGCGAAATATCGATTTAACGCATATAACAGTAGGCTGATGTAGTGACTTTCGTTTTAGGCGATTCATCAGAAATCTGATCTAAGCCGCCGGAATTAGATTACAATCGTGGTTTAACGATTTAAAATGCAAGGATCCTTGACTAGGCTAAGAAAGACTATTTTGATTTCGTCTATCTGAAGAGATGTAGATAGCATTTTGCTATTAAGATGATGTTGAATAACGAAGACCAAATTGAATCAGAACTCCTGGTTTCGTGCGAGGATCAGCGTTGTAATATAGAACTCAATGCATAGTTTCTTTATGTCCATTTTTGTCTTCGGGATTTTGCGTTTTTTGAAGATTATTTTCAATAGGACTTAAGTCATTTTGCGATTGTTGTGCCTTTTGATTCCGTTGGAAATAATTGTCGGGTCTCTTGTAAATTATTTTCAGTGAGACTTTTGCAGCGATCGTTTCGTTCTGCATTATTTCATACCATTTTTTTTCTGTCTGGGTTTAACGATTCTTGTCAATTATTTTTAGTAGACCTACTGTTACTTTGCGATTGCTGCACAATCGCTGTTATCTTAAATTTTCGTTCTGAACTCAATAGATCAAATCATTGATTTTTTCAATTATTGTGTTTTATTTTAAGTGATACAATTTAATAGGGGTATTTTGTATTTAACTTTATTATAAAAAGTTAGTTTTTTTAAATTTATTAAATGTAGTTAAGTATAATAATTTGATTGTTTTTCTACCAATAAATGTTTAGTCGTTTTTAATTATAAAAAAAAATTAAAACAAAGCTTACCTTTATTTAATTTGCTTTTATTTTTGAGAAAATGAAAACAAAGTTTTAAAAAAATTTGGCTATTAGTTAAAACAAATTTTTTTTAAATTAAATAAAAGGTTTAGTAATGTTTTGACGTTTTTAATAATTTAACATTAGTACTTAAAGTATTTTTTTATTGAAATTCTTTCAATACTTGTTTGTTTTATAATTTGTTCGATAGTCAGTATCGTTTTTAAACAAATAAATCTTTAGTCAATTTTATTTTCAAAAATGAAAATAATAATAAATAAGTAAAAATATTTTTACATTTATTAAGTACAGAATTTGATCATTAATTAATACTACTTTTTATTATTTTAAATTAGTAAATAAAAAAGGGTCTAATGATGTTTCAAAAGCATGTTTTTTTTTCAACAAATAATAAAAATTTAAAAAAATTTCTTCTGAAGTGAACATTTTTTTGGTTTGTTTTCCACTTTCGTTTTTTTTTCTTCTTTTAATTTTTAATGCATGTTTGTAAAATAATTTGTTACAGTATTATTATTTTTAAACCACTAAATCTTAAATCATTTTTAATTTAAGAAAAATGAAATAAAGCTTGGGTTTGCTTATACTTCGACTTCTTTATTAATTTAATTGAAAAAATTAAACAATGATATTGATGTCATAGTAGAATAAGTTTAGAATTAATATTTTCTTTTGTACTAGATTTATTCCTTTTTATTTATTTTTGATTGATTTAAAGATTTCCCATAGGTAATTTTTGAACATATGCTAAATTGCGATACATCACTATATCGTGACGTCTAACTGACGATGTATCACAATTTAAAATTTCAGGCATCACCCAGTCCTAATAATAGTATTTGACAATCAAGCTATAATTTTAGTTATTTGGCTACTATTTTTGATAAATTTATAGTTCCTGTACAGGCAACTATTTTCATGCTTGAGGCTACTAAAGGCAACTATTTTTGTTCATTTTTACTGTGGCAACCCTGAATAATTAACTGATTTACCTCATTATTACCCTAACAATAATGAATTAAAATGTTTGTCTTTTACAGGCCTTAAGAAGTTTAGTAAAGTATTTTCCCAAACAGATGGTTTCTTACCTACCTCACATATTGCCACCATTATGGGACTCTTTAACTCAGGGCGCTAACATGTATCCTTTTTTTTTCTCACAAAAAATATAGACTGTAGCTATAGATCTTAAAAGAAAAAAAGAATTTATTAAAATTTTCAATTTTTATATATTTTCAATTTTTATAAATATTTTCTTTTTAAAATATTAGCTGCTATTTGTATATAATATTGAAATTTTTATTCTATTTTTTTTTCAATCCTTTAACTTGATTTTAAGATACTTGCAAACAGTGGTTAATGATTCTGAAGAAGCAGACAATCCTGTTGACTCTGATGGTAATTAATTTTTCTTTATAATTTTATGTTTTGAAAGTATTATTCAAAATTAATTTATAATAATATAATATAGTCAAGCAATATACTTGATCATATTAACTGTATGATATCTTTTAAAAATTGAATCATATGATTGAATTCTTAAAAATAAAATGGTCATGGTCTTTATTACTGGAGATTCTGGTGTGAATGGCAAGATTCATGTAGGATTATCTGCTGGCAATTCCAATGTAAATTTCAGAATCTAGGTAAGATTGTTTGCTAGAGATTCTAATGTCATTGGCAACACCTAGTTACTGCTGGAGAGTCCTCTTCGAAAAAGAAAGCTATTTCTTAGTTGTCGTCATCGTGGAGACACTGACAGGAATTCAGCATTCCTGGGAGGCAGATTCTCTTCAGGTGAAAGGTTATGTTTTGCTAATCATCCACTAAATCTCTAGCCCCTGACAAGGGCAGTCATGGAGATTGTCCCCTTGACCATATTAGAAACTTCAGTGTTTCTTGTACAGAAATTTATAATTAATTGCTTTATATGAAAAGAACTGTTTCCCATTGAGGTGAACTTTTTTCTTTCCTATGAAGTGTCTACAGTTTTAATTTATACACAATCATGTGGGTCTCAAGTATGCACTCCTTGCAGTTAGTGTGTTGTCCTAGTCTTACTCTATTTTCAGGCTTTTGGATAAAGCATGTGACGAACCAAAAACTTAAGTGAAATAAGTGTGTCACTTGCTTAGCATTAAAATAGTCTCCCATCTTTTGTGTATTTATTTTGAGCTTAGCTTTGTAATTTTTCTAAATGTTTCCACTTTGGAATTCTAAATCTAAAAAAAATATTCAGAAATCAAAAATAAGCATATGAGATATCAGTAGCTTGATACATTAAAAGAACAACATTCGCTAATATGATTAGTCAAAACGCAAAGATAAAATTTTGTTGATTAAAATTTGTTTAAATCCAGTATTGTTTGTATTCTTACCATTTAGTGTTATTAACATATCAAGTCTCCCATTTAATGAAAATTCAACATTAAGGTTGATGCGTTCAGTTCTAATTTTATATTATTCTATTATTATTTTTTCATGATACAGAACATTCATTCCATTAAAAAACTCCTAGTTATAGATGTGGTGTTTTTATATTTTGATTTCAGGTGAAGTTCTTGGTTTTGAAAATTTTGTTTTTGGTATATTTGATTTCATTATAACTCTGGTTGAAGGCAAAAAGTATAGAAAATGTATTAGAGATAGCTTAGCTGATCTACTTTACTACATTTTATTATACATGCAGATTACAGAAGAACAGGTTAGATTTAGAAATATATTTTAAATGCCTGCTAATTGTATTCTTACTAAAGCATAAATTAATATTAGTTTTAATCAAACTAGATAAAAATTTGGAACAACAGTCCAGATCAATTTGTTGAAGATGAAGATGAGGATTCTTTTGCATATTCTGTCAGAATTTCTGCTCAAGATTTGTTGTTGGTAAGATATTGTTAATTTAGATCTAGCTGGTCCTTTGAGTCAGGCATATGACACAATGTTAGATAAAGTTCTGTTATCTTTACCTCATATTCCTGGACATGCTTTTGATGTTTGTGTAAAGAGGGAAGATTTATCAGATACTCTCCTCTTAGTTTTTAATATTTAAAACTGCCACTGAATCCACTAATATCGCTATCCATACTCACAAGATTTAAAAATTGTACATCTCGATTCGTGTTCACATGATTTAAAAATCCAATGATGCTATTTGTATTCAAGGGATCTAAATTGCATGCATCCCGATTTGTATTTCCACATTCTTAAATTCATTATATTATTCACACGAGTTTCAACCCAATATCGCGATTCTTGTAATAACTAAGTTTTTTCTTAAATTAGTTACCTTAAAAGTGTGACATTATTTATTAGTAGGTAATTTAATTATAAATCTTAGTTCAATAAATTATATTAGATATGAATAGGGTATATAAATTGATATATTGTTATTATGTTTTTGCACATAAAATTTTCAGGGTTTTTTCATTTTGTGTCACAATCACCCCTTATAATCCTTAAGTCTTAAAATTTTTATGCTAAATTTTTATGTTTGAACCACTTAGTAAAAGTGGTGGTGAATAAGTATCTAATGATTTAAGAATTTTACAATAAATAATAATTTTTAACTTAATTATCTTAATATTTGTGTTAGTTTCAAAATCTCGAGGTTAACCTCTGAATTTTTATGAATTTAATTAACTATTTTATAAACAAATAAGTATTTCCCAATGATTTAATCTATGATGTAAGCTATTGAGTAAGAAATTCTGAGCTTACTTGGCTTATGACATGACAATGAGGGTTCAAATGAAAGCTTATTTTTATAGAGCTCAAAATTTACATTAAAATAAAGATAGTTTTTATCAGAGAAAGACAAAGAAAAATTCATTTTATCGCATTCTAAAATCTTTCCTAATCAAAATTTTGAACACCTATTTTAATTTCTTTTACTAAATTTCGGTCCAATTTTAAAACTACAAGTTGAAATATCTGCATTCTGCTTATAGACTCTTTGATTATTCTAATGGTGTTCTGAATGAAGCTAATTTAGTCTAATTAGAAGCTAATTTAAGAGTAAGTCTTTAAAAAACTATAATGTTTCTCTCTCAAGACCTATCTAACATTATAAATTCTTGTTATTTACTATTGTAAATTATTAAAAAAATTTTTTTTTTTGTTAATCAAAATAAATTATTAATCACCAAATTGAAGTGTTTTATGAATGCACGTAAAATGTATTAAAAATTCATACAACTTTCTTCAATTAGTTGTTGGGTGTGGAATTTGAAGGAGAAACAGTTAAAAGCTTATGTGCAGCTGTTACACGTCATATACAAGAAACAAATAAGAATGCAAATCCTTATTGGTGAGTAAAATATTCCGTTTGAATTATGAAATAAAATTGATAATCGTTTTTACTCACTCTTTTTGCTATTTCATTGAAGAAGAAATGCTATTGTTAATTTGCTTATTTTTGTGCTGTTAAAATTATTTCAGCAAAATTCAGTAAAAGTACATTATAACAATTTTAAATAACAAATCATACTGTTGTTATAGCAAGCTTGTCATTATTAGAGCCTGAATTTTAATGACTTAAAAAATTCCTATAGATGCCATTAAAATTGTAAAAATCCCTGATTTAAATAAAGTAAAACTAAAACAATGTTTTCCTATCTAGAATTACTTTCATTCAGGTCAAAATATGTAAACTGATGCAATACATGTTTTGCATTTATTCAAGTTTGAAATAAATGTTATGTGCTAAAATAACAAAAAAAGAGAAACATAGTGATTCATGAGCATAATAAAAAACGGAGGAAAAAGCCTTGCAAATAAAATAAAAAATATCTAAAAGAAAAAATTTACAAAAATGCTAATTTCAACAAAATCTGGGCCTTAGTTTTATAAACAAATACACATATTCTTCGAAGTTTGCTGCAAGATTCATAAAAATAGAAGAAATTTTCTTTTGTTAGGAGAAAGATAACTTCACCAAAGGTCAACTAAGCATTTAATTTATAAACATGAGGGGTAGATTGAAGGGGGGGAAAAGAATTCATAAGAATTTTGTTTACCTGATGAAATATCCTATGGATATGCTGTTGTATGTATTAAAATAAATGCTTAACTTGTTTTCATAGATACCTTAATTTATTGAATTATGCTATTCTAGAAGTCTAGAAAAATATATTAGTGATGATACGCTAAGTTTGTGATAGACAATAAAACTCTGTCTAAAATATATCATTTAAACTAAATATTCTGTTGTATATTTTATAATCTTAATCAAATATTTTCTTAATCAAATTTCAAATATTAATCTTAAATCAAATATTTTCGTGTACCTTCCTTATTTATTAGCGACTTGCTCATGATTTTATTTATTTTCTCAGCTTCAAAAAAAAAAAAAAAAAAATTCTCCCTGAAGTAAGTACTAGATTTTTAAATTCCAATGAAAAATTTATTTAGAATATTTTAATAATTTGTATAATTGTTACTAATATTAACTGTTAAGAATGCATTCTAAAAAATTCCTTTTTTCATTCTGTATCATTATTTTTTAAGTATGTGTAATTTGTTTTAAGAGAAATATCTTCTCAACTTGTTAGCAACTGTGCTCTTGAATAGAATAAGTAATATGATTTCATGTTATTTTTACTAANGATTTCCTCTTTTTTACTATCTGACTACTCTCATCCCTGTAATATGATTTCATGTTATTTTTACTAAAGTTGATTGATATGAAACAATTAAATAAACTGAAATTTTAATATCAATGTATCTGTTTTAGGTGGAAAGTGCATGAATCATGCATGCTTGCAATTGGTAGTTTATCTGAAGCATTTTCTTCTGGTATGGAGCAGAACAGTTTACCTTTTGATTTAGCTGGTTTTTTACATTCTGTTGTAGTTGAAGATCTGAACTCATCTGGTAATGATATCTTACTTTGTTTAATTTACTTTCAAGTATCTCATTACTGATTTTTTACAAAATCTTAGAAATTAGAAATTTTGTGTAGAAATTTTGTGACATTTTGTTAATTTTTATTATTAAGTAATATTTAAATAGTAATAACCACACATGTCAAAACAATCAAAAAGCAGGTTTTTCAAGTATTGCATGTGAATAACTCTCCCATTCTTGATTTATTAGAGTGCATACAGACAAACTTTCACTTTTATGTATAGAGAGATACAAAATAAATTAATTTAGATCAGAAAACAAAACAAAAAATTATTAATTGCTATTGATAAAACAAGTCTTTCTTTATTATTTGTATTCATATATTTAATATATATTAAAAATACTTTTATTTTAATTAACATAAGGCTAAATGGGTATAATTCTAATGTTTATTAAACAGTATATTATTTTACATACTGGCAACGGTAAATTATCATATATTAGTTTTATGTATCTTTTATACTCATACAGCTTTTTTATATTAGTTTATTTCATTTTTCACATCAAGTGATAATTTACATACATGTAAACCCCTTATTATTTCTCTCAATAAACCATCAATATCAATGAAATCTGACTTTGAATCATGCCTAATGAAAAATAATTTGCCATCATGCACATATGCATTTGCTTTAATAAAGCCAATTTCATAAATGTCAGTTTATCTTAAAGAGGCAATAAAAACTGTATTAAAGCTTCTTACAATATAGAGAGTCAGATATATTATATGTATAAGTTTATAAGAATTTGAAAATCAATTTATCATAAATATTAATCCATGTATTAAGTTCAGTATTAAATAAACAAATAGTTATTAATCCATGTATTAAATAAACAACAAAATCAGTTGTCTGAAATTGTTGTTTATTTACTTGTTCTGCAGATTTTTTTTTAAAATTATATAATCTATAAAAACTGTTATAATACATGTGTCAGTTTTGTGAGGTAAATATCTTCAACTAAACTATACTATCTGCCCTGTTAAGGTTGGGTATAGAAAGAATGAAAAAGTTGCAAAAAAAATAACAATTTAGAAAGAGAAAAACTAAAAAAATAATGGCCGGGTGAAACATAGTTAGTTGTACATTTTACGAAGTTTGGCTAACCCAGAAAAATAGTAATTCTTCTTCTTCAAAAAAACAGTTCTAGAAGACAACAAGTATATTCAAAACACATACCTTTTTATTCATAAAAAGATATCCAGTCCTGGATTGGAGATGAGTTTAGGATGAAACAAACAAAAACTTTTTGGCTAGTGAAAAAGGAATCAGTCCAGTTCTTTTTGAAAAAAAATCACTATTGTTTTATTGGAGGAAAAAACAAACTAGACACATCATCATGTTGAGGCACGACATCATTTTAGGAATGGCTCATGCCAAGGATGTGGAACTAGTGATGACTGGAACAGGAGTTACAAATGACTGCGGGGGATTTCCATCCCTGACGGTAGTTGGTCAGCGGGTCATCCTTTAAAAAGCTGGAGAATTTATCAGGAGAGTTCTGGCGACGAGGATGGGATATTTTCAGCGAACAAAACCCAACATCAAATGAAGATGGCGCAGAGAAGCCATCTTCGAGAAAAAAAAGCTTCTCCACCTTAGGGAGGTGGGAGCAAAAAATGTTAAAACTCCGTTAAGCGGAGGGCAGCAAATTCTATGACATCAAATTATCGAAAAACTATCCGTCTTTCGCGCTCTTCCTTTTTATAAGATACAAAAACTTAAAATTGAAGTTGTAGTGCATGTTGTGCAAGTTAAAGTTAAATTACCTAAAAATCACGAGTTGAGACGAAAAATTGATTATGTGTTAAAAGTTACGGTTGAGAAACACAACAAACACGCGGAGATGAAAGACGCCGACGACCCGTGGAATTCTCAGAAAAAAAAGGGTGGAAACTTCTCGAAATAAAGGGGCTCTTTTAAGGAGCTGGTAAGGGATTTTAGGGGGAGAATGTCCAAAATGCGCTACCGCTTAAGGGGCTAAAGAAAGATGATGAAATAAAAGAATGTATTACAAAATTAAAAGAATTAGTATTATTGATTAAAAAAAAGGATATTTATAAATTAGGCTGTGACCTAATGTCACACTATCTAATTGTGATTTGTACAATTTAATCTGTAATAAGTAAAAATGGGAAAGAGAATTATTAAATATCACAGGGAGGTAAAAAATTAAGACGCATAAAATAACCTGGCGTAAATATTTGTAACTGACTCATAGAAATCATAACAACATGAACCTCTGTACTAAAACAGCCATATTTTTTTAAAGTATGTAGTAGTTTGAAGTTGAAATTGTTAAATATTTAAACAAAATCTATTTCTGTCCTCTGCAAATGTATTTTGTTTTCCATTTAGAGGAATTTTTAAATGTGTATATATGTTTCAGCATCACCTTTTCTGTATGGAAGATGCTTATGGTTTGCAAGTCGCTTTCCTACAGTCATGAATGAAGAATTAGTAAAAAGGTACAATTTTTATATTGCTTAAAGAAAAAATAAAGATTTGAAATTTTTTTTTAAATATTTAGTTTTGTGTAGTGCTCAAAAGAATTAAATATTATAATTATGTGTATAAACTATGAATTATGTGTGTTAGTAAGCTAAAATGCATAATTTAAACATATTATGCAAACAAAAAATGTGATTTCTTTAATAAAATTGAGTATCATTGAGGGTTATTTCCCCTGAAAGCAAATTCTACAAAACATAAAATGAATGAGGTTATCAAAGGGTATTCTCATTAGAATGTTGCAAACATGCTTTATTAGATTCATTTCTGGGAAACATTGGCCAATTTAATTGAAGAATTCATTCATCAAAAAAAGTAAATTCTACTAGCTGAGTACAATGTGGCCTAGCGTCCATTCTTCAAAGATTGCTGCAGAGTTAATGACCACAATAGGTCTGTAAATCTCATCCCTAAATTGCTAAATCACCAGACATTTTCATCCAGATTCATAATATAGCAGAGTTATTTCATGTACCACATACTCTGCAGTTTATTATTGTTAGGTTGTACATTAAAATGGAACTTTCCTTTTAGAACACATTGAGATGCTCCTATGCCTGTTTTCTTTGTCAACTAAATGAAAACAATAGATCTCTATACAAACATATAGTGTAATCAGTTTGAAACAGTTTGAGTCAAAACTCTGCTACCAGTAGCTTTCTTAAGGTGCCCTGCCATTCATAGTGTTATTGCCAACATATAATCTTGTCCTAATATTCGGTAAATATTTCTAGATTTCAAAAATCAATTCTATAGCCTGGAAATTACGCTATGGGATTTATTTGGCCAGCCTCTTAAACTACCAAAGACTCTTTAGGCATATTAAATCATATAATTGAGACATCCTTACTGTTACAAAACATCTAACGAGTGCCAATCATTTTTAATCTACTGCTACAGAAAATAGTTGCACTGGTACCTTTTCACAGTGTATCTAAAATGTATAGTTTTCTAGGTTACAGACAAAATATGCATTTTTCTTGTGAATGTCATAATTCTTCTTTTTAACCATTTATTTAACTTTTTTTCTTCAAGTTTTTAGTTATATGGGTGTGTCATATCGAAGGGCACAATATCCTCTAATGGTTTTGAATAGTCTTTCCCATTGATGTAGGTAGTGTTGGATGACTTTACTCTAATAGTTTACACTTTTCAAATTTTATCTTTTTTGCTGTTCATCTATGCAAATAAAAGTTTATTAGGATTTATCTTGTTTTAACTTTTACAAAGTTAGATCCGATTTGTCATCTAATATTTATAATTGAATTTAATTATTCTCCATTCATGCCAGAATCAAATCATAAATTTCGGAATCTAACCTTTTCATTAATTTAATTAAAGTTTAATGTAGAGAAAAATGAGAAATTTTAACTTGTTAAGAATTTATGAAGTTTTGTAAAATTATAATACTAAAGTATACTTACATAGCACATTTTTATTCAGTGATTAATCACAACAAACTTTAAATTTTGCATAGTTCATTGTTAAAACGCCAATTACAATTTCATTTTATTGCAGATTCTTAGAAGCAACAATTCTTGGTCTTTCTCCTACACAACTTCCTGTAGTGCGAGTATCAGCTGTTAGAACTGTAGCTGGGTATGTTTTTTGTCCCATTCATATATATATTACATTTCAAAATTGATCACATTATTTATTTAATTTGTTTAGCAATCTTCCATAATGGATATTACCTGTTGATAAATATTGACTTCATCCTCCTTTGTAGAAGGCCTATAACTAAAAATATCTGATTATAATTTGTATTGGAGCTATGTAAAAAGTGCTTGAGGTGTGGGGCTTATTGATTACTAATAGGTGTACTCTATTGTGCATGGTCAATATTTTTTTCATGACAGTTAAAAAAAATTTATTTTGAGATTTTTCAAATTTTGTTTAAACCATCAAAAGTCTTAAATGAAAACATTCCACAAAATCAACTTAAGATTTCTCAAGCTTTTAAGCAAAATTAGCATTCTATAATCTAGTCAGCCTAATATTTTAAAATCTTCCATTATCTTAATTTTATTCGTTTTTTATTTCCTTCTCCTGATTTTCTTAGATATTCATTCTAGATTTTCTTGAGACATGACCAGTTTAGTTTCATCTTCCGTATATCTTCTACTCAATAGTTGTCTTACCAAGATCTTCATTTCTTATCTTATTATGCTGAAATGTCTTTATTTTTCAAACAATTCTGTGTGTTTAAGATTTGGATGACTATATTTTTATTGTGTAAATTTTTTTTTTTTAAGGGTAAATTTTTATTTAAAATTTTCTTGCTCCCCCCCCCAAAAGTATTTAAGAGTTTGTTATATAATTGCTTTCTGAAAAATTATTGAATTTTCCACATTCTAGCTTCGAAACATATTTTAGGTGTGGGGAATTTTTCCATCAACTAAATAAATATTCTAATTCTGTCTATTTATGTAAGAGTTTCAATTTTTTATAATTTATTTACTAATTCTACATATTGAATAATTAGTTTTTTTAAAATTAAATTTAGGTATTGTGATCATCTTAGTACTACAAAACATGTTCATATCCTGTTGCCGTACTTACCAAGAATAGTGGATGGGCTCATTTCCATGGCTGTCCAATTTCAATCGGAAGTATTGGCCTTAGTATTAGAAGCCATAGCAATAGTCACAGCTGTAAGATATGATTTATTTTAATTTGCGCAATTTTTTTAATGTGATTAAGAATTTGGCTTTGTTTTTTTTATTATAATTAGAAAGTAAAATTGTTTTGAATTTTAAAAAAATCTACCGGCTCTAGATTTTTTTTACAAATCTAGTGTCTAGATCTAGTGTCTGCCTCTGTTGCAGTAATCTTTTTCAAAAAATTTTCAATGTGCATACTACATTCCATACAAAGTTTGTTTAATGAAGAATAGTGCAGAAGATATTAAATTTTGCAAATGTTTTATGAATATTTTGATATGAAAATGTTATTTATGCTGACATTGGTTGTTCGAGTTATTTTATTTCAAAATAAAAGAGATATTTTTGCCTCTCTTTGTCACATTGATCACAACCACATATCTAGGGTTAAAACTTAGGAGGCTTTTTATTCTTCTATTTAAAGAAAAGTCAAGATGTTTCACATACAATGTACTATAATATCAAAGCATTGATTGTATCCATCTTTTTATCACTGTATCTTTACGTATACAAGCCTAAAGTTATTTTTTAGAAATAAATAAATAAGAATGATTTCAAACGTATTTTACTTGAAATAATGATGATACTGAAACCAAATTGTCTATGTCTAAATTTACTTACTAAAAATTTATTATATAAATCTTAATCAATCTCAGAAAAGCAGAGATTTCAATGCATTTTTATTGCTCATTAGATCTTGATTTTATGTTAACTGATTAATAATGATGTTTACTATTTACTAATTTTACATTGTGTGTAAATGTAACTCAAATTATCCAAATGATTTCTTGGATAATGTGTACTACAATTACAAAGATACAGATCTATAAATAAAAATGTTAAGTGTAGCTAAATCATTGAAAGACAAATTTTCTCAGTATTATAAAAGGTTTCTTGCATAAATAAATGTTATTAGAATTTTATTCATATAAATGACTTCTGAACGAAGACAAAATCAAATTTAAGTACGGAAATATTAGGCAATTGAGCTATAAAAAATCATTCATATTAATCAGGTTGTATTTACATTATTAATCAGTGTGTAACCTAAGTTTCATACAATTGTTACTTCATTCCTGTGAATTTTAATAACACTTGAATGTAATAGTACCAACATTTCCTTAATGTGAGATTTCTGTTTGAAAAACTTAATAAATCTTTACTATTTTCTGTTAATATATCAAACAAAAAAGTTTGCTTAGTATGAACTATTTCATTTCCAAATGTCTCGGGCTTATTTAAATCAAGATGCTTAAGTTTTCTTTTTTCTCCAACCTCAGATTGACAATAACTTTACTGCTCAAGTGGAAAATAAAGTCTCTCCTATAGCTATTGCTGTATTTTTAAAGCACAATAGTGGTGAGTATTTCTGCATTTCTCACATTACTTAGTAACTTATTACTTTTCAAATGTTACTAGTTATTTTTCTTGTTCATTTCAAAGGCTTATATATCTTTTAACTTCTTTAAAAACAATCACTATTTTGATCCATAGTGGACTTAAATATTGAACTTGCTTATAAACTCTTGAGTTCTATAATCTTTAAATTGCTTCTGATAATATAAAGTTTTGCCTATTTAATCATGGCATGAAAGATGGTTGTTTTCACTAAATAAACCATTTAATTCATCCACGTAATGAAAAACTTAAAACATAAAGCTAATAAGGAAAAAAAATATTCAATTTTATACCGTAATAATAATTTGTATTATAATAGTACAATAGAAATGTAGGTTTTTCAAAATGATGAACTCAATTTATTTTATTGAATGAATTAAACAAACTACATACTGAGGAAAAGTTTAAGTTTTGAAGATTTTAGCATAGGTTTCAAATGTTTTGTATGCCTCAACAGCAACTAAACTCATCCCACACTAAGCACCTGTGACTTTAATGCAGCTGTTACTAATTGGTGGTAAGCAAAACATTGGACCATCCTTGTTCCCTCAGTATGTAGAATGTTTATATCCAATTTATATTTTGTAAAAAAAAAATTAAATTGAGTCTTATTTATCTTTAATAACTCTGTATAATGAGACTTATGTTATTATTGTGATGTAGAATTTTTTATATTATTATAAGGATATCTACTTTGTGTTTTTAATGTATTAAAATTAGGGAGGAGCACTTCTATAAAAAGTTTTCAAAAATAAGTTTATCTTTTTCCCTTTCATATATCATTTACTTGTAGAAATTATTCTTCCAATGTTTATGGAAGGTATTTCCACTCGCTATTGGCAATCAAATGTTTATAGTTGGCAAGTAAGTCTCAAGTTAATGCTGCCTTGTAAGTCTCCCAATAAAACTATTAATTTAAATTTACCTATTTATGTTCACATTGTCATGCCTTACTATAGAATAAGAAAGCAGAATTACTCATTTTTTACTGTGAAATCATTGCTTTTTAAAGCAGAAACCTTGAATATTGAGACAGCATTATTTTAGTTCAATATTATTGCTATAAATACGGCTTAATTTTCAAGTTTATACATTCTTCTAGGGTTTAGGTCGCCAAAAATTTCTTCATAATACATCTGTTAACATTTTAATAATGTTCTTACCTTTCATGAATGTAAAACTATGGAGAGTAAAAATTTTAGTCTGGCTAGTATCTTTAGTACTGAATTTTAATGTCCTTGTTTAGGTACTAAAATCTTTAATGACACATCTCATCATGATTACATTATCAAGGATTTGGTTGGTAAACTAGTCTCTTTTCATTTACAATCCGACTAGAAAGTAGTTTTACACAATGTTCTGAAGAAAATTGTTTGTTAATTTATTAATTAATCCAGTCATTTGCATTCAGCAAATATCGAGCAAATGCAATTATAAGAATACTTTTTTTCCTTTGATTCTTGGGTAGTTCTGTTTTATTTATTTATTTGTAATTTACTTGTGTGTCTAAATTTCTTAAAATATTTCGAGCTTTTCCAAAATAAAAATTTATTCTTAATTTTTTTTTTAATTGACAATTTTCCAGTCTCGACATACAATTATTAATATGCAAAATATTATTTACAAAATTGTGATTTGGGCATTGATGTGTGTCTGATAGTTACTAACTTTTGTTCGAAAGTGTAGATGTGTTTTAAATATTTGTGTTACTTTTTAATGAGTCAATTTTATTTAGATCCTGTTTTAATTACAATTGCTCAAGACATTTTTACCAACCTATGCAAGTGTCCTAATACGATTGCTCCTCTGCAACAGCGTTTGATACCTACTTTAGTCTCAATTTTACAAGCTCAACCAAATAAAGTTCCTTCAGGATTGCAAGCAGTATGTACTTATTGTTTAGATCTTGTTTTATTGTCTTTTGCTTTTTATTTTTTTATCCAATTTATAATTTCAGTTAGTTGAAGGTTTTGAATATATGTTCACAATATTTATGCATATGTATCAAATACAGGCAAACCTTGATATTAAGTATTGGAAAAGAATCCATAAAAATTTGTAATATTAAACCTCACAGCATCAAGATTTGAATATTTTAATCATCATTTTGTAATTTTTATTTTCCCAATGTTGTAACCTCTTTTAATATTTCTTGTTGTCCCCAATCACCACATTCTACAATATTGTCCTCAATATCAACTTCCTAATAATTGTCAGTTTCTTTTGTGTTTATTAAACTAGTAGCAAGTTTTTCCCTAAATTCTGGCTGGCCATTCTTATCTATGCACACATATCTTATTTATCTGCTTCTGTAGGAATGAGTGATTTAGGCAATTTCTTTCCAAGCATAGCAGTATCTCTTTTAGCATCAAGATATATGTTATAAAATTATTAAGAAAAGTTTCAAAGAAATGGGAGTTCAAAAAAATTTTTAAATTCTTCAGAACTTAAGGAGAAGAACAATTTTTTTTATTAAAAGTATTTCATTTTTATTAAAAGTATTTCAATTAAAAGTATCAAGTGTTTTGATGGTAGTATTCTACTAAAAGAGATTTTTTTTCTTCTATTAGTAACATAGTAAATGTGTAGAAAATGTAGAATTTTTCATGATATCAAAGAATTTGTGTGATTGAAATTCATGATATGGACATTTGGCGTTAGTTAAATATTTCTTTAAATTTTTATTATTTTTTATTTTCTTGTAGCTCATGGCAAATAAATTACTTTTCATCAAAATAAACATCACATAATATATACTTCATTAAACAGTAATTAATTGAAAGTTTTCCAAACTGTTCTTTTTAAAGCTGTGTGTTCTGTAGCAGTGGTTTCCAAAAGCTGTTCTGTGGAACCTTAGAATTCCATGGAAAAGTATATATGTTCTGAGAGTTAGAATTTTTTTTTTTTACTACTAATGATTTTTGAAAGCTGTAATTATATTTATATCCAATCAATAAGCCATTATTTATACTATATTTCAATTATTTTTATGAAATGCCTATAGAGAAAAAAAATAGCTAAATTTTTAAAAATGCAGACAAATTTTCTAACTGCAATGAATAAAAAATTTTGTAAAAGACATAATATAAAAAATGTTTGTATTTCTAATAACTTTTCAAATCAAAATATATAACTGAGTTCGGCAATATAGAATACAAATTTCTGATAACCATTTCAATGTTAATAACACCTCTTTTTCGTTTTCACTATATTTCAATTCAGCCAGTTCATTTATAGCTTAGACATGCATCAAATAAAAAATAATTCTGAACTAGACTAGATGAGACTCCTGACCTGTGAATTACACTCTCTGACATAACTATTATTGATAAAACTATTACTGGTTTTTTTAAAATTATTATTGATAAAATGATTAAAAAAATTAAAGATATCCAAAATAATTTTGTTTTCTTTGGTAAATTTATAAATTGGGGGTTCTGCCAGTAGAAGCTTTATCATTTAGTGTTTTGTAGGTGAAAAAAAAATTGGGGATCTCTGTTCTACAGTATATTTTTTGCTTACTTCGATAACAATGAATTGATAACTCTCCAAATGAATATTAATGCTGCCACAGATTTAAATTTGAAAGAAGAAATAAAAGACTACAAATTGTTGCCATATCTAATTTTCAATCACCTCTATGACAGAAGTGTTTTTAAATTGAATATCTGTCAAAAATAGTAACATAATCTTCATCACATAGCTAGTTGATCTCAGCATTTTCTTGATCAACTAAAATGTATATGCATGTTTTGATCAATTAACAGATCTGTATCACCTTATAACTCTTGTTCTGAAATTAATTCATAAACTATCTGAATCATTTGCATTTTCTATTTCTTATGTTATGTTTTAGAATTTTAACTTAAAGCATATATATATATATATAATTGAAAAATTATTGACTTATGAAACATTTTTGCCTTGAATATAATCCATTAAATACTCTTTGAGTTAAATGTCCTTCCGATTTCTTACCACTTTCGTGTCATTTTTTTCTATTAATAATTGTTTTATTTAGTTGAAATTAGTGTGTCTAATAAACCAAATCTATTACAGGCATCCCTGGATGTTTTATATACAGTTGTTCGAAATAGTCCACAGCCTGTACCTGCACAACTCATTTCTCATGCTTTTCCTGCAGCTATCCATTGCATTATGCACACTGATGATAACAGTATACTTCAGGTATGTTGTTCTTTCAAATATGAAATAATGTGCTTTAGAAAGGTGCATGATCTCAGTTTTATTATAAATCTGCTGTAATTAAAATTCTGCCATTCTTTGTTTGAAAATAATTTTTAGAAAAAACACTATTTAAAATGAGTATATTTGCTGCACAATCCTAATTCTTCCAATGGCACTGTTTGTAATGTTGAAAATAAAGATGGCCCCTGCTATTAGAAAGAAGGGGGACAAAAAAGCATAGTTTGTAATATGAATATTATCACTACAATTGATTAATTTTTTTTAATAAACCCTCAATCTTAAAGGGTCAATTTTGACATGGTGATATTGATATTAATGTATAGAAGCAGTATTAAAAAATTTTTTCATTTGTTGAAGAATTATTTTTTGCATTTATGGAGGTTACACTCGAAATTCTTATTTCAGAATGGTGGTGAATGCTTAAGAGCTTTTGTTTCTGTGGCACTTGAGCAAGTTACATCTTGGCAAGATGAAAATGGAGTAACTGGTTTAGATTATATTATTAGGGTAATTATTGTTTTTTTGTGTATATAATTCGGCTTTCATTGTGTATCATAAAGTGATGCAAAAAAAATAATACTTCTTCAACTAAAAATTTGCCAAAAAAAAAACATTATATATATATATATACATACACACACAGTACAGAACCCGTTATCCGGAAATCAGAAAACCGTAACAAAATTCGGAACATTTTCTCGCCATTTTTTTAAAAAAAATAATAATAATTTTTCCTCATAAGATTTTATGATTTTTCTTTCTTTTTTTAAAGATGTTAACCTTGCCATCATTTTGGAAATAATCATTAGTGTATTACTTCATTGTTTTTTCTTATTTTTAAGATTATTTCCAAAAAAAATTTTTTTTTAGTTGGGTTTAACAATAAAAAAAACGGCTTTTTGTAGCGATTCAGAAAGCCGGAAAAATCAGTTATCCGGAATAGCGATGGTCCCGACCGTTCCGGATAATCGGTTCCCTACTGTATATATATATACACAAAGTTTGGTCCTAACTTCAACAAAATGAAAGAATTTCTCATGGAACAATTGATGTTATGACTACTCCAATTTTAAGTGAAAGTAAATTTCATTGCAGTATTTTTGAACAATTGACCATGGCAAATGCATTTCCGTTACTAATGAAGGAGGGATATTTATCCCAAAAAGTCATTTAAGAAAAATTTATTTATTATATTGTAAATCTTATTACAAAAAATATGGCCATATTTTAAAATCATGAAATAAAGGTCTCTTTAAAGCATGAGGAGATTCATTCTCCTCACATCAAGAATTTCTGTAAGGATTATTAAGGGCTGGACTGAGGGACGATAGCTCACCCAGTCTGACCAATCAAAATTTTGAGCATAAAAATTCTTTTTAAAAGACATATAAAAAGCGTCTTTTGAAACGTTAATTCTTCCAATTAAATAATTTACAGAAAGTTTGACAATATTGTAAGTCATCCAGTTTTTAATTTTGAAACTATGTGAAGATAAAATTAAGGATAGAAACTATATATAGCTATTTTACAACCATTTATATTTTTTTTTATTTATTAACCCTTCCCTCCACACTTTTTAGTACTGAAGATTGAAAATTATTTATATATGCGGGATTGGTCAGGGAAAATAGAAAAAAAAATCAGCTACTATTTTTTGTTTTTGCTATGATAGTTTTCTTTCATCACTTTTGTTTTCTAGCACCGTATATATATATATATANATGTTACATTTGATATATATATATATATATATATATATCAAATGTAGGATTTCACATTTTTTATTGAAATACTTGATCCAGTTGGAGAAATTATTTTTATCCTCACACGGAGAAATATTAACGCGTGCTGGAGCGTCCACCTGTTTTTCTTCAGAATCAGACATTATTCGTTTAATTTTTCTGTTTCTTAATTCCAAAGTCATTAAAATAAAGTTCTAATCGGTGATTAAAGCGAGAAGGAAAAAAATAATAAAGAGAGAAATTACTTTCCTCGCTCCTCTTCAACACACCCACGCATTCGAATTTCTAATCCAAGGTTACGAATCATTTTAGAAGCGAAAGTCGATTATCAAAAGATGTATTCCATTATTAAATTAAATAGCATTTTCAGTTTTCAATAATAATTTTTCGCGACAGGAAACTATCACTGACGACTTATTTGTTACGCTTTGAAAGCCTAAACATTGTAAGTTCGTAGTGTGGCCAGTGCTTCTTGAAAAAGATACAGGAAAATTCAGGAATCATAATATAATTTTATTAAAGTAAGGGCCAGAGCCCCAGAATCACAACCTTGCATGCTGGTGGATAGGAAGAGAATAGCACATTTGACCTTGGAAAGAGGGTTTTTATATCTTTCTGGACAATATATTTAAATGTTAATAGGTCTCAGTAGCGTGGGACTGATCAATTTCCCAAGCTACTAAAGCCACATCCTCACATTTTTTGAGATAATTAGATCAATATTATTACTTTCTTGTGGGAAAGGTTTTTAAACATTTGCGTGTTAGATAAATGCTCTATTTATGGATTATATTTAATATATAATTGTTTTAACATTACATATATATATGTATATATATGTATTTGTATATATATGTATATGTATATATATGTATATATATGTATATATATATGTGTATATATATATACATATNATATATTTACATTGAGTTTAGTGGAATAAAACTTATTTATATATAACAGAATTCACTAAACAGTGGATTCTGTTCAAATTGTATCTCATTATGCACTTAGTAAAAAATGTCTTTTCCCAAAATTATATGCCAGAAATAGGAAGTGAAAAATAGTTAATAGTACAGTGCTCGAAAAAGAAACGAAGCACTCTGAATGACTTTTGATCTAATATAGGATTGTCACGTTCTAGAACTGAAACTGGATGGTTTGCCTTACCTTAATATACCAATGTGCTTGTCATTACCAAATAATAATGAACTTTAAATATACCAATTAATTTGTGCAAATAAAATTAGGCGCAAAAGCATACTTTCTATGAATAGACATGCCATTATTTTTCAATGGTTTTTGGATTTCGGACTCTCCTTCAATATAACGCAATCTGAGAAATATTAATTTTAAAATTAATTATTTTTCATACGCAACAGGAAAAATTCATTTTTCTTGTTGTGTATTTCGTCATGCCTCGAGAACTTTTTAAGTGAATTCAAAAAATTTTTTATTAAATTATAAAATTCGTTTATCCAAAGATAATTCTAGCGGAAAAAATAAATTTTAATAATTGTTATTATTTTATTAAATGATAGTTGAAAAAAAATTTTTACATGATTTTAAAGAATGTAATTTTATGTGACAAAATACAAAATGTAAATAAAATTGATTGAATAATTCTGGAGAAATCGAATTTTAAAAAAGTGGTATATCTAGTACATTTGTCACATTAAAAATTATTCAGCATATTTTTTTTTTTTTTTTTTTTTTTTTTTTTTTTTTTTTTTTTTTTTTTTTTTTTTTTTTTTTTTTTNTTTTTTTTTTTTTTTGCTCACTGTATATTATCCACCAATTCAAAATGTTGCTAAACTACCAATTTACTGTTTTTCAAGAACTGTGTTATTTTAATTACTATTCTAAGTTGGTAACAATACTTTGTTACTATTTGATTAATTTTTGTCTCTTTTCGTCCAGCTTCCTCTATGCCATCTATAAAAATACTGCAAAATGTCAATATAAAGAAAATATCCACATTTTTGAGAAAATGTTTATGATCTAATATTTTAATATTTTTTAAAAAAAAATGATAATCCAATGACCACCAAACTGGTAATTTTTTTTTAAAAGAAAAAAAAATTATCTATTTTTTCTTAGACAATTCTTTTTTTACCTGTGAAGTATAAATAGCTCAAAATTAAAACGTTGTTAATTAAACTGTGGCTTTTTTTTATTTTCATTCATAATATTAATTCTATTTAATAATTTCATATATTTTAGGTTTATAACTATTTGTGTTACCCCTTAGGTTGTTCAATTGTTACTTGATCCTAAAACTCCAGAGTGTGCCTCAGCATTTATCGGTAAACTAATTTCACTCCTGATTTTAAAAGCAGGAACCATCATTGGAGAGAAAAGTGAATCATTATTACGTGCTGTACTTAGCAAAATGCAAAAATCTGAAGCTTTAAGTGTTCACCAGGTAATGACTAAACAGTAACAGAAAGTTAAAATTTTTCTTTTCTGTAGATTTTGTATCTTAAAGAATTTTAAAGCATCCAAACTTCATAACACTCATAATAAATTTATCCTTTAAGAATTGTTGAATTATAAAAGTATTGTTTTTAAAAAAATTCTCACCCTGAATTAACTATTATGTATTTGATAAACTGAGCCCCTCATATCATAGAAACATTGAAATAAAGTAACTATGAACCACTAAAACAATATTCAACATTTCTTTAAAGGCGTCAATAAATTATCTTTCTTAAAAAACTTATTTTTGTAGCATTTTATATTAATAATTTATTTTATTTTTCATACTCTAAAGTATCGCTGGTTGTATGTTAATGGTTCTCCTATATAATTATTTATCTGCAAGAACTTTAATTAGGATCAATTAAAACATTTATAGTGCTATCCTGCTGATTTATTTTGTTAAAATAGAGATTTTATTTTATCTGTAGATTTTTTTTCTATTATTTAGTCGAAACTTTATACTAAACTATTTTTCTATTAGTCGAAACTTAATCATAAAAATCCTTAACAAGAACATGTCAACGAAAAACAGATTTGTTTAAATTGAAATAAAATTCAGTGTATATTTGGAAATATAATGTTAATATTTATGATTCTTATTTCAAAAAAGAATGTAATAATATGTAATTTTTGTGTAACAAATAATGTGCAAAAAAAATGTTGAATCCAAATTAAAAGCATAATGATAATCAAGAAAAAAGAATTTAAAAAATTGTTTGATCATTATAATTCTATTTTTGTATAATAAGCAGAATTTACCTGTTAATTGTTCTTTATTTATAATAACTTATGTTTGTTTTTTTTTCTTCCCATTTTCTTATTTAATTTTAAAAAAGTACCACCGTCGAAGAATACAGCCACTAATTTTTTGCTTGATTAAATTATTATATTTGTAGATCGGAAAATTAATTGAATAGTAACTTCAAAATGATCCTAAGCAATATTTCTTGCCTATAAAAGTATTTTAGTAAATTCCCTTTAAATTAAATTAATGTAGCAAATCTTAGTTATGTTTTATTATTATTTGTAATATTATTCTTTTAAGCTGTAGTAAAATTAATTTATTGTGTTTTTTACAGAGCTTAATTATGGTATTTGCCCAACTAATTAGTAAACAAATTGAGCCAACATTAGAATTTCTCAGTAGCATACCTGGTCCAACTGGTCAGTCTGCTTTAGAATTTGTTCTCGATGTTTGGTGTCAGTGTTTTTCATTATTCTTTGGAGCTTATGAAAAAAAAGTCAGGTGATTGGTGTTTATTGTTTATGATACTCTTTTTAAATAAACTGCAAAGATGGCAATACTCATTACTTTTTATTTTCTTTATTTTAGTGCAGTTTCCCTGTCCTTGGTGTTGCAACATGCCTTAAAAAATAATGACCAAAGAATTCTTAACATTCAAGTTAAAGGAGACCAGATACATGATTCAAGTGAAGGAGTTAAAACTCGAGCTAAGACTCGTCAAAGTAATTTTTAATTATAAGTTATTTACACCTGAATTATTAACACTAATAAAACTCCTTAATTCATATTAATTCAGATCTGCAATCAATTCAAATAGTAAAAAAAAAAATAGGGCACATTTTTATGCAGTGTGGTCTATTATGATTGCCATTGATGTATATTTTTAAAATCCTTGTCAAAAATTAAATACAGAAAATAAGCACATTAGGAGTTTAAAATTAATAGTTAAACAAACAGAAAGCAAAAATGCTATGACTATTTAATGAATCATTCCGTAGGAAGGTGACTGTTAGAGTTCTAATAATAGTTTTCAGATAATTATTAAAAACACCAAGTTTCATCAAGCGCTTAAAATGGTTTTGGTGTTTTTCACCCCATCTTATTCAATAGTGTGGGGTTTTATTTTCTTTATATATTATATATTATTTTCTTTATATATGTGTGTGTATTCTCTAATATTTATAATTTTTAGACAAAGAATGTAAAAATGTATATTAAGGGCTGTCATTACAAATCACCTTGTTAGTGTACGCTTTTTGAATCTAGCCAATAAATGTTGCGTAATTCATTGCAATTCCATTGTTCTTATTGTCCACCTTTTATAGCAACAAAATGATCCAGATGACTGGACTTAAGCTGTATCATATTTTTCCTCAAAATTTTAATAATTTTCATCAGTGTTGGCAAATGTGATCCATGCCTTAAAAACCTACCAGGATTTAGTTAATAATACCAAAATTTTATTTTCAATATATTTCTTCTATTTTACATCAAATTAAATACATATTCAAGTTTGCCAGTTAGTTTAATCAGTTGTACTTCATTTGTTGATAACCTACCAGGCTTTTGTTCACAGTATGACATTTTAATTTAATATATTTTTAACATTTTATACTATATTACTTATTTGTAAATTAACTTCTATTTATTGAGCCATTGAGATTCGTTAGTTGATAATTTAATCAGTTGTACTTCAATTTGATGTTCATGTTAACAACAATACATCATCTCATCATTATAAGATTTTGCCTTACTAAATACTAGAATTATAATGTAATACTAATTATATTCATAAGATATGTTACTAATTATAAAAACAATATACATTTTTTTAATCAAGGAATAATAAGTAGTCTTTCATTAATGAAACAAACCAAATAAAATACATACTAATGTATGGTATTTTTTTATTTATTAAGAACTGCTGTTGGTAACTAATGGCAGTTATAAATGCATTTTTGAATTAAAATATATTTAAAATAATTTTCTATTTATTATAACAAAAATATGTAACAAGATAATATACTATTAAATTTTTTACTGCTTATTTATTAATACAGTACAGAACCCGTTATCCGGAAATCAGAAAACCAAAAAACCGGAACGAAATTCGATAAATTTTCCCGCCATTTTTTTTAAAAAATGTTTTTTTTCCTCATAAGATTTTTTGATTTTTCTTTCTTTTTTAAAAGATGTTTACCTTACCATCATTTGGAAATAATCATTAGTATATTACTTCATCGTTTTTTCCTCTTTTTAAGACTATTTCCGAATATATATATTTTTTTTTTAGTTGGGTTTATCAGTAAAAAAAATGGCCTTTTGTAGCGATTCAGAAAACCGAAAAAATCAGTTATCCGGAATAGCGATGGTCCCGATCGTTCCGGATAATCGGTTCCGTACTGTACTATAAAAGCCGTGAATTTATTGAAATAGAGTACCTTTCTCACATGCAAGGATGTTCTAATTCAGAAATGGCGTACCTGTGGTACTTGACGCGCGTGCAATAAATTACTATTATTGTGAAACAAAAATTTTTTTTAAAAAAAACTCTTAAATACTAGTGAGCATTGCTGGCAGATTTAGAAATAAGTGTGTATAACATTTTTCATGACATAAGGCTCACTGTAATACCCACTCCTCTGTTGAAGTGGAAACTGATTTTTTCTTGGGAAGTGTGTAAGGGTGAGGTCAATAAGATATAAAGAGAAAACGAAATTAAATTGCAAGTTATAGAGAAATGTTCAATAGTAAATTTTGCACAATTTTGTAAACAGGTATTTTATTGATAAATTCTAATTTATCAACGGTGAAAAGCTATATTTCAGAATTCGGCTAATTATGGCCGAAATATAAAAATTATGACTAATTAATTTCGGCAAAAAGCGTCAAACTTAATGTTATTATACATACAAAGCGTTTGAAAAAGTATACGTTTTACCAATTCTAATTTCAATTCAAAATGTCTTTTCTCCAAAATTTGTATAGAATAGATATTTTTTTATTAGATTTCTGTATTTTATATTTGATTAACTTAAATGCTTTTTTCAAATTTCAGCTCCTGAACAGTGGACAACTATACCTCTTCCTGTGAAGATTCTGAAATTGTTATTGGAAGAATATACTTCATCATCTGTTCTACAATATGGCTCAGATGAAGTATCTTCCGATGTAAGTTTATAATTTTAACTAAGTGAAAAAAATATTTAAAATTTACCAACTAGTGTTAAAAAGTTAAATGTTAATGTTAAAAGTTAATTACCAAATAAAAATTAATTAACAGACAATGAATCTTGTATTTTAGTGTTAACTTCATGAAATAATTTGACAAATTAAATTTCAAAACAAAAAAGTAGTGAGTAATTAATATTTTTTGTAGTGAATTTTTCAAGAAACATACCAACTCTTCTGAATTTCTGAAAAGGCTCCTTAACTCTTGCCTTTTCTCCGTAATCTTGAATGGACAATTACAATCAATTTTTTTTTTTTAATTTTAATGCATTCAGAATCCCTCAGAACTCCCAGAAAACATATTATTACTTTTCTAAGAAGGCTATTTATTTAGTTATTTTCAATCAAAAAACGCTTACTTTCGTTTTCGCCTGAAACGGGGAGTCACGTGATTATTCACGAGCTGACGTCACACGTGTCCATCTGCCGTTCACTTACAATAGCTGTGCTGTGAAAACCAATACGTTCTTGCTTTCGTTTATATTTTCTAATTAAATCCAACCATTTTAGATGGTCTAAAGCTATCTGTATAAAAAATTGCGCCTTAATATCGCTTAATAAAAATGTGGATTTGATATAACGTATTTTTATAATGTTAAATTTCAGTGGTACCCACTGAAACATTGTTAATACTTGACGAAATTTTGTAGCTCGGAATATTTAAGATTTTTTAGTTCAATAAAAAAAGTGCATGGTATTGCTTATAAATGATGCGTTATAAATACAAAATAACTTCGTTTTTTCATTTTTAAACTATAATCTTAATTTTAATGTATACTTCAAGTTCATTTGGAAGATTTATTTTCATCTTAAGTGAAAGAAATGTTGGATCAATTTCTTATGTAGAATAAATAGTTTTAGATTTTAAAATGTAGGACAGCTTAAGTTATTGATAATTTTTATCTATTTATTCTAGCGTGAATTCAAAGCATGTAATTGTATTCTTAGCAGTAGCCTCTTGTGATCCCAGTAAAACTTTAAATTTATATATATATATATATTCCTGCAGATTTTATTAACTTTACTTTAATTGCCTTAATCTATGTTATAAGAGTATTTGAAATCAAGCATATGCATTTATTTAGTTCTTTATTGCAGAAATAGGAATAAAATTTTATAAATGCATATAAAAATAATTTTTCGCCATAGCAAAGTTCCTATTTACTCAAAGAATAAAAATATTGAGAAAAAATATCAACATTACTGTTTATTTTTTAATTATTTAATAAATAATAAAGAATGTGCATTAGAATTTCTTTCCATTTTGTATAAGTTAATTTTTTATTTTTCTTCTCTAGCTTTAGTGAAACAAAAACTTCCAGCTTAATGATATTCGCTGAAATTTTGTGGATAAATAAGTTAATTAGATATGGATAAATGAGAAATTAAGTGAAATTTTAAGTATAACTAGATTATGGTGATGATGATGGTCAGATATGTTTCAATGGACTAGATTCTTGAAAGTGTTGATACGTTTTCGGCTATACCGTATGCATAACCTGAGATTTTTTTAAAACTGTTTTATTATTTTTTTTTAATTAAAAATGTATAATGTATTAATTTTACTATTTTAGAATTCTTCATTGCAAGCACTGACAAATAGATTTCAAAAATAGGGAGGGAAATTAACAATAATCATACTTTATTAATACTATATTGCAGAAAAAGGAATTAAAATTTAAAAATAAAAATAATTTCGAACTGTAACGGAATTCCTATTTAAGCTAGGAATAATAAATATAAGCGTTAGTGTGTATTTAAATATTTAATACATAGTGAAACAAAAAAAAAAGATAACACAAACTGCATTAGTAAATATTTATTTAAAAAGAAAATCCTTCAACTCTAGTAATAAATAAATAAATTAAAGAAGCAACATTAAATTACATTATTTCAATTTTTGATCATTAGCACATAGATTGTAACGATGATGGACTGATATTTTTCAATGGACTAGATTTATGAAAATACTGATTTGTTTTAATGCAATAACGAATTATAAAATCATCCATCCTATATCAAAATGTATGAAATTTCTATCTATTCAGCGACTTATTTTAATTAAGTAATTAGGTTGTAATGAAGCATTATTTTAATTTAAAAGTAAATGGAATAAAATTGTATTTTCTATGAACTTTAACACCACTGATTTCAGCCGAAAAAAAATTTTGATTCGCTGTAAAGAGCTACATAATCATTTCTTCAGATATTTTAATGATAAATAACAACGTTTGAAGTTTTAAAATCTTTCTTTCATTTTGCACACCCTCTCAGAACCGTAAATTTAATTCACAAAGTTTTTACTGATAATTTACAAAGGATGTTCATACGATATACGTGATATCAAAACTAAAAGAGCATTGAAATAGCCTTAGCGGATGAAGACGGCACGTTTCCCTTCGGCACATTTGACGTCATAACCAATCATGTGGCTGTTTTTGATTGCATCACTTACGGAGGCCTTTTGGGGCAATTTAAATGTTTAATAACTAAATAAATTAACATTTGCCGCAAAAAACAATCACATTTTCGGTTTCCGGGGAGAATTTCCAATAAGTTAGGTATGAAAATAAAAAAATTTATGATGTGCTGTAATTGTCCATTAATCAAGACACATCCCAAATTTTAGATTATCAGAAAGCCAAACATAAATTTACCAAAATTTCTCCTCAAAAGTTTATTTTGTATTCCTTCTTCTGTGATTTTCTCTGGGAGTGTGTAAACTTTTTCCAATCATTCACATGGCCACCATATATATTTATAAATTAGAACTACAATTATTGAACTTCAGAATCAATCACTAATTTCTATTTAGGGTCTGTGGCAATCGAACCCCCAAGCGCATATTTACTTTGAAATTTTCTTCTTTTTTTAATTTGATTCAATAAAGAAAAGGTTTAATTGCAATACTTAAAAAACAGAGGTTTACTGGTAAATTTTCTTATTTTACAAAGTGTCGGAGGCTTATTATTAAACTTGATTTTCGTAATTTCTAGTATTCTATCATTTTGTATAAAAAAGTCAGTCAATTAACAATTATAGCAATTAACTGAGATTTTTTTTTTTTAAATTGCAGAATTCTTTATATTTATTATATTTTTAACAAATGTTTCATGAATTAGATTTTTTCTAATTATTTTATACACCTTTGATCATTCAATTTTTAAATAATTAAAATTAAGAATTCATGAATCAGAGAAATAGGTTATATACTAATGAATCATATACCAGTTTACTTTTGACAAAAAAGTTCACACCTTTGATCATTCAATTTTTAAATAATTAAAATTAAAAATTCATGAATCAGAGAAATAGGTTATATACTGATGAATCATATACCAGTTTACTTTTGACGAAAAAGTTCAACTGCAAGCATAGTTCATATCAAGTCTTTAAATTTTATTAAGCTAGTATTTCAGATATTACATATATATATATATATATATATATATATATAAGCACAAATTAACATGAAAAACATGAATAAAATATAAAACTAAACTGTAGAGAAACAAGAATGGTAAAAACAATAGTCGTTATCAAGACACATCTATTGCTATAAATGCGATATTTCTGAATAAAGAATAATTATCCTAAGATAAAAATTATTCTTTATATGTGTCGATATCGCAAAAAACATATAGTTGAAAAATTATGAAATAAAAGTAATCAAACTTAACGGCGTGTAGTAAAATGCGGTTTTAGATTTAAAAGTATAATAAGTAAACAGTTAGTGAAATTAGCGAAGAGGTAAATATTTTAAGTGGTGCTTATAGCTTGAATCGAATAAAATAAATAAAAATATATATTTGATCGATGTAGAAAAACTTTTAAGTAAGTAAAATATTAGTGCTGCCATCGATGAGAAGAATTAGTAAAAATTCGGAAATTAAATTATTAAAACCCAAAAATGGAGAAAAGGGAATTAAAAATGCGTTTATAGACTTTATCCTTCATTCATACTTCCTTACATAATTTTATAGAATACACATTTCTATCATTCATAGGGTGACTTATTTAAAAGTCAGAGCCTGCACATATGGATGGAAGGCCGTTTATTATATATATATATAAAATATAAATTTCCCAGCTTTGTAATTTTTACATTGAGTCTTTATAATGATTCAAAATAAAAAATAATAGAGAATCTCTTTCATTTATTTATATTTGTAATCACATTTTTATCAATTCAGTATAATCTATAATCATCTTATAAGTGTTTTACTAATTGCACATTTAAAAATAATATATATAAATTGTAACTAATTGATAAAAAAAAGTAGTTACAAGTTTTTATATTTGAAGGTTTTTTTAGCTCCTGCATTCTTGTTTAAAGATCTCTTTAATTTCAATTAAACTTCTGTGTACATATCTCCATATTTTTATGCATTTTACTTTATTTTGAATAAAACTGTCACAAAAACCAGCAACTTATGATAAAATGTTTTTATGGAATATATTGAAACTTTTTTTGCAATTAGATGGTTTTAATGTAAGAATGTTTGCAATGATTTTTTTTTTCACAGGAGGGAGATATTGATGATGGATGTGAAAACAGTGGTGAAAGCTCAAGTTTTCTTGAAAGTGAATCTTCATCCGGAATAGTTTCTGACTATATTGGTAATTTTTCACAGTGACTATACACATCAAAACTCGGTTATTAAATATAATTCTTTACAAAAAAAAGTTTTAATAATTATTGCCAAATTTCAATAGCTTTTATTTTGATGACAAACAAAAATTGACGTGTGATAGAGAGGAGCGGATGTCCATTAAAGTCTGATATGAATATAATTAACTATTTAATTAAGTGAAAGAAGAAAATATGTTAAACATGGGACCATACACAAATTATACAAAAGTGATGGTGTGAAAAGTGATTGTTGAAATCATCTGTGTTACCTGATTTGTTATTTTAAATTTTTAAGACTCTTGAATTATAGTATAAGAAAAAATAACTAATAACTGTTAAATTTTCTTATTGTGTTATTTTTTATTGGGGACTAGGGTGTCATATTAGTTTACTATTTACGGTGCAATCAAACATAAATCATAAAGATCAGTTGTTGTAAAAATTTGAATTGATTTTCTCTCTAGTTCTAATTTATAAAGTAATAATAAAATTTTCATGAATTCGATTTTCCTGGTTAACTGAAGAATCATTCACAAATTAATTTTTTTAATGTTTACTGAAATTCAAAATTAGTGAAATAAAATAATAATAAGTAACAAACCAAATTATGATTTTAAACCATATTATATCATCAAATTAGTAATCTAGCAATAAATAATTTCAATTCAAGGTGCACTAAATAATAAAAACAGTTCCTAGAGGAGGCATATGACTTAAAATTAAATATTTTTTTAAAAAAAAAATTTAATATTTTAATTTATATATTAATGTTTTTAATTGTTTTTTTATAGTTTAATGTGTAATAAATGTTTTATTCATAGTTTGAAAAAACGTTTCTGTTTTATGCTACTGCACTTTTTTATTTCAAAACTGCTGTAGCATGTTATGAAAAAAATATATATGGTAATTATAAATTAAATATATAATAAATATAAAAAATAGTAAATATAAAATAAAATCCAACTTTAATGCAATTTATTTAACATATAACTGGTAAACTGGTTATTAACAATAAGCAGTCAGTCTTCAATGCTCTCAATTAATGAAAAGTTTTCAGAATGTAGCAATAAGCAAGAACAGTTGAACTGTAACAAATACTTCCATTTTTTTAGTTTTTATTCTTATTAGTATTATGAAAGATTTCTTGTAAAAAGTTTACCTTTATTAGAAAGAAAAAAGAATACTGAAAATACTTCAGTTAATATTCTACTAACACTGAATGGCTACAAACAAACATTGAATTTTGAAGTCAGGATAATGTTTAAATAAACACTTTTTCTTTGAATGACTTTGTATCTTTTAGTACAATTCTGCTAAATATATTAATCAAAGTTTAAATATGCGTTTGATTTCGTATGTTAAATTAATAAAAATGAGTTTTATTTTATGGTGCAGGTGGGTCATTCTAAAAAAGGGCGGCATTGAAAAAAAAAAGTTTCATTTTTTTGAAATTTATAACATAAATGCTTTAAAAATTGTCAAGTATCCTAATTTTATGAAGATAGTGTCCTAATATAATTTATCTTTTTATTTTTACAATTCCCACTTATGTAAGTTATTTGTTATATTCTGAACCCAAGGGTTATTCTATAATAATTCTATTAGAACATGTGTGAAAACAAATATTTTGAGCTTAGGAAAAATTAAATCTGCTATTAACTAGAAATAGCAACTTTCGTTAAAAAAAAAAAAAATTTAGTTTTTGAAATCAAAATTGCTATGAATGTTCTCATTCTCTTTGCTTTTTTATACCCCTGAAAAGCTACTTTTCAACAGTTGTAGTTCTAAAAGCAAAAAGATTTAAAAACTTATTCTGTAAGTAGTCAGCTCACAGTTAATGAATTCTCATTGTTAATAAGTCTTACTTTTGTTAATTACATTCAATGTAATTGAGTGGATTTAAAGTAATCGGTTGCAATAACTATGTTTATATTCTCACCTTACTTGCATGTAATAAAATATATTTAGTCGGAGTGCTATAAGACAAAATTAAATCTAAAGTGAGTGAATTAAATCTTAAATTAAGCCTTTACCTAAAGTGAATTTTCCGTTTAAAAAAAGACAACATATTGAAGTATTTTAAGAAATATATATTTACTTTTATTCATAATTTAAGTTATAGTATACTACTTCAAAAGGTTTTCTAATACCTATTTACTTTTTCAGAAAATTCATATAAGAATGCAGATTTGGAAGATGACCCCGACATATTAAATGACCCCCTCTATAACATAGACATGACAACGTACCTCACAAATTACCTCCAGCAGCTATCTCAGCACCCTTGCTTCAGTATGTTCTGTGCACATCTACAGCCTATGGAACTGAGGGAACTTCAAGATATCAGGGAAAAAACCTCTTGAATATGTGATTCCAATTGAAAATGTCTTAATCTGTGTCTGTACATATATTTGTGTCAACAATACTAAAGATAAACTATTTTTTCATCTGCATTTTGAATCTTATTAACAGAACTTGATTCATTACTTCCTGGTTTTATCAACAGAATCAAAAAGTATTTAAATGTCAACAGTTAATGTTTTTCTCAGTTTTGTTATAAATTTTTATTTTGTTAAATAGACTTGTGTTATGTTTAATTAAGGCTCATGTTTTTGAAAAATCTTTAATAAATAGAAATTTGAATATATTTAAGTACAATAAATAAATATTTCTATACATGTTTATGCTTAGTTTGTTTGTTTGACAAATGTCGAATTATTCACATCCCATAATTATGGATATGAGTTATTAAGTAGTCCTCTGGAATCATTTGTTTGTTGTTTGCGTGTAGTTTTAAACTTAATTATATTTTCATCTAAATGATAAAAATAAGAAGGAAGTAAAAAGTCAACAAAGATAAGCATTGCTTTGAAGTTTTTAAAATTATGATCAAGGATCCTTTTCTTTTGTATTAACTAAATTGTTAAGTCTATCAATATCACTGAATGAATAATGAACTGATAATTATGTTAGAAGTTATCAGTAGTTCATCAGTTAGTCATTAAAGGTCTACTTACTCTGTAGTTCATTAACCCAAAATAAATTTTTTTGACATTAGTATGTTTAAATAATGGAGGAAATTTTTTTTTGAATAGTTTATAAAAATGTTAATATATAGTTTTTTTCAGAAATTTAAAAAAAAAAGTAGGTTAGAATGTAGTTAATTCCAGGTCACATATTTGTGTATGATATTGATACCCAGTTATTTACCGATAATCAAAAATGGCATATTTGCAAATTTTCAAGAAAGTATCGCTTTTCTGTCTGTTTCTTTTCGACTTTAAGGTTTTCCCGATTTTAACCTAACTATTCGAACACTGCTAGTGCTAAGATGTGTTGAAATCATCTTATTTCTTTTAAAATATTTAAAACAATGTAGAACTATTTTGCGCAGGAGCTATAATGTGCTGACAATGAAAAAATAAGATACAGTGAAACCTGTCAAGTTGACCACCCTTGTAAGTTGGGCACCTGCATAAGTTGACCTCAATTATCAAGAACGGAATTTTTCCCATATAATATAAAGAAGCAAAACCTTTTGTAGCTTGACCACCTGTCTATCTTGTATGTTGACCACTGAAATAAGTCAATTTTGTCTAGGAGTATTATGAAATTCTATTCTAAAACCCTCATAAGTTGACCAGAATAAAAAAAAAATTCAAAAAATTTTCTGTCATTCTTGCAATGTATGTTAAAATTTCACTTGTTTGGTGAAATAGTGTAAAAAGCTAATCTAAACCCATTTGTGAGTTGACCATCAGGGTAAACTGTAAGGGGTCAGCTTTTGACCATTTCTTTCATCCGTTAATTGAAAACAGGTGTGTTAGTTGAAAAGTTGCTCTTCCAGTTGCAATAGTGAGCATTTGAATAAATGAATGCTCTGAAATATGCGTTGATCCTTTTTTTATGGTCTTTGATCCTTAAGTGTAGTAAATAGATTTCAAAGTGTTCAAATAATTTTATTTTGTCAAAGTTTTCAAATTACATGTTTTCGTGTTCTGATATTTTAAGAAATTATATTTATTAAACACTTCACATGCATAACTAGTGAAATAATTTCTTTTTTAAAAAATACTTAAATATTAGAATTATATGTATCAAATAGAAGTTCATTCAGGTTTAAACACATTTCTTAAGATATTCATTTGCATATTTTCTGAATAAAATTTTTAAGTCAAGTAAAAAAAAAAATTTAATATATAGCAACATGATATAGGAAGCGAAAAAGTAAACAATGACCCACCCCCTCTATAAGTTGACCACTAAAACAATGCACCACAAGTGGTCAACTTACACAAGTTTTACTGTATTATTAAAAAAATGCATATTGTACTTTCCCTTTTTTGAAAAAAAATTCAAGAAAAAACATCTTTAAATGGGGATATAAATTATTTCTGTTTTTTTATTTATCAATTTTATGTATTGATTCAAAGAATAATTATGGTTGTTTTTGACAAATTATTCTGCCTGCACAAAAGATAATCAGGCTCTTGTTAACTGATGCACAGAAGATGTATCTGATTCTGAAAATTTTTTAAACTCTTAGTCTCTTCTTTTGCATCTTTTTTATCTTTCATTATGTCGCAATCTTTTTCCATGCTAAGAATCCACCCTTTCTGGAGTTTATCAAAAAATAAATAATAATTAATGATTCACAAATGATAGAATTTTAATTCCATGACCCAGTTCTCAAATCCTTAACATTCTTTACCATGTTGTAGCCCAGTAAGTCCAGAAAATTCTCCTTTTGATTTTGTAACAAATTATTTTTACGAGGTTAGGTTGTTAAACCTTTTTCTTAACTGACTGTTATTCAAATTGTGTAGATTTATATATGGACAAAAAAAAACTAAAGTAATTAGATTTTATCAAATAAAAATGACAGATCTAAAATTGAAAATCAAGAAATAAATATCATGGCATCATTTTGCTATCTTGAATTCCTTTGTGGATAAAAATGGCGATTTTAGTGAATACATAATAAAACAAAGAATAACTGAAGCAAGAACCTCTTATAAAAGGCTAAATAAATTTTGGAGAAAACCAAATATTGAAATAAAGCAAAAATATCGATTTACAAAGCTATTTTCAGAGCAGTGCCACTACAAGATGCAGAAACATGAAAACAGAAAAAATTGAAAACTTATCAAAACAAATGCTTAATGTATATTTTTTTTAATTTTCTGGCGATATTAAATGAAAATCTCTTGGAAAAAAAAGCTGACTATAAAGGAAGAGATCATAAAATTGAGGTACAGTTGGCTTGGTTTTGTTCTTAGAATGCCCAATGAAAAACATCTATTATGCTTTCATGAGCCCCAGAAGGAAAATCAGCAAAAGGGAGATCTTGACTTATTCTTCAGCATTCGATTTTAGGTAAGCTCAAGATATTGGGAAAATCTGGTTAGGAAGAAGCAAGCTTTATTTTCAAGAACTGGATAGAGATACTTTGGGTGCCAAAGAACACGCAAAAAGTACGTTAAGTTGTGCAACTATCTGTACTAGCCCCTCGGGTTTTGTAGTCTCAGATAGCTTAGAGACTACAAACACTCTATTTCTAAATGTGTGAAATAAAATGATGAAGACTATAAAACTCATAATCTGATATCGCTTTTTTTTTATTTTTTATCACGATTTCCTGCCATTAATTGCATGTTCCTTTTAGTTCATATGTATTTATCGAAACTCATTAGGCCAAACAAAAAAATTATCAATGCTGCACAAATTTTTGTAGTATGTATTAAAATGTTTATTTAAAAAAAAATTAAGCCTAATTGATCGATTAGTTTTTGAGAAATATAAATTTAATAAGACTTTTTTTTTATTATATTTTATAATCAGCTTAGCGCAGCCGATCCTCCCCCCCCCCTCTTTTTTTTAGATCACGATTATTAAGATATGAATCATGAACCTAAACCTATATTTCATATCCGGCTTTGAGAAGTTGACCCAATTTTCAGTTCACGACTATCAATGTTGAACTTCCATAGCCTTGTAATTTTGACTCAGAAGATAAGGAAACTCCTAGATGAAGTATTGGAACAATTAGCCTTTGTGGAGGACTTTTTTTAAGGAACTAAACCGCATTTCCGTTGCCCGGGGAGAGAAACCTCCCACGGTTAACTCGAAGGTAAGGGGGCTCTAACCCATGGTCCGCCTACCATCAAGGATAATTTACATCGACATAGTGATCGGTGCGAACCGGGAGCTACCAGACACGTCTGGTATTTTAACAAAGAGAGGAAAATTTCCGACAGCAACGAGTGCGGCTCGATACGACTTATTTTATAACCGTCGTTAAACAGCTGACCCAATTTTGGATTTACGACTACTAATGTTTTACTCCGTAGCCTTGGAATTTTGAACCATATTAAGAAGACAAGGTAACTCCTGGATCAAGTATTGGGAGAAATTTGCCTTCGTTGAGGACTTTTTGATGGAACTGATCCGTATTTGCGTTACATGGAGAGGAAGACCACGGTAAGCCTGACGGCAAAGGGACTCTAACCCACGATCCGTCTACCACTGAGAATATTTCACGTCAACACTGTGGTTGGTGCAAGCCTTCGCTGGGATTCGAACCCGGTCACCTCATTGGAAGGCGAATGCTCTATCACCTGAGTCATCGAGGCTCGTTACGGCTTATTTTAAATTTTATTGCTCAGAAAGTATAAAGATGATTTCATGCAAATTTTGTAATTTTTCTCTTAAAATTAGTGCATAATTTAAATCCGCCATCAACCCCATCGTCTAAACGAAAACTTCAGAAAAAGTTCGATTTTTAGTCTTTTATCGCCACTTAAAATATCGATTGCTTTAATTAGTTGGGAGGAAAAATTTCTCAGTATATAGTTATAAGTATTTTCTTTAAATTTTCCTTACTTAAAACCTACTTTTTCGCCCCATATTTTTTTTCCAGCTTTATTATTCTTTGGTAAGCATATACTTTTTGCATTTAAAAATGAGATGATTGGTATTTTTGTCCCCGGCATTTTTATTTCGTCAAGATCTTAAATACTGTTATGTCGGTGTTCCTCAATAGAGGCCTTTTGCATGTTTTTTTTTTAAACATTTATTATTATTTAAACTTGAACTATTATTATTAAACATTTATTATTATTTAAACATTTATTATTATTATATAATTTTTATTGCGATGTATTTTTTCATTAAAGTAAATAACGCTTTATCGCCATTTTAATTGTGTTGCAATGATATAATGATAATTTCTTAAAATACGTAGAATTTTTTAAAAAAAATCTGTAATGTTAAAACTGAAATGTTTATTAAATCGATTTATTTTATTATTGCAGATTGTAATTTTCGAAACATAATTTCATTCTGTACGATGATCGCAAAGCTACAATTATTATAATTTTTTTCTTGCAAGGGTAAAAAACTTGGCTAAATATTATCAAATATTTATCGAAGATTATGATATAATGTATGTATCCATCAATAATTATGTATCCTCACATGTAATCATCTTAACTAAAGGTAATTAAGATTACAATTGTAAACAAAATATGATTACTTTGATTATATTATAGATTTGACGGGATTGATTACTTTTTTTATTAG